TTTATGCACGTCCCTTTATTTTTGCACGCATTCTCAAGTATTATGCAGTTGTTTTATAATTTTTGTGTAATAATTGTAGAAAAGTGTATCGCTGGAGTACACCCTGACAATGTGGAGTCCATGGAAGAGGAGGAGAGTGACGACGACGGAAAATCTTCACAATTTGAAAGCGACGACGACGAGGAACCACAAGTGCTTATCTCAGAATTAGAGACGGGTGTACCCGACGAGGAGGAGGAAAGCTGCAATGACGGGAAACTTGACCAGGAAAGGAAAAGTACCGAGGAAGAAAACATAAGCGGAATTAAGGGCAACTCTGATAATAAACAAGGTCCAAAAAATTGGAAATCTTAGCGAGACCGTGCAAGAACAACTAATAAATTAAATTACACTGTAGAATTGTTGTATCACCGCTCTCCATACCACTTTTTTACTGGAAGAATTAGTCACTTAAGTAGAATACACTGGTCCCCCTCAATCGGTCGGATGATTTTATCAGAATAAAAATACGGAATATCCAAATTAGTATCTCAAAATTTTAGATTTGTAACTTTTTAAAACAAATATGTATGTACTTCACAATTATTAAACCTTCATATTTGATCTCAGTTAATTTAATTTTCAAACTTCTAGTGTGAAACTTGAAATTACTTCTCGTTTTTTTAAAAATTAAGAATTCATGCGTATGAAAAGCAAAATTCAGAATGGTTCCAGCAAAAATGATACCCAGAGCGATGAAAAACAAATGCTTCAATCTAATTGAATTTATTAGTTATTATTGCACGGCCTCACTAAGATTTCCAATTTTTTGGGACCTTGTGTATTTAAAGCTAATAATTGGTTGTTATTAATAATATATGCACCGCAACACCGCTATTATTTGTCCATCCTGAATATTTTTTTTGGATTTTCCAATCTATATAACTCCTCCATTTCTTAACCGATTTAGGTAATTTTGCACTTAAAATGTTCAGAATGTCTTTTCCTACAATGTTTGCAGTACTGAGTTACACTACCTACGAGGCATGGAAAGCAATGTCTTGAAGGGAAAAGTTTTGCACATTTTGGTGCATATCACCTGGGTAAAGATAAAAAAATTCTCGAACTCGACTTGTGCATAGTTTCGAAATCCCGTAAAAATGATCGGTGCAACACTTTATCAAAATCGGCTCAGAAAATGTCGAATTATGCCACTTTTTGGTGGGCTAAATTAAAACTTATTATTTTTTTTCGTTGTTAGGTATTTGCCACACTGAGGAAAACGACAAACGTTCGACAGCAAGGGGGGACCATAAACAGCCTGAGGTTCTGCCAACCACAAACAACTTACCTACAGCGGTCAGACTGACTATGCCTGTTAGCTGTGGCTTGGCTGAGACGTTCAATCCAGTAACAAATCCGTTAGTTTCTCTAATGGGTATGGATTCAGAAATCCATTTCTCATATGTAAATCCCTCAGCCAACAGCGGAACACAAACCATTTCTATGCAAGATCTTACCGAAAACAACGAAAATGCCACAAAGGGAAAATCGACTAATAAGGAAGCAGTTAAATTAAAGGAAAAAGCAGTTGCCATAACTGATGACATTATTTTACAGTGTCTCGTGAAAGTGGGAGGCTGTCGGACGTGATTGGTTTGGACCACGTTATCGTGAGTATGAAGAAAACCATTTTCCTACCATTGGTGGCGGAGAAAGAATTTGGCAGTGACCTTCAAGGCGTGCTGCTTTTTGGACCTTCTGGGGTTGGAAAAACCCATATCTTAAGCTGTCTTGTGGGGGAGCTTAACTATATAAAAGAGGAAAAGTGCAAAACCTTCCCAACGATAAGCATCTGGAAGGTAGAGCCAAAAGACATCTTGCATAAGTGGATAGGTATGCTAACTGTGTCGTTAATTTTTACTGTTTATGCCAGCTTAAAATTTATCCTGTCAATATTTTGCAGGTGACTCAGACAAGTACCTCAGTCGGATTTTCGAGTTGGCTCATGAGAAGCGCCCGTCGATAATAATTATTGACGAGATCGACTCTCTATTATGTCAGCGAAAAGAGGACGATCCTGAACACATTCGACGGCTCAAGACGGGATTTCTTTCGTAAGTATTTTCATTTTTTGTATTACGCATCCTTGTAGTACGCATTTATGCATCTTGCTATTATGCAATTAATTACAGGTGCATGGATGGCCTAAATAATTATTCTGGAATTGTGGTCGTGGGTTAGTCTTTGGTGGCACAGACCATTACATAGTTTCAAGTTGCTTAAGTTAACTAAATTTTCCCAGGATTGACAAATTTTCCGCAGCATTTGGATTATGCATTCAGGCGAAGGTTTTCGAAAAGAATTTATATTGGATTACCCGATTCCTTTGCAAGGGAGCGAATACTAGCACACTATTTAAAGAAAACAAATCTTTTAACGGAATCATTCGATCTTGGCAAAATATCTTCAATGACTGAGGGGTATTATATATATGTATATTTCATATGTTGTATTACATATATGTATAGTTTCTTCACTTCTCACCAAATTAATTTCACATTACCGATTTATTTCGCATTAGTTTCTCTGCCCACGACCTTGCTGTTGCCATTTCAAAACTACAAGCACTTCAGTACACTAGTAACTTTTCCTCCGACGGTGTGAACGATATTGTCCAACTTATGAAGGTGGGCTGCAAGCCAACAACATTGATAACCCAGGTATGTCTTATTCGCCATGCTTGAAATACTTGGCCCGTGTCGCTATTACTAATTAATTTTGAATTTCTACTAGGAAATGTTTGAAGGATTAATTCGGACTGATGGATCAACCAATGGGGCCACGAACGATGAGAAAACCGTTAATGAGCTTAAAAGGTGGGGACGAGAATTCGGAGCAGAGGGTATGACTCAACCGGTTTATTATGAAGGAGAGTATGAGCCAACGCTCAGCTCGTGCCTATTTGAAATGTTTTGCTGCCTGTTTTACTAAACATGATCTTACTCGATAAATATTATTTAAATTCAATAAATGCACATCTATTATCAACTTACATATTAAACGAAACTATGGTGAAATCCGCAACCGAGCGTTTGCCTTTCTCTTGCAATTTTTCTCGTTGTGGAAAAAATGCATTACGTATTCCATCATATCTTCGCTCACACTGTGCATTATGAAAAATCCTGTTCTATTATTTATCCAGGCACTGATAATTATAATAGTTCCATCAAAATCGGAGCGAGTTAAAACCGATGCCGATATCAAATTCTTAGTCAAATCTTGTGTAACTTCAGTTCAAATAAATATTTATAATCTGAGTATAAATTGTCATTGTAAATATAGTAAGTGCGGGGCGGGAAATTTTTTGTCAGGATGCGGGTCGGCGAAGTCTTATGGAGTATGAAATTGTGCATTATTTTCGATTTCAAGGAATGCCGTAAGTGAAATGCCGCGCTGGGGAAGTCAAAATCCAATCATGACATAAATTGACTAGAAATTGACAAGTGCGGGGCGGGAAATTTTTTGTCAGGATGCGGGTCGGCGAAGTCTTATGGAGTATGAAATTGTGCATTATTTTCGATTTCAAGGAATGCCGTAAGTGAAATGCCGCGCTGGGGAAGTCAAAATCCAATTTTGACATGAATTGACTAGAAATTGACAAGTGCGGGGCGGGAAATTTTTTGTCAGGATGCGGGTCGGCGGGGCCTTATGGAGCATGTAATTGTGCATTATTTTAAATTTCAAAGAATGCCGTAAGTGAAATGCCGCGCTGGGGAAGTCAAAATCCAATTATGACATGAATTGACTAGAAATTGACAAGTGCGGGGCGGGAAATTTTTTGTCAGGATGCGGGTCGGCGAAGTCTTATGGAGTATGAAATTGTGCATTATTTTCGATTTCAAGGAATGCCGTAAGTGAAATGCCGCGCTGGGGAAGTCAAAATCCAATTTTGACATGAATTGACTAGAAATTGACAAGTGCGGGGCGGGAAATTTTTTGTCAGGATGCGGGTCGGCGGGGCCTTATGGAGCATGTAATTGTGCATTATTTTAAATTTCAAAGAATGCCGTAAGTGAAATGCCGCGCTGGGGAAGTCAAAATCCAATTTTGACATGAATTGACTAGAAATTGACAAGTGCGGGGCGGGAAATTTTTTGTCAGGATGCGGGTCGGCGGGGCCTTATGGAGCATGTAATTGTGCATTATTTTAAATTTCAAAGAATGCCGTAAGTGAAATGCCGCGCTGGGGAAGTCAAAATCCAATTATGACATGAATTGACTAGAAATTGACAAGTGCGGGACGGGAAATTTTTTGTCAGGATGCGGGTCGGCGAAGTCTTATGGAGTATGAAATTGTGCATTATTTTCGATTTCAAGGAATGCCGTAAGTGAAATGCCGCGCTGGGGAAGTCAAAATCCAATCATGACATAAATTGACTAGAAATTGACAAGTGCGGGGCGGGAAATTTTTTGTCAGGATGCGGGTCGGCGGAGTCTTATGGAGCATGTAATTGTGCATTATTTTAAATTTCAAAGAATGCCGTAAGTGAAATGCCGCGCTGGGGAAGTCAAATCCAATCATGACATAAATTGACTAGAAATTGACAAGTGGAGCCATGTTGACAGATTTAGGCAATTTTAAGGTCATTGGAGGCATGGCGACAGATTTAGGCAATTTTAAGGTCATTGGAGGCATGGCGACAGATTTAGGTCATTTTAAGGTCACTGGAGGCATGGCGACAGATTTAGGTCATTTTAAGGTCACTGGAGGCATGGCGACAGATTTAGGTCATTTTAAGGTGACTGGAGGCATGGCGACAGATTTAGGTCATTTTAAGGTCATTGGAGGCATGGCGACAGATTTAGGTCATTTTTAGGTCACTGGAGGCATGGCGACCTTTATTACTTAATTAACGGCAGCAGATATTAGCCGATTTTGAGGGGTGCTAATAATGTGTGTGCATACTGTATTGTTCCGAGTCTCAATTTTGCTCATAACCGGTTCCAACTTCACAGACGTGCCAAATTCGCAGGTTGTGTGAGATTTAGATTAGAAGCACAGACTTGAAAAGTAGCTAATTTAGTTTTATAGTTTTATTTAATCTAATTGGTTTGCCCTGGAGCTGGGATTATTTCCAACAAAATAAGTAAAAATGGAGGAGTACGAGGAGGATGAAGAAATGCCGGGAGCATCCAGTGGGGGATGGGGACGAGGAAATCAATGGGACACTGATGAAAATCAGCAAAATTTGAATAACGTAAGTTAACAAGATATGTAGTTAGTTAATTTAATTCAGCTACTGAACACATGTGTTCTTTGATTTTAGTCTGAAGATGCAGAAATGTTAGAAAATCCGGAAGCGGTGTTAACTGAATGTTTGGAAAAGTTTTCCAGTCCTGATTATATACATGTAAGTATCGTTATCGTATGCAATTTTTTTACGTGGACAGTTGTTACCATTTTATACCAAGGGTATGGACCATATTATATTATTACAGGAACCTGGAATTTTTAACCAGCTTAAACGGTACTTGATTAATAGTACATCCTTGAAACTTTGTATTAATCAGTTCATTTAAATTACAAATTATGCAGATACTTCCAAGCAGGAGGTAGTCCAGAACAAGTTATAGAACTTCTGTCCACGAATTATAACGCTTTTGCACAAATGTAAGAATTAATTTATATCTCCAATTATGCATGATGACTAATTTGTGTATCATTTCCAAGGGCAAACTTGATGGCGGAATGGATTATTTGTGGGGGTATGATTTAGATTTACTTTACTAAAATCAATTTACAAGAAAATGTGACAAATTATGGCTCTTATAATTAAAATTAAAAGCAATCAAACTAAGTGATCATGGCTGCACAATATGTAGCAGACTGAAATTATCTTGTAATGCACCTAGGTTCAAGTATAAACGAAGTTCGTACAATGGTGGAGACAAGCTTGACAGATATGATTTTAAAAACATTCGACCCCAAAAAGGCGGATACAATTTTTAGTGAAGAGGGAGAAGTAAGGAAAATGACCAAAATATTATATATACTAATACTAATAATAATATATTTCGTTAATGTTTTTAGACACCTGGTTGGTTAACGGAAATGATTGAGCATAAAAATTGGCGTACACTAGTTTACAGGCTAGCTGAAGAATTTCCAGGTTGGTTGGAGATCCACAAGGCAAATATAGTGGGATATGTGCGTTCTAACTTCTTTATTTGTCTGTTTTCTAGAGTGTCTCATGCTTAATTTTACAATAAAGGTTTGATATATTATCCTACCTAATCATCGTAATATGATTTGTTTGATGAAAGAAAGATAATATGTGTGTTGCAGTTGATCTCTGATGCTGGTTTTCAAGGAGAAATTACATCAATTTCTACAGCAGCTCAACAAATTGAAGTATTTTCTCGTATGGTCAAAACTTCAATTTGCAAAATTCTATCCAGCAATGAAGACAACATTCTAAAACATATGCAGGATACTGCGGTGAGTACGAATTATTTAAAATACAAAGCGAATATGACTCTTTCTTCTCTGATTGCACGTTTTCATATTTTTAAACTTATTTTCTTGTTTATAGAAAATGATCTGTCATGCTGAACATACTTTTGTATACAGGTATTTGTGTAAATACATATTAATTACTTGTGTATTTTGACTGGAGGAAGTTAATAGTACAACATTTCACACTTTGTTGTATATAGCCAAGTACTGCTTAATGTATTAATGCAAGAAACGGGTCGTGGAGGAATGAAAAGGCTGTCGCAGGAAATTATAAAATGTGCTCATGATCAGTTAGTGTCGTCGTCGTCGCTTATATTAATTCCGATTCTGTTTTGCAGGTTTTGATTTACGAAAACTTTAAAAGTATTATTGATTTTTGCAGAGATCATGATGTAACTGCCGTTGTAATGAGTTTGAATGGGTCCACTAACTATCCAAGAGCTTGTCAAGCCTTATCTGCAATGCTTTCGAGAAATGCCCTTAATCCTGCAGATATTACAGTGCTGTTCAAAATGTTTTCTACCACAAATGATCCTCCCCCAGTTGAACTTATAAGGGCACCACAGTTTCTAGGTTTGTATTAAATACGTTAGTGATTTAATGTTAATTGTCATTACTAATGCTTTATAAATACAGAGTTGCTGATTGATGCTCTTTTTAAACCTGGGAGCAAATTGAATCCGGAACATAAATCCAAATATATTTATTTGCTCGCCTATGCTGCCAGGTGAATTTGGATAGCTTGTAATTTTCAAAATTGGTATATACTTTATGTGAACTAAAAATTTTCATTTCAATAATTTATTCCAGCGTTTGTGACATTTTTCGACGTGGTCAGAGGCACAGTTTAAAACAAGATGAGCTGAAATCCACAATTACTTCCATTGAAAAAGTTCATTCCATATGCAATTCAAACAAGAGTAGTTCCGAATTGGTGGTTGAATTACCAGCTTTATACAACTGCATTCGGTGAGTTTCAAAGTAAAGTTATCAAAGAAGCTCTATTACTTCAGACATCCATCGTAATAAATTATTGAGGGTATTCGTTATTTCTTCGTATCCGTGGTATCGTAAAATAGTTTACGAAGAAAAAACAAGGGGTCAAGTTTAGTAAAAATCGTAAGCGTAGTAACGTGATTTTCGATGACAAAATCTTACGACGCTTACAAAATCTCGTAAGCTTCGTAAGTTATTTTATGATACGAAGAATACTAAGGATACGAAGAAATAATGAATACCCTCACTATAAAATAGCAAATTATAATATCATGCTTTCTTCCAGGTTTCCAGTACTGGGTGTTGGTGTAATCCGTTGGGTGGAGTGTACGGTGACGGAACCGTCGTATTTCAAGCTTTGTACTGAACATACTCCCGTTCATATTGCTCTCCTTGATGAGATTGTGGCCAACCATCATCTTCTCCACCAAAAAGTCTTGGAGCTCCTCATCTTGCTGTTTGAGTCCAAACAGGATGAGCTGGAAATTCTGGTCCAGGTTTGTGCAGTCCATTTCCCATGATATTCACAATAATTCTGCGCAGTTCGGTTAGCCATTATTATTTTGAGAGTTTTTCGTCCTTTATGATCTTTTTCATACAATTTGGGAAAAGATCCTTCTTGAAATTACCTACTGCAAACTTTATGGAAAAGTTATTTCAACATTCTCTATATGTATCGTAATTTCTTATTTAAATTTTCACAGCATATTGTTGAGCATCGTTATTGTTGAAGTTTGCATGGCTCTTGGGATGTTGGCGTGTCATAAATGTCATAATATTTGTCACCGTGCAATGGTTTTGGAGGAGAGACGTCCAAAGTGTATTGGCAGTAAATCATGCAATACTTTTGTTAAGGCCACCGTTAACTGCGTTACGAGAGTTTTGACACAAAGCATGAAGAGTTGTAATAAAAGTTTGTCACTTTCTTGACTACCTTTCCTTAGTGGGGAGGACTTGGATGAATGAATTGCTGGATGGGGAGAGAATCTGAGCAATAAAATCACTTGTCAAATGTCGGAAATTATGTCATCTCAAGTTTCCCCAAGGGTAGGGGAGACTGTATCATTATTCCGTTCCGTTATTGTTAGGAATATTTATCATGCAGTCAGTTCCCTTGCCTACGGATAAATGCGTAGATTCATCATTGTGTAATTATTATGCAGACACGATAATTAGAAAATGAGATAATTTGATATTTTTTTACAATTTGATTATACGGTTTCATAGGGTCACAACAATGTTCATTCGTCGTAGCTATTGAACCTTTGCAGATATGTACAAGTCCAGCAAGTAAAATTGCAATATTATTTTTACATCCAGCAGAAAAGCCATCACATAAAAAGTCATATGTAATTTGATAGAAATTGCTGCGGATGAGCATTTTTTTTTGCATAAATTGGCATTATTCATTCATGTTCATCTCTATTTCACAAATAATGATATCCAACTAGTCATACACGACTTTATAACATTCCTGTTCCCCCCATGTCACAATGTAAAATGACTCAATTACACAACTTCCTCCACAATGTTGAATAATTTGTGTGCACATTCAGACAGTTTTACAAAGTTTTACAAAGGTTGCTTTTGTTCCTTTATTTACCTTCATTTCATACGAGCTTAAACTAAGGGTCGCCCAACCAGACAATGCATGTTCGGACAGTTATAATCCAGTTGAAGGACCCTTGGTGAGTGAATGAATACGTCCCACTGTGTCCTGGGCACATTTCATACGTACACATACACCGTCATCCTCGTACTGCCTTTTTTCCATCACCCCGTCTCATCCATATCGATATTTCCATCAATATCGGTTCGCCTATATTTTAATGGGACATGACATTTGACATCATTATGCAACTAAGGAGACATCTCGCCTGCTCATCCACTCTTTGATAGCAACTAACTAACAAGTACATGCATGCATACATTTGTGATTCAAAACGCAACATGCTGATATGGTTGGATCTCGTCCAGCCAAACATTATTGAGCCAATAACATTTGTCTGTTTGTCTCTTTTCATTCTTTTCTTTCATTCTAATAAAAAACTCTCGAGACTTTGCTCTTCTTCTTCCTCTCTCCCGTCCACTACTCGTCTCGTGTCTCTACATATTCACCCGTACTTTGCATGCACTTGCAAATCGCTTCCGTTCGTTCGGTCGTTTTGTTCGGGTTTCGGTTCATCATGATGAGCTCCGCACACACTCAACTAAAACCAAAGTCACTTCTACTACTACTACTACGTACACTTGTCCGTATTATGTTTCGCTCAGGAGTTCGTTCCTTCAACCACATTTGTTTTCAATTCCAATTTTTAGCCAAACTTTCATGTCAAACACGGCAATTGACGACATTTCTACCTGACATCATAAGTGGATGATTGGTTTTTTATTGAATTTTTAAGGGGTATAATTAAATTGAACCACAAATGTCAATAGAAAACAGAAAATGAAGAAATTATTGTAATTTTTAACGATTTTTTATCGATTTTGTGGGTTCATATGTATACAAGGACATGCTATTGCTATTTTGGGGCATTTTGATACTTTTGATTTACAGTCGCTCTTGCTGTGTTAGACCCTGTTTTTTGGTAAGCTGTTACACACATTGGTAAATTTTATCAAGGATTGCATAGCAAATTAAATGTATTACATGAGAAATATATCTTTTACTACTTGTGGATATAGTGCATAGCTCCCTACACATACACATTGCAATGACTAATTCCACAGATGGATGTACTCCTCTAAGAATTTCTTCGTCTCTACCGTATCAAAAGTAAAGTATCTTGTATGCATTACACATACATAAGCTCGCATTATACAACTACACCATTGTCTTTCGTCTCGCATCTTAATTTTTGAGAGTTTTGCATCGAAATCACTAATTTGTAAAGATTAGATACAAGAATAAGATTCATTCCGGTTTTATTAAAAAACAAAAGAGTTGCGAGTTTGAGTATACGTTGGGATATATGAACAGATTTCCGTGAAATTAGACAACCCCGTTGACAGATTCGTGAGACAAGTTCACAAACAATAGTTTTGTATCTTCAAGTGGCAGCAGCAGCAGCAGCACTGGGAAGAACGGTGGTGCTTGCTGAGATGCATTTACTTTGGTGTTCATCTTCACATGAACTCTTTCATTGAATTGCTGTGTATATAGAATTGTAATAATTGAGAAGGAGGAGGTGGGCGTATACTGAATGTGAACAGGCCAGGTAGCTTGTACTCTTTCAGGTTGTCCAACCTTAAAAATCATCCCCATTCATTATGTCACATTTTATTATCGACTTTTGAGTTGTTAAATAATTAAGCCTGCCTGCACACACACACACAAATGTAGACGGTCGATAGAGCTTTTTTTGTTCATCTCTTTTTCCTCTTCTTTATTTGCATTATTGAATTTCTGGTAATTCTGACACAAACTCATATGACAAATGAGAATTCATGCGAGTAAACAGAATAATGTTACGGGATTTACAGTTTTAAATCCAATAACTTATAGCATTCCAATAATGTCATCCGAACAATAATAGAAACAGAGGGAATGACAACTGCATCCACTTTTGTTATTTCAAGGGAGAGCACACATGAGACGAGAGAGAGAGAGATGTTGAGTGTAAGAGGATTTCGATTTTTTGGGGGGATTGTATAACTTTCGATATTGGCATCCTTGGGATTTCCCTTATGGCACACCCAAGTAAATTATGGATGTTATATTAGTTAAAAAATATATATCCCTCTCTCTCTCTCTCTCTTAAACAAATAATATGCTTTGAAATGGATCACTCCAACCTCATGAACTCTATGCTTATGTATTTACTATAATGTCCCTTCTTACTCATCCTCCTCTCTTTGGTCCTCTCTGGCTCATGTTTTGGAAATGGAAAAGTATGAACAAACTGATTTTCTTGTGAATGGATGGATGGATGATGATGTGAGGAGGGGTGTGCTTACACTAATTCCACTCGATGCAATATGAGGTTAAGTTGAAACATAAAATGTGTGTAAAGTGCTCATCCACAACATCAATAATAACTCACTTTTAGTTTTTACTTTTACAAAAACTCGTTATTATTACTGCCAACTTGGTTGTTAAAAGCTCGTCTTTTAGCGTTGTGTACATATTTCTAAAAATAACTCCTTTTAGCCGTCAAAATTCATAAAGTTTCATGATTTGATTCCTTTTTGATTCCCCTCAGATTTCACCCTTTTTTTGGGCATACGAAATTTGTCATTATTAGTATTGTCGAGTTGGTTTCAGTTTTGTCACAAAATAATTTTCCTATTATGGCGGAGAGATTATAGTGTGTATCGCATTACGGGGGGATGTTGTTAATAAATGTATTTGGGGTTTAAAGCTTTTGATGTTGCGTAATTAATTGTGTAAACTTCATTAATTATTGACTGAAGGGATACAAATCATTTTGACAAGTTTAATACCTCGGACGGAAAGTGCATTCCCCGTTTTCAGCCATGAATGAAATGGAATGGATGGTTCCAGTCTCCTCAATAATTTTGTTTTCAACTCCCCTGTTGATAAAGTTTTCGATTTATTGTCGTTTCCCTTCATTTCCACTTTCATAATTTAATTCAATTCACCTCTGCCCTTTGCCTTTATTACTATCTAATCTCTGCAGAAAGTTATATACACCTACAAGTAAGGGAGTGACAATTCCTTGTCTAATTAAAGATTTGTGTTTATTACTTTGCTAGCAAATTTATTGAATAGTGAATGAAAATTGATGATTTTCTTCAAATATTACATGGCGTATTCAAGTACAAAATACAGTATACATGTGTATGTACAGCAACTATGCAACGAAAGAAGTGTGAGAAAATGTCGAGAAAAACAGACCAGAGAAGCAAAAGTAGTTGGTTAATCGAGCCAAGCTGAGGATGACTAAATGGGTTTTTGTTTCAAAGATTAATTTTGTCGATTCGAGTTTTAAATAAAAAGCGAAAAATTGCAAGTTGGGTAATATCATCTCATCATCGACGTGATGGTGTATTTGCTTTAAAAAACAAAAGAATTAAGCACGCTTTTTTTGTTTATAGCTCGAACTTCGTAAAATGCTGTTGGACCGTTGCGTGAACTTGGTACGTTCATACGATATGTAACTTACGATAATTTTGATGTTGGACGATTTTTTGACTGAAAAGTTCTATTTCAGTTAACTCGAGGCTGTGTGGTGCCGGTTCTCAAGTACATGAAACAATGCTGGCTTCGCGGTGACACTGACATTTCTCTCATCAGATATTTCGTTAACGAAGTAAGAAAATTTATTTTTCGTAAAAATTTACAGTTATCGCACAAAAAGATGATGATGAGGGCATTTTATTTTAATCGCATTTTATCAACTACTACACAACTAAATTCATTTGACAATAGCCTTACTACAAACTTGTGTCTCTGTGTATGTGCGTAGGTATTGGACGTAGTGAGTCCTCCATATTCGAGTGAGTTTGTGCAGTTATTCTTACCCTTGGTGGAAAGCGACGAGATTACTGGGAGCTCAGTAAAAGATTACAAGGATCCAAGCAGTGAAATGCAAGATGTTGTTGGGGAATTCATCGGTGAGTATATGCCTCGCTCGTTCACTCTACTGCATACTTTTTTATGTATGAAAAATCAATCTGGTGTAAAAAAAATGATAAGAAATTTGATGAAAATTTTCAGTCTACTGCAAGGCGAACTACTCTTCTGCATCCACCACGGCGGGGACGACGACGAATACGACGACGTAGATGTGATTTGATGGGATTGACTATTGAGGAGCATTGGAATTTTTTTCTGAATAAATAAAGGATGATAAATGACGTTTTATCTCTAGCTTCGACTTTATGGCAATTTTAGTCAGCCCATCTACGTTGATGGGATAAATCCTATAAAGACGATTCTCGATATTGGAAAAAATTTTGCTCCTGCTCCCTTCTCCCCAGCACCACTACCACCCAAAGTCATAAATTTATTCTTCCCGTACTTTCCTTTTCTTTTCCAGATTTCTTCTCCACGACGAGGACTCCCTTTTATGAGTTTCTGAAATTTCTCTCTCCACCAACGACGTCCGTACACCAACTCGCTTTCGTACATGGCATGAGCTGAGTTGGGTTTGGATAGTGGTGGTGGTAGTCGTGAGATGAAAATCAAGTCTTTTTGTATCATACACAAGTACTCCCTACACATGGAAGGAGCGAAGAAGAAGTAGTATGGGCGATATATTTCTGTCGTGGTGGGGGGAACGCGTTGCGATTTATTCGAGCAATTTTGTTGATTTATAAGAACACTGTGAGTTGAGTAGAGAAATGAGATTTATTATTAGTCGTTTCATAGTCGTCTTTCTCTCTCGCTCTTTCTCTCCCTGCCTGCAGTGGTGGTGGTGGCGGATAGAAGAGAAAGGAGAAAGGAGGTGGTGGTGGTGGTGGATATAAAATAAATATCAAACTATCACCCAGAGTTATGATAGTCGTGTTATTATAGTCGACGCATACGCAGAATCATATTTAATAACGCGCTCCCCTCCTTCCTCTCCTTCCTCTCCGCCCTCTTCCCTCTCTCACTCAGTCTCCGTGGCTGCTGATGAAATATCAATCATAACTTTTTATGCCACCCTCCACGCCGTCCTCTCTCTTCCTCTCTCACGAGTGGGCAAGTGCTGCTTTCTCTCCCTCTCTCGCCCAGCTTTCTCCTCTGGTCAGCGTTCACCTGATTGGGCATGGACTGGGCGGGGTCATTTTCTTGATCATCGTCATCATCGTGCCGCATTGCGGAAATTCCTCTCTTCCCCATCCACCGCACACTCTTCCACTAGCACCACCACCACCACTGCTTTCTTTACTTTCTTTCCATTTCTTCGTCTTCTTGATGCTGCTGCTGCTGCTGCCTACCACCTGCCACCATGTTGCTGCTCCCGTTATTAATATTGGATGGATGCAATAGACAGAGAGAAAACCACTATGAGCAGGGGAAAACCACTATCCATCTGAATACATATGTATGCAGTGTGTGTGCATGTATCTGCCATAACGGGGGATGGTGAGTTCCAAATAAAAATACGTGGGCACACATGCACGACTACAAACAACCAAACTTTCTCCGCTCCACTAGAGAAAAGAAAGACAAACATGAAATGGATCCATCACTTATTCAAACATTTTTGAATATTTTATCAAAATCCACTCGTATCAAACCCACAGCAAAATAAGCTTGACTTTTCTCTCAAACTCTCCGACTGCTGCTGCTGCTGTCTCGCTGTGTATGTATTTCATGGAGTAGTCTGCTGGTCGTCGTTGATGTTGTCACTCTGTGTCCTCGTCGTCTCATGTCAGTGGAAAAGGGGAGAAAGAGCATAATATTGGATTTTGTGTCCACAAATATCGTTATGTTATATGGTGGAAAAAATTGAGAGAAACAAACAGACAAGTTGTTGGCAGCCTGTGTGTGAGAGAGGGTGATGTGCCTGGTAGGTGCTGCTGGTGGTGGAAGTACGTATAGCGGGTGACGGGGGGGAAAGGACCGCAAAGTACAGACGATGAAAGTGAAAATGCATTTGAGCAAATAATTCGGATGGGGTGGATGAGAGGCGATGGATGGTTTTGATCAGAATTATATGACATATGGGATGAATTGACACAGGGTTAATTGACACTGATTCGCCTGATGCACCCTCAATATTCCATATTACTCTCAAAATTACTTTCTTTCGCTACGCACTTTTTTGATTAAAATCATCACAAAGTATTCAGTCCACTTTTTTACCATTATTAACTGGCGAGAGAGAGAGAGAGAGGATGGAAAGCGATGGAGTTTTAGTTTTCTAGTCTGCTGCCTGCCTGCTCTTCTGGGTGGTGGTGATGGTGGATTGTGTAGAAAGAGTGAAATAAATATTCATGAGGAATTGATTTGCATAGGGCATTTCCATAGAAAACCATTTTCAGCAGAGAGATGGATAGAGAAGAGAATTAGTAACCACCACCATCATTCAGCTCAGTCTTCTCTCCTTCCTACTGATGCTCGTAGGCTAAAGTAGTACATGGCGAATACATGGTTGTGTTGGGGAATCTACAATTTGATTATTTTTTGGCTGACTTTCTCATTAAAGTTGAGGGAGGGTTAGTTGGGCTTCTTCTGCACATGACGTACTAGACAAAATATCTAATTCTACGCTCAACTCTTCTCTCTCTCTCTCCCGCGAGGAGATTATTGTTGTAAGTTTTGTAAGTCGGAATGTATTTTGACAGCGACGATAGTTTCCTCTGCCTCATCTTCCTTCATTTCCATTCTCCTGCTATTCCTACTCCCGATCTCCTCCTGCTCTTCCGAGGATGAGGAGATATTCAGATTTCCACTAAATGACGACGGGGGGATGCGGGAGGGAGGGGAACGGAGTATAAGCCGATAATGAAATCATGCATCTAGAAAATGATCATACCATGTATTTCACAGATTTCCAGATAAAGAGTTATTACCCGACACACCACCTTCTCGTTTAACTCGCTCTCTCTGCCATCCCATTTCCTGCTGCAGGTGAAATTTTTCCACTCTGCTGTGCTGTCTCTTCCACATAACCTGCCACCACCACCACCACCGCGTTCCTTATGTGCATTATGGTTGCTTCCCGTTTTAGTCTTTAGCAAGGTCCGCTCAGGTGCGTAATTGCTTTCCTCCTCTCCCTTCCTCATTTTTACTCAAAAATCAATTCCAATTACACATAAATGCTGGGCAGCAGCAGCAGCGATGGTGGTTGAAGGAAAAGTCACTTTCTCTCCCTGCCCTTCCTCTCTTTCTCTTTCTCTCTAATTCCTCAATTTATTTTAATGCCTGCATATTGCTATCTTTCCTCTGTTGGGGTGTAATAAGCAGCATTTCCCGACGTTATCAAACATAAATAAACAAAAAGGAGGAGCACGTAAACCCCGATTAGATTATGATAAGAAGATTTCCATGTAAACCTTTGTCTGTTGATTCAATACGGATGTAAAGTCTGGGATAAATTCTAACACGCAATATTCACAACTTGCACACACACGGCATGGGCAGTGCGGTGCATGGTATGACATTTATACGAGTTGTTGTGTGTGGAGCTTTATTTTCCGCTTAATTCCATCCCATCGCCGAGATGAGAGTGAGTGCGAGAGGAGACGAGGAAGGAGAAGCGAATCGATACAAATCCCAGGCACAAGTTGAGTTTAGTTGTGACAAAATTAAATACAAATTTCTCATGTTGTCCAAATGAAATGAACCCGATAAATAAGGGCGACCCTTGGATTATATGAGTGGATGGATGGCTGGGGCAGAGAGCTTTCATATGGATTTGCATACATGGATGAAGGGGAATGCTGCACATAAGGCTGGAAGTGTGCATAATAATTCGGATTCTGAGATTTTATGGAGAATATTGGCCATTTTATTTGACAGATAGTCGAGTTATGGTGATCATAGGAGGGAGACAGCGCCTCGTGTGTATTAGCATTGAAATTTAAGTAAGTGTGATAAGGGTGTGTAGGATCAGGATGAAATGGTATTCATTTGGAATCTAGGGACGACGACGATGATGATTTGGATTTTGTAGGGATGGATGAAAATAATGAAAAATCCCAGGGGGGATTAGTATAAAATTTCACACTAGTTAAATTGGTGAGACTTGAGTCATATGTATGATTGAAGTGCAGGGCGAGAGATTGCAAAGGCGTAGATACGTATTTGTTTTTGATCAAGTGTGTCATTTTCATAATGATTGTCAACAGAATTCCACAGGGAAGTTGCACACGTTTCGCTCCTCTCTCGTCAGATTTATTGCCAACCATTTACGCCAAACCAACCGACCCAACCTCTCCCCCACACACATAGAGAAATACATATCCTCGCCTTACATGTATTCATTTTGAATGTTTCCTTCATTTTAGATCTCCAGTCTCTCTCCAGCACAGCAATGTGGATGGAAGAAAAACAACTTTTTCTGGAAAAGGGAAGAAGATGGTCGGCTGGGGTGGAAAAATCGATGGTGAGCAGAGAGAGAAAAGTGACCACCGGTCAATAATATAGTCCTCTTGTTCCTTTTCGGGGTAGCCAGCACAGCCTATAGATTTTTTGGACGCATGGTCTGTAGGACGCGGACGAGGAGAGAAGAAGAAGATTTTTATGAACAAAATGGCTGTTGGATTGGATGGACATGTGAAATGAAATGGGTGCGATGGGAGTAAAGGAAAGCAATTATAATCGAAAAGATAGAGTGAGAAAAGTGAGAGAGAGAGAGACCAGCGTTTGAGAATCCCGACGTTCTAGACATGATGTGAATGCAAAGGGATATTAATTGTTATAATATATATTATTTGTTGACAGGTCGAGGAGACAGTGTCTGGAATAGAGTGGATACACTTGAAAATTTATTATTGTGTCCCTTTGGATGGACGACAACCTACAAGCTACGACCAGAGAGAGCAGGAATAAGAGTGGAAAAAACAAGTCCTCTTCTTCAACCAAAAACTTGTTCGAAGGGACATTTGAAAGCAAAGCAGTGTAGCCCATTTGTTATTACCCTGCTCTTGGACTTACCCTTTCCAGCATCACCACCGTGATTGACGCTTTAAATAATCAGAGAGAGAGAGATGTTGACACACACACACACACAGCTCACATTTTATCCAAACAATAAAAGTGGAGGAGGGGGGATGAGAACGTCGTCATGTCTTGGCTCAAAATTTCCGTTTCCGTCAACATTCAATATCATTTTATGGAGATGGTTGACACGAGGAGGGGGTGACCTTTTTCCTCACAATTTCTGCTCTCTTAAATTGATTGATGGACGTGGATCACTTCCGCATAGGAAACATATCGAGGATCGTTTAGTCCCCCCTCCTCATCGTCTCCGACTCTTCTTCTTCATCTCCACCACCACCACTTTGAATAATATGCTTATCGAGGGAATATTTATTATTGGCAACATTGCAGTCGTCCTACAAATAATGACGACGACAAACGTTCACAGCAATAATGCTGCATGAAGGCGTACGCATAATAATGGTGATAAAAGTAGTCGAGGTAATAAATGATGTGATTTTTTGAGCACCTGTGTCCCTTTATGTATCATCAGAGTGGTGGTGGAAGGTGTCTTGACGTGGATATTTTTAGAATAAGAGTGTGAAAATGATCTTTTACAGAGTTTAGTTTAGTTTTTTTTCTTTATATTAACTAAATGGAGTGAGTTTATAGGAACATATACATAAATGACGAAGAAGTGAGTGGTGTGGGTAATGGTGGGGATGGGTTGGCTGTGGGGTTATTGTTATCTGTGTTGATATGCCAAGTCACGATATGCTTCTTTAAATTTTTTGAATGAAAATAAAAACAATAAATTCATTTTCAATTAGACACACGGTTAAAATTCGTGATTTGTTCCAAACAGGATTTGTTTCAACATCTGCTCTGAAAATTCCCTTGTTCTCTTTCTCTGAGAATAACTACTTTTATATTCTTTGTCTCCATCCTATCCATCTCTATCCATCTATCCATTTCTCTTGGCTGAGGTGGTGGTGGTGGATGGTGTGGGATATGACGAATACAATTTATTCATGAATTCCTCAACAAAACTTTTTTGATTCTTGATTCAGGATGAGACTGCTTCTATTACTAAAAGATAAATGAGTTTGCTCCCCGATTTTGATCACTTTGGATTGGCTGCGAGATCATTAGAGTTCATTAAACGGAGTGAACGATATTAAGTGAGAAGCTTGAATTATTAGACTATTCAAATGTCACACGGTGAATAATAAAGATATTTCATTTCTCTCTGCATCACTATGTTCACTGGGTGTAAGTATGGATGGCACTTATTGAGATCATTTGGCAGTGTCGGTGGTGTCGGTGGTGGGGGTGTTGGTGGGGAAAGAGAGAGGGGAAGCTCCTGTCGCATTATTAATATAGATTATTGAGGGCTCCAAGGTTAAAAAGGTGGCGCAGAGTTTCATCTTTAACTAGATTGATAGTAAACGAGTTAGAAGAGCCGTCAAGTGGCGTATGTATAATAATAATAATGCGGTGGTGGTGGATGGATGGGAGTCAAGTGAAAAGGGTGTGTTATATAACCTGGACTGATTAATGACCAACACCATCGTCCGCAGCCAACTATCAGGACGAGTCAGCAGTGTAAGCGAAGGAAAGGAAAGAATTTTTATGGATGCGGAGAAGCGACCCTTGTTTCATCCCTTGCTTGTCTGTTGTCAACTAGAAATTTATAATAATATTTTTACTTTGATGCCATCAGACTGATAACAGACCTCTAAATTGTCCGTGGACAGAAAGAAGGTGTTAGCCTTTATTTGATTCCTTTTCCTTTGTTTTTTGGGTGGCCAAAACTCGTCCTCACTCGCTCTCTTCTCACATCCAAATGACTCGACGCTTCTCAATTTCTAATTCCAGTCTCTCAAAAAGTATTATAAAAACCGTGAAATGACTTTGCATTCTATTCCAATATTATTGGTTTGATTTCAAACTTTTGACAGCCAAATTGCTACTGGATTCTCTCTCCTCTCGCTACCTTTTCATTTGCTTGACGCCTTTTGCTTATGGATGAGACGACGACATGCTCTTGACATGCTCTCGATAATGCCTGATATACTTTTTCACAATAATAAATACATTGGAATATAGAGCAGAGAATGGGAGATTGATGTGTTTTTTCTCTGCTTTTTATTTATTATTATTATATCCCATATCACTAACTCAAAGGAATGGTGTGTGGTGGTGGTGGTGGGGGGAGAAAGAGAGGAGAGAGAGAGAGACGTAAGTTATGAGATCAATATGAACCACTGGGGAAATATTACATGAATTCTCTTTTTTCGTCTTTTCCAATGTCCACTCAATGTCCCCAGTCAGCCAACTGATTTATCGGCTGTCCCCAAATTCAACAAAAATGATACACTTACAACTTACTCTCTCCATTCTCAAGAGATTTAAGAAGAGGCGAATGAAACGAACGAGGAGACGATTTCATTGTACATACGCTGGTCAACATTATATGGTGAGTAGTGTGGCCGTATTTTTTCTCTGATTGCTCCTGGGATTGATGCCCAAAAAGCTTTAGGCCGAGGACCAGAGGGGATTTATTTTTTTGCACAGATTTATTTACAAAGAGAGAGAGAAAAAATGGGGAGCCAGCCGATCTCGCGTCATTCAAGAACAACCACACCGTAGTGGACATTCAATTCAGTCTCTGGAGAGGACGAGGAAGTTTCACCAGTTCACATTTAGAAGACTTGCCCGACAGACACAGGAGGATATTATGCGACCCATAAAATATAATAAAAAGCGACCTCTCACTCACTCACTCTCTCGCCCAGTCGCTCTATTTTGCTTATGATGGAGTAATATGCCGGGTATGATTTATGTGCGGGGTGATTCATTGACTCATTTTAATTTTTAAATAATAACAGGGCGATGTCGAAAGGGGAAATGGAATGAACTTTAGGTTAATTATCAATCAGTATTGTCAAGTGTCTCGGTCTCAATTAACTGACGGCAGCCTCGTTTTCTCATTCCGCTCCCCCCTCGCTCGCTCGCCGTCTCTGATTCCAATATTCCACCACGAGCGACCCTCTGCCAGTCCATAGTCGTGGATGGATGTAGTGTTGTGTGTAGTGCTCAAGGTCAATTAGGCGATTATTGATCAGTCTTTTTGTACTGGGGAGTAATATGAAAATTGGATAATGTGTTATTATGCATGTGTCACTGGTTGGGTCGTTTGGTCGTCTGTCCATCCACACTGAATATTTGATGGACAGCGGCGGAGGAGCGGACAGGGAGAGAGCGGAGAAGAGATATCAATTTGATGACAAGAATATCAAGCGGAATCTCTCTCTGCGGGGGAAATAAATATTTGATCAGAGAATGAAAGACTTTTGTCCATCCACGTTTACTCAGTAGAGGAATCTTATACGCGTATGTGGGCATCGGCAGCAGCAGCAGGGTTGGATTGGTTGGAAGGGATTATCAATTGCTAGTTTGTTCTCTCTCGGTGTATACGTACATTCGTCCGTATCTGGAAATTGAGAGAAATCGGCGATGGACCAGCAGCAGCAGCATCCGCAACAGAATCACAAGAGAGAGAGAGAAAGAGAGCGAGTTAGTTGTTAAAGAAGTATTTTATTGATTTTTCTTTCTATCCACATCCCCAAAAATTCATCCGATCCACTCGGCCTCTCCGATTCTCTAATTATCCAAAATATCTGTCAAAACATTAATTAACAACCTTTCTCGTCAGATCATCTTTCAAATCAGGAGCAGTCTTCAATATTCTCTTGGCAATAATAAAAGGGCCTGCTACTCGCTGCGAAAGAGAACAAAACGTTATATATGTATTATTATAAAAGAGAATTTCCATCTCATCTTGCACTACTTTGCTACTGATGTACCACCACCACCTCCACCACTATTATCATCATCACTAAGGATGGATCATCGGATGTTTTAGTCATGCTCTTTTTATGCTCAGCCATACTTTGTTGATGATGAGTAAGTGAGAATTTTTATTATAACTTGGATACAAAATTTCAAGCACGAATTGAATTGTGTTCCGTTCGATTACACTCAACATCAAACATCTCATCATCATCATATCGGCAACATCATCAACATTTTCATTCTTGGACCTAAAGTTACGCATCACTTCACACATCGCACACAGTTTTGTTGTGTGTAACAAAATTGAGAAGAGCGTTTTTTTGTGAATGTGTAAAATTGGCCGGATGTTAACAAAGTTACAAAATTTTGTTTGATTATTGTTATGATTATTATGATTATTATTTGTTCACTCATTTGTGATTCCTATTTTGTCCTCGACTTTGTCCATCCATTACGGAGATAAAAAGAGGAAAAAGGCGAGGGGATGAATTAGTGGATCAAAAAGGGATGAGACAGTTTTGTCATCGCTATATCATAACTTTTAACACCGTCCATCCATCCATCCATCCGTCTCTCTCGTTCGCTGTTATTATGTGGCTGCTATCCCTGCAGTGCAATAAAGCCTCTTTTTTCTCATCTCTCCTCCACAAACACACATGAACGTGTAAGAAGAGGGAGAGTGCTGCAAGTTCTCATCTCATCTCTCTCTCTCTCTCAGCGAGTGTAATAATCTCACTGTAATATTTCAGTTGGCTACAAGCCACCACCGTACAAACTTCTCAGATCGCTCCACTCTTGTTGTCTGCTGCTCCTCGAGATATTGTGTGTAAAGTGAGTGAGCAAAACTCATATTGTCCACTGCTTGTCCAGATTCCTAGATCTCGTGTCGTGATAACTCGGTCGTCCTCCGAGAAAGGTTGGTGAGAGAGAAAGCAGCAGCAGCAGCGGAAATAGAGGGGGTTGCCCCCTTCTCTCGTCTGCCACTGTGGTGGGTGGATATTTCATATTAATGTGAAGAGACAGAACCAATAGCAAAATTTCCACTTTTCCTTGGACTCCTGTCCTCTCGCCCCATACGGATCCAAGTTGTTCCAGTGGCAGTGGCAAGTGGTGGTAGGCAGCAGCACACGCCATAACATAAGCAAGCAGTGGTGGTGGTGGTAGAGCAGGAGAAAGGACACCAAGAAGAAGAACATCTCCCAATTTAATAACTTTTTCGATATTATGAGCATGGCACAAAATTTCACCCGGAGAAGAACGCCTTTGCTCTACGGTTCAGTCCCAGTCTTCTCTACCTCGACCTACTGGTTCGTCATCTGCCTCGTCGTCATCCCACACGTCGTCCCCTCGTCGTCGTAGTGGTGCATCATCGTCGCCACCAACTGTGTGTGTGTGTCAAGTCGTCGTCCTGGTCAACCATGTCCCGGCGCAAACAGGCCAGACCCTCACGCCTCTTGGATGATGACGAAGAAACCGAAGGGGGCAGTGGTGGGGGGGACCTCGCTGGGGGGCGTGGTTGTGGGGAACTTGCGACCAAGAAGACAGGTTAGCAAATTGATTACTATCTTTTTTTTTGTCTGAAATTATTTCACCTGTCATCATGTTGAGCATCATGGTCTCAAAAAAGTGACAAATCTGCATGTGTCATATTTCCCCAAAATATGTCCTGTCGTAAAAAGTTATCAAACAAATGGCATAATTGCATCCGTTTGTCATCATCAAATCTCTCTCTGATAATAATTAAGAATTGTGTGGGTGGGTGGACAAAAGTGGGTCCAGAAGAGACATAATTTCATTGAATGTACGACACACAATGGTCCACTTCCGACAAACGAATTATTTTCGCAGACCCACAATGACAACCTGTCATTTGTTTTAAAATTATCCTCCTCCACATAATAACAATCGGAAATAATGTATTTTGACAACCAACTATACTCACTGGGCATGCAGTCAGTCCTCGCAGTCGAGGTATATAATTTGAGTTATAAATCAGAAAAAAACACCGGAAATAGCGAATTGACTCTCTTTTTTATTTATGGCAGATGTTTGTTTATTGAGATAATAATAATAATGGTGGTAGTGATACAGAACATCATCATAGCTCACACACACAACATTAAGTATTCATATAAAATTCCATCTCTCAAATTAGGTTTTAGCTTTCCCCTCAAAAACATCGTCTCCCCATCCACACAGAGAAAAATCCTAATAATAATTTCGCCCATTCAAGTTCAACCCTACGTACAAATACACATATTATTCCTGTGTACTCCTTTGTACGTGTGTCTGTATGTACATACACACTTGTTAGTTTAACTCCACAGTCAGTCACTCGTCGTCGTGGTCGTAGTGGTCGTTGTCGTCGACGTCGTCGTCGTTCTCTATAACTCAGCAAGCACAGCAAGTGCACTTTTTTAAGAGGCCGACACCAGCAACTTGCTCACTTATTATGTATGTGTGCATACTGCTAATATTGCATTCCGTCGTGTCGTCCAAAGTCGCCCCATCAACGCAATAATAAAAATGATAAGTGGATAACATCTACAAAAACAGGTTTCAAAATATGTCCAGTCCTCATAATCAGAGAAGAAAATGGTGTAATTAATTTTATAGAAAATGATGATGTTGATGAGTGACATAATAAAAGAATATTATTATAACGAGATATATATTTTATACACATTTTATATCAAACGAAGGTCGCTCGCTATCAACCGGTTTCATAGAAAAAGTGACAAATTTATGAGGACGGGTTTGTCTTAGCAATTCCATGGAGTGGGTTGTAGTAGGAGTTGCTGATTAATAATAACGAGAGTGGTGAGAAGATATTAGAGACGAAGACGGGGAAGAAGGAGACACGATGAAAGGGAGAGATGATGATTATGATGAGACGAGAGAGAGAGAGGGATGAGTTATCAAATGATGAGTTATAGAGTAGGATGGCTTGGTTATTGGGTGGTGGAGTCTCGTGTCGGATTTGTGCATAGGATTGGACCAACTTTTTGGATATCCCCCTGCTAAACAACTCCTCCTCTCTTCAAAAAATATTATTTAACCACCACCACTGACAACCACCACCACCCAATAACTTGTGTAATAACAACATTTTCATTTTATTAATCTCACACGTTTTATACCGTCCTGCGACATGGCTAAAAAAAGCTAAACACATCTGTCATTTAATCCTTCCTTTGTTGCCTACATGGAGCGTCTTTATCCCTCGGAAAAAAAGATTTTGTGTCCTCTCTCACTTGAACAGACACACTTTGTCAAAATCCAGTGGAGAGCGTGATTTGGATTTAGTCGGACATTTGTTAATATTTGTAAAATTCTCGTCTTCTCTTCTTCATCATTATTATTGCCGACGACGACGGATCACAAAACGACGACATGGCTAACCAACCGTATTTTTTAGCAGAGTAAAAATACAAATAAAATTTTGAGAGCCCATTCTCCCCATATTATTATTAGTATTATTATTATTAAAGCCATGAGGAGAGATTATCAACTGTCACGAAATTGGGTGCACACACAGGGCTTTTTATTTTTAACGTCTCAATTTTCTCTTTAACAACTTCCTCCAATTATGATGTCGTTAAAAGGAGAGAGGAGATTTCGCGGACCGTGTAATTTGTTGGCTGCACCATGGTCTCTCTCTCTCTCTCCTTGTCGAGGAGTCTTTTCTTTTGACTTATGAGTCGGTGGTGACAAAAAATATGTGTTGAGGTCGATTTTGACATGATGACCTCTGGACTGGCCGGACGGATAGATTGATGGAGAGCAGGGGAGATTTCCACAAAACCCGATTAATCATTTATAGCCGGGAGATGCCCATAAAAAATCCCCAGTGGATCTCCGCCACCAGTCGTGTGATGGTGGGTATATATGTGTGTATTTGGTGGTGGTATTGGTGGGGTCGACATGCCGCATGGATCTTTCAATATGTTCATGTCTTGTATGAATTTATGATGATCATTCTTGGGCAACTTTTTTTGGCTCTCTCGTAATCACCTTAAAAGGTTTCCTTCTCTCAAATCAATACTTGTCTGATATTTTATTGGTTGGATGGCTTATTGAGTTTTATACTCGAGTTGCTGAAAAATATTTCCGCACTTTTCCTGATATGAGATCCTCCTCACATTTTGTCAAGAATAATTATATTACGCAGAATGAGGAGATTGAGGAGAGCTCGAGGAGGTGGTGGCTGTGCAGGATTTTGGTCGTAGTAAATTCTAAAAATAAGTGATCATTTTAAAGGCAAAAAGAGTAAGAGAGGAGCAAACAAAAGCAAAAGCATCTCACGACGACCAAAACGACGAGGACGAGAGGAGGACAGAAGAAGAAGAAGAGGAAGGATGGGAAACAAGACTTTTGAGCAATTTTTATTGCAGACAATAACAAGGAAAAAGGGGGAAGAAAGAGAGAAAAGAATTTTAAGTTATTTTTGGACAGATTTGGTAGAAATGAAGACATAATTACTTCTTCTTCGTTGTTGCTGCTGCTGCTGCTGCCACCACCATTATTGTGCACATACATATTCCCCGTCAACTGCAGGCTTGCAAAGAATAATTATACGTAGGAGCAGAAATATGTAGTTAAACGAGCGCATGCATTTAGTCAGAGAGAGAGAGGAGAGTGAGATTATTATTAGAGTTGTAATTCTGTCATGAAAAGAGCATCGTATTTGGTGTTGGATGTGGCAGATTTTGGAAAATCAATGAAGATTAAAGTATTATATACGGGGGGAAATAAATCATCCAGAGTCTGAAGTGGATGAGAAAGTGGACAAATGATGGGCAATTTTTGATACATATTGCCAGCAGCAGCAGCAGTCCGAGGAGTAGGAGGAAGTAGTTGGCGTTGGTGGTGGTGGGGGAATGGAGTGGCAGGAGCGAGAGAGAGGGCAGAATGGTCAAGCGTTCTTGTTTTCAACGTATTGATTTATAGGGATGATCTTTGTGAAGGGATATCGATCCCGTGTGTCCATAATAAAAATTTATGGAAGTAAATCTGAAAACGAGGGTCGGCAGAGAGAGTAATAAAATCGTGTCGTGTCGTAGTAGGGACAAACTCTCACAATATTCATTAATGTTCTGGCAGCAAGGGGGACAGCCAAGTAGTAATGACTCTTTTGGGTCCAATGACAGACAACTAGCTGACCATTGGTCATCCTGAAGCAGGTGCCGGGCCTTCTCCGGCTGCACTCTCTCCGCTCCTACTGCTTCGTGGGGTCAACATCTGTTACAATAATAATCATAAAAGTACCACCACCACCACCACCTCCCTTATTCATTCCATAATATCCAGTGGGTGGTGGTGGCATGGATGCTCTTCAATAATCAAAAATCATTTTTCAGTAACAAGAAAAATAAACAGAATCATCAGGCAATGAGCCAAGTCTAATAAAATTCTCTCTTTTCTCTCTTCTTCTTCTTCGTCGTCCTCGTCGTCGTAGTCGTTGACGTCGTCGGTGGTGGTGTATCGGAAAATCCTGGGATTGCTTCTCCCGTGTAAAATAACACTATTATTCTCTTCGCTTCTGTAATAAAGCCTCTTGTGTTATTATAACAAAACCATCTCGCCTTCTTCTTCTTCACTCTCCGACACCGACACACACACGCTTCCTCCGTCGTCGTCTTCTTCACAAAATCCGAAAAGGAAAATAATTAAAGAGCCGAAAAATGAGTAGCCAGCTATGCAGACTAAACGAGAGAGAGAGAAAGAGGGATGATAATTTTTGATATTTTGGAACCAGCTGAAAATTTCGAACAAACGACAAATCAATCATATGCGATGAACAGATGCGTGCGGAATATTATAAGAAGGGAGACAAAAAGAAATGCGGAAGGAAGGAAGCAAAGAGGAAAGAAAGACAGGGGAAGAAGAGGGAGAGATGCTTTTTTGGGTTAAAAATTCCGATTTTATTTTTGGGATGCAGTCGTGGGGAGACAAAAGTTTAAGTTATTATTATGACAAAAATAACTGAATCAGTTCCATCGCACGAGGGAATGTTGCTTGGTGGAGAGGAAGGAAGAGAGAGAGAGATATGATGATGCCAAGGCGCATATATTCCTCCTCTGGGTAGCAGTTTGTGCTATGTAGATCATAATAATTTAAAAGAACAAAGAATGTTTATTTGTCTCTCTCTCTCTGTGTAGAATGTCTTTTTTGTTTGTTCTAAAAATAAAATTTACTACATTCTGGGATGATTTGATAAAAGAAGCATTTTCTTTCGTTTCTTCAGAATTATTATCAAATCTACTCCTCTGTCGCTCCTAAATTTACTATTTTTAGATTATTACCCCGGATCTCATATCCTTTCTTCTTAATTACACAGGCAGCGGCGTTAATAATAAAGACACGGATCACAACCAAGGTTCGTTATCATTTTGCTCACTCTTTTCTCTCTTTGCCATCTTTTTCATACGATTCCAATGATACATATTCCTCGCCATTATGAGCACCACCAAAATCTATTATCAACACCAGAGTTGAGTTTTCTGCACTTTATCCCATACAGAAAGTGCACATATGCACACACGAGCAATGTATAAAGTGTATTACACATGTACAGCGTGTGCTACGTCGTGTGTGGCGTTTTTGCAAAATAATGTAATGTCTTTATCTGTTATGAGACTTTAATCTCTTGTTTTGTTCCAACACAGTTTTGACTGACAAGGAGGATGCAAATAACAATGAGTCCAAAGAAAAGGTGACAGAAAAAATGATAAAAATGAACCAATTATGTGTGTACCAAGTGAGACGATGTGTATAACTTATGCTCTGCTTGGATTTTGTTATATGACAGGAGTCGGAGGATGAAGACGAAGATGACGACGATGAACTAATGAAACGCGAAAACGACGAAAAAACATTAGTCATTCAAAATATGTTGTCGAATTTACAGTGGCCAGCTGTAAGTCCGAGTGTGACTTTGGAAGCTTTACAAAATACAAAAGTAAGAGCAATAACCTTTTTCATTTCCAGAGAATGCATTTCCAGAAGATTCAATGGATCTGTACACATATATCGCTTGTTACATATACGTGTGGTTGTTGTTGTTTGATAGGTAGCGGTAGCTCAACTGGCAGCGAATGCACTTGCGAATAACAATGGAGAGAATGCACAAGATTTGGCAGTATTGCAATCCACTTTATTCACATTACAGCAGCAACAACTGCTCCAATTGCAATTAATTCAGCAACTTCAACATCAATTACATGTTTCCAACAGTAATTCGGATGAAGATGAACTTTCTTTGAGTTCTCCTCCACCACCTCCACCACCACCGCCAACATCCTCCTCACTACCAGGGTCGGGTGGACCGCAAGGAAAACCGGAAAATGTAGAGAATCATCACCAGCAACATCATCATCATCACCATCCTCGTTCCCAGCATCCGCAACAGAGTCAGAGCACCAAGAGTGGCAGAAGCAACAAGAAGCCCCGAAGTAAAGAAAATAATGTTATAACTGAAGATGAAATAATAGATGAAGAGGAAGAAGGGAGGACAAAGTCTAATTCCACAACGACGACGACGACGACAACGACGGCGAATAACAACAACGGTCTCAAGCATAATAATAATAATTCCGATGGTGGTGGTGGTGGTGGCAGCAGTGGTGGTTGTGGATTGAGCCCAGCTTTTGCTACCCTTCTTAACTGTCCAAACCAGGATCCAAATCGGCCCCTATCCCCCGGTTTGCAATCTCATCAAATCAACAATAATCATCTCACACAGACTGATGTTCCTAATACACTCGCAATGCTACAACGAAGAACTGAAGAGGTAACGTTTCGCTCAAACTTTTCTAGTCCCTCGCCGTCTCATCTATTTTTCCAACGCTTATTGGTCCTTTTGTCTTCTTATCACTTTCTCTCATACTCGCTGACCAAAATGGACAAGAGAAATTAGTCTCCAAATTCAATCCCGTCGAGAAAGAGAGAGAAGCGTCGTCTTTGTTTGGGGTCAATCAGTCTGTTGGGATATTAGCCGGACTGACTGAGGAAGGAAGAAGGGGGCCCAAAAATAAGAGCGCAGAATAGAAATTGTCTCGGGATGAGTGGCATATGATGTGACTCGGGGGTATTTGAGCAAGAGATGAGCAATCACAGAACCACACCATCATATCACCATCACACACAACAGTATAAACGCTGTGTGACTCTCTCTTTCTCCCAGCTTTTTATTACATTACCCCAAATGTGACATGATCTCCTCATCTCATCTCTCTCTCTCATTCTGATTTCTATTTCTAGCAAAAAAAGACTCTTCCAGTTCATTTACATTTATATCAAGAGCATAATAAAAATGGGCACTCGAAAATATGTCACAATATTGATGAAACTGTCCTCTTTTAATATGTCGCAAAACGCATTTTGTTTAAAGGTTTTGGATTCTGCATCACAAGGACTCTTAGCTTCCTCTCTCGCTGCTGATAATTGTTCCGGCAAAAAACTCGGTCCTTATGAAAAAGGTCGCGAACCTTTCTTTAAACATAGATGTAGGTACTGTGGAAAGGTTTTTGGTAGTGATTCTGCCCTACAGATCCATATCCGAAGTCACACGGGTAATTTGACGCATTTTTGACGTCATTTTTGTCAATTAGTTAGTATAGCTTATCAAGTAGCGTTGTCATACAAATTTTGGCATAAATAGGTGAACGTCCCTTCAAATGCAACGTTTGCGGGAGCAGGTTTACAACCAAAGGCAATTTAAAAGTACATTTTCAAAGACACACATCAAAATTCCCAGGTAAGAGAAATTGGGTTTGAAACATAAAACTAGAAATTTTTATCACCCATTTGAATTTAATGAATTTGGCAGGAATAAAAATGAATAGTCAACCAATTCCCGAACATTTAGATCACTTTCACCCACCGCTTTTACAAAATAACTCATCCAATCCTACAACACCAGAGCATTCGCCACAACACACTCCGTCACATCAACCGCCACCACCAAATCCATTCATGCATCATCATGCACCTTTCTTTGGGTCATTATTTCGCTTCGATGTCAAACCACCATCCCTCCCGTTCTTCAATGGGAGCAACAACAAAGATGCGCCGCTTTCTCCTCAGGATCTTACCAAACCAAAGAGCAGCACTGTTATTAAAAAAGAGGAAGAAGAGGAAATTGATAACGGTGACGAAGACGATGGTCGCGAGGAGGAGGAAGAGGAGGACAAAGGGGACAATGAAAATGGTGAAAATGACGAGATAAATTCTCCAAAACAAGAAGAAGAGGAGGAGCGAATCAGAGATGAGCAGGAATCAAAGGATGAAAATATCAGTACTCACGGCGACGATGAAGATGAGCCCGAAAATTATGACGAGGAAGAACAACCAGAAAATTTATCCAGTAAAAGCTTGCCCCTCATGTATCCTTTGCCATTGGTGGTCAGTGCATCATATGAAATACTACTTGATACTATCGGATATGCTGTCGCATTTAGGAGGAGAACCTTACTAGTTGCTACCCACAGATATCGATGCCATTTGGATATGTATATGTTGGAGCATCCCATGAGTGAACAAGAACCCTGAAGTGGTTTAATGCCATGGCCACATTTGAGCCCGAAAAATCGCTTTCACTCCAGTTTTCATTCATTTAAAACCACACCAAAAATCCAATTTTACTCCGATTTGAAATTTCTTTCACCATTATACTCCCAGATAGTTACTTTCTTATATCCAACATCAAACTCAACTTGTTTGATGCTTATTACGCAGGCGTAATTTGCGTTGTTGAATACGACAACAATGCTCATTCAATTTTAAATTTTAAATGTATTAAAAATTTCAAGAAGTTGAGTTTGATGTTGGATATAAGAGAACAACTGGGAGTCTAATGGTGAACGAAATTTCAAAATCGGAGTAAAATTGGATTTTTGGTGTGGTTTTAAATGAATGAAAACTGGAGTGAAAGCGATTTTTGGGCACTTTTGAGTGGGTGTGGCGGGCGCAAATGTGGCCATGGCGTCAAACCTCTTCAGGGTTGTTGTTCACTCATGGGATGCTCCAACATATCCAAAGGGCACCGAGATTTGTGGGTGGCAACTATTAATAGTGAGGTTCTCCTCCTTAGTAATTGCATGTAATATTCCCATGTTTATAGGCTCGCCCGTCCAGACCGTCATCTTCATCTGCGTCCACCCCCACAACAACAACAAACAGATCAGAAAATTCACCTACACCAATGATACGATTTCACTCACATCATCATCACATTCAACAATTACAACACCAACAGCAGCAGCAACAGCAGCAGCAGCAACAACACAAAATGATGTTTGATCCAGCAAAGGATCCAGCAATTTACACAAATTTGTTACCAAGACCTGGATCAAATGATAATGCTTGGGAAAGTCTCATTGAAGTTACCAAAGCGTCGGAAACTTCAAAATTGCAACAATTAGTCGATAACATTGAACACAAATTGACAGGTTTGTCATATTAACTTGTAGCCGGGCTTGATTTTTTTTACATATTTTTGAAATAATCGTCTACTGTATGCAGACCCAAACATGTGCGTAATCTGTAGAAGAACTTTATCATGCAAATCAGCTCTCCAGGTAGCAATCTTATTCATTGCTTATTACGAGGGCATTTTTCACGTTATACTAACTCATCATTTCGTTAAATGCTTAAAAACAGATGCACTATCGGACACATACAGGTAGTAAATTAAACATAAGTTTATGCAGTTTTATAATTAAGCATTAGATTATGAGACATGGTCTTCATGGAAAATAGGGGAGCGGCCATTCAAGTGCAAAATATGCGGAAGGTAATCTTATTCATGGATAAGAAAAATATGTTATTTTTCACTTTATACTAATTCATCATTTCATTGAATGCATCCGTATTTAGGGCGTTCACCACAAAAGGTACGCACAATAATGCTGCATAATCTATTGAACTGTGTACAGGGTCGATGGGTGGTCATTTTTTGTATTTTATTAAAGGAAATTTGAAAACTCACATGGGCGTGCATCGGGCAAAGCCACCACTTCGAGTACTTCATCAATGCCCCGTTTGTCACAAGAGGTGAGCATCACATATCATATCACGTCATCAAGTTTACTTATTTACGACATGCTTTCTAACACTTGTCTATTTTATATTATAGATTCACCAATTCGTTGGTCTTGCAACAACATATTCGATTGCACACAGGTCAATTAAATACGATTTTCATGTTTTCTGAAATAATTAAAATTGTACTCATTTCAAGTGAAATGAATAAATAAGCTAATAAGCTACGGAATAATACACAGGCGAGCCAACCGATTTGACACCGGATCAAATACGAGCAGCCGAGGTTAAGGATAGTTATCCTCCATTTGGAAATCCACTTTTCGGCACATTTAGCAGCATGTCAGAGGAGGAAATGATGATGAATGATGATGACAGCGCAAGTGAGACGAATGAATCGATTGACTCGGAAATCAAACCCACTACAAGCTTGGCAGCGTTGGAAAATCAAGTAATTTTAATTATAATACAACACCCATCCGCTACTAGACTTTGAAAAATGGTTTAAAAAAGTTTCAAACGAAGCATAGGTTAAAATTTCTATTAACTCTGGATTATTGATTTCTGACATCTTCTCGCAAAGCACATTTTCATTCAGTTTTTGCTAAGAAAGACAAGTCTTGTTAATTGTCTTTAGAATTTGTGCGACGAATCCACATAAATACCTACGTATTAGTTTGCAGGCGATTCTCTAGTTACTAATTAGTTTTTAGAGCGAATAAAAACATTTTTAGTCAAATTAAGGAGCAAAACAGCTAAAATAACAACGTTCAACATGAGTCTCACTGTTACATATCCCTTTGAAGAATTCGACACCTTCGTCTCCACTTAATATGTTTTATCTCATTTGCATAACTCTATCATGGAGAAAGCAGCTCCGGTACTCCTCGCTATGCATATATACGCAATGCATAAACGTCGACTTGAAAATTTGTGAGATAGGTTCCTACATATATAGTTTTATGCGAGTTACACATTGTATTAAGAAAGGCCACACCTGCGATATTCGGAGTGAGATAACGTCCGAAAAATGAATTATGTATCATTATTGACTGCTTTCTATACCCCTAAACCAAAAAACCTCTCAATTACAGGTGCGAACAATCACAACGACGGCAGCATCTAATTTTGCTGCTACCAATTTCTCGTCACCAAAGTTAAACAGTAATCAAAACATCACTGAGGATAATGATTCGTCATGCTCTTCACGTGGCGTTTCTCCTCAAGCCCCACCACCGCCCCCACCACTCCTGCCACCACAATCCAGTATTGCACTTGACCTAACACCACCGAGATCGTCATCATCATCACAAATATTCAACCCTTTTCATCACTTGCCACCCCCACCTCTTGGATTCCCTGCATCTCTTCTGACACCAACCACCACGGCGAATGCTGTTGCTGCATTGGCAAACCTATCTTCATTCTCACCTCTGGTTCCTCCACCAAGACGTAATTTTCTCTATATTTTTTACACTTGTTTCCGGAATTGAAATTTCTGAGCAAATTTTTTATTGGTGAATTTGTTAATGAATTTTTACCCCGTCTGCCACGATATATAGTTTCTGAAAGCGAATCTTTTCTGTGGACAGCAGCAGCACAACAAGCTCGTGGAAACACTACATGTCAAATCTGTTTGAAGACTTTTGCGTGTAACTCCGCTTTAGAAATTCATTACAGAAGGTATTTATAACTGCGCGATCATTCAAAAATCTCATTTAATCGCATTTAATCATTTCAAAATCTAATTTTTTTCGCAAACAATCTAGTCATACCAAAGAACGGCCATTTAAATGTTCCTTGTGTTCCCGCGGTTTTTCGACAAAGGTAGGTCTAACTAAGGTAGGAGATTCAAATCAATTTATTAGAATGGCGTTTGCTTAAAATACCCTTTATCAGGGAAATGCTAAACAACACATGCTTACCCACAAGACCGTCCGAGATATCCCTGCTTCCTCAAACTCATCTTTCGAGTCGAACAAACAAAATGGATTGGGACAAAGCGATGATTCCAATAAATCACCTCCTGAATCGCCCAAAAGTCAACATAGCCACAACAACAATCATCACCATCATAATTGTATCAATAATAAGCGACCAGCATCACCAGTGTCGCCTCCACAACCCACCAAAAAAATTCATGAAGGTAAATCATTCTCCTTCATCAGGGGCCGTTCGTAAACTTCGTAACGCAAAGAGGGGTGGGTGGGGGTCAGGGCCCAATGATATCGTGCCTATGTGACACATGTTAAAGGGGGGTGGGTGCGTGTCCAGAAAACCAAAAATTTGCGTTATGAAGTTTACGAACGTCCCCTCACTTGTTTTTTTAGTTATGCTAGTTTTTTTCGGGGAGGGCACAATTTCCCTGCATAGTTTAAAAAAAGAGATGATAATAGCAAACCTATAGCAATAATGCACTAGAATTTTGTGAAAGCGTTTTTTGTCTGTAAATTTGTATTTTATTTTAAAAAAACTTGTCAAGTATTCTTACCCTTTTTTTGCAAGCGTCCACCTGTTATCTTGTGTGTAGTAGAAAGGGGTGAAACTGTAGAATGACCAAGAGAATAATATACTTTTTTTCTGTGTGTATTATTAGGTTTGCCATCATCATCCTCATCAAATAGCGAAGATAAACACTTATGTAAAGTCTGTACAAAAAATTTCTCATCGTCAAGCGCGTTGTCCATTCATCACAGAGTTCACAGTGGTGAAAGACCATTCATTTGCAACGTTTGTGGGAAAAAATTTACCACGAAAGGGAACCTCAAGGTGGGAGGAGGAGGAATATTTTATTAACTATAAACTCGCCTTATTTCTGATACATCCTTGTTGTAGGTCCATCTGGGGACACACAACCAATGGAATGGAGCATCCCGTCGAGGACGAAGAATGTCCCTAGATCCGATGACAGTGTTTCTGCCTCACCCACATCATCCCCACCACCCCCACCCCCACCATCAACAGCTATCACATCATCCAATGCTCGGGATGAACACGACAATCAAGTCAGATCTCCATCTCCCTCACCGTCCAGCAGAACTATTCTTTCCATTCAGCAACACCAACGCTCAACAAAATATCTTCCTACAGAACGGATCTCTTAAGGTCAGTAGTAGTGAGAGCTGCATGGTCGTCGTATTACATGGATCAGCACTTGTCTAACCCGACTTACTATTTTCCTATGCACAGTCCTCCAAGGAATCCCCTGATGAGGAAGACAGTCATTTAGATGAGGATGAAGAGTCATCCAAAGAGAATGGAGACATAAAAAGCAAAAAGGTTCTTGGCAGCAGCAGCGGTGAAGCGGAAGTGGAGACCATCGTCGGAGGTGGCAGTGGGGGTAACGACGACGGACGGGTTTGTATAAAGGAGGAGGAGGAGGAGGAGGAAGCGTAGAGACATATCGTGTATTAACCTAGTCGTTCTTTAACATATATAAAAAATGCAAGTCCCTAACTGAACAACCTTTTTCATTGTATACGAACGTTTCATTTCATCCCGATGAACAAGTATTTATTTGTTACCTTAATTTATACCAAAAAAGAGGAGCAGAATACGAAAATATTACCCCCTCTCGTCCGCCACCACTAAACAACAACTTTGCGGGGGAGGGGCTAATAGTATAACGGGAGTTTTCTGTGATAACAAAAACCAGACAAAAAATGTATTCCTCCTCTTTTTTTTACTATTAATTTATTGATTTCCCTTCCACACACACACAAAACCAATTACAAAATTTTCCATTCCAAAAAATACTCCTTTTTTACCTCTACACACAAATGTATCTCAAAACCGGAAGTATAAAACAAGGAGATTTTATTATTTTTATAAAAACATATACTTCCGATTTTCTGAGTGGATTTCATACTACACAAAAAATACAAAAAAGCTTTGTCCTTTTCATCAGCTTAATGAAATAAAAAAATCGTGTTTTTAACTATTACAACAAGTAATTGCGTGTTTATTGTTATTTACAAAAAAGCATTACAAAAAAATCATTAAACGGTTAACTATGCATATGACGGAAGATAAATGGATCGAATGCGAATTAACATTTCGGAAATGTCTTTATCATTTTCAAGTAATTCATTGGCTCGGACTAGGAAATCTCTCAAACCTGGAAATATATGATTCATTTTTGGCTAATCGTCGAATTAAAGCAGCGTAAATTAAGATTTATGCTGTAATTTACCATCCTTATTCCTTGGAAATCCAAATTTACCCACAGCTTCTACTTGAATGTCCACAACGAGTGGAAATACCAATTTCATGACCTCAATCATATCGTTGCCTGCTTCCTCTTTTGCTCCATTTATTTTATCCAAATTATCTAATAAATCAATTGATTATCTCAATTGTTCAGTTATGGACTCAGAATAAAATATTTACCTGGCTCATTTATTCGGCTCCACATCAATTCCAATGCATCTGTAAAATAACATTTAAATTAAGTTGAATAGCAATTTCGCTATTCCTTTAATAACTTTAAGACATAAATTTAATTACCTTTTACTGCTTGGGGTTTCAGCTCCTTTTTGACGTTTTCGTAGACATTCTCCATTCTTGTTGATTTTAATTCAACTTAATTTCTTGTTTACAATTTTCAACAAAGATTTTTTAAAGAGAAAGCAAACACACTGATGATCCTTTTAAAATCTCACGCAAAGAGAATCCCTGGAGCAGCACAACAAAGGGGGCGATCGAGCACGCAAATCTTATGTATTCATTCAGATATTGCAGATTTCGTAAATATACTGATATGAATGTGCTTCTTCTCGCACAGTGAGTTTTTTTTGGGAAAAAATGAATCAATTATTTTAAGGTCTAAAATGGACCCATGTGGGTGGGGGAGCAGAAAAATATGGGTTATTGTGGTTTTTGGAAGGTGTCTGGGGGTTTTTATGATATTTCAAAAAAGTCTCAAATTCCCACCAAAACCACACCCACTTTTTAGAGAATTTAATGCTGGTTAAAAAAGCTATTATACATGCCCATAGCTCCTATCAATTCCACGGGAAAAAATAAAACGTGGCGAAGAAACGAAATTTTTGGCCAAAACGACAATTTCGACAATTAAAAATGGCTGGGAAATTTTTAAATCGAAAAAGTAGCAGCCAACGATCTATACGTCATAAACTACCCATATAGGTGTATCTAATGAAGCAACGTTTGGAAAATTCCCGGACACAATTTTTGGGAAAAGATAAGGCAACTTTGGGCAAAATCAAGGTCACGCGACCTTGATTTTGCGAAAAATTTTGTGTTTATTATAGGATTAATTTTGTAAATGTCCAATTGAATGCAACGTTACAAAGTTTTGCAATTTTAAATAAACCGTAGTAACGTTAGAAGTAGCTCACCCTGGAATAATTAGTTGCACTTAATTTTGCATCATAGGTGCAAAATAAGCGGATAAAATAGATGCATAATTTTTATATAATTTTGCACCAATGGTACAAAATAAACGGGAAATAAAGAAATTTAGTATAACATTGCACCAATGGTGCAGCCGAAATGGTTAAAATTAGGACTAAATTTTGACACGATTTCGAGGTTAAGATATGTCAACTAAGGCTAACTAGAACTTTCAGTTAATCATAATCCTTGGTGCAGAATACATCGATTCCTCCAATTATTTCGCACCATTTTGCGTTAACGATTTTTTTATACCAATTGTGCTACAAATTATGGTTAAAATGGTCTTGGGACTTATTATTCGATTCGGTTTGTTCAATACCAATGGTGCGCCTAACTTATGCACCAATGGTGGAAAATAAGCGGAAAAAATTGTTAGCCAATTTTGACATAGATTATTGCATAACAATTGGGCTACTAATTTGGGTCAAAAGGGTTTTGGGACTTATTAATTAGCATCAATTGATGCAAAAAACTCGGGAACACACAGACCGTAGTAACGTTAGAAGTAGCTCACCCTGTAATATATAATTACCTGGCACCTTTGCACCTTGGGTGCAAAATTATAGTAGTTCAACAAAATAGATCAATAATTTTTAAGCAATTATGCACCAGTGGTGCAGAAAAACGAAGCATAAAATAGATCAATAATTATAATGCAATTATGCATCAATGGTGCAGAAAAACGAGGCATAAAATAGATCAATAATTATTATGCAATTATGCATCAATGATGCAGAAAAACGAGGTAGATGACAAAGTATTTTGCACCACTGTTGGAGATTAACCGTGGTGGGTCCAATAAAATTTCAAAAAATTTGTGTCAAAATTATATAATAAATTCTCCCGGCTATTCTGTACCATTGGTGCGTTTTGCATCAATTAACCCAATTGTTTCGCATCATTTTGTGTTACCGATTGTTAGATACCAACGGTGCTATTAATTTATTAAAAAATGGACCTGATCCATTCTAGTGAGTATCAGTTGTTGCTCATCCAATTGTTTCGCATCAGCTTGGATAACCAACTGTTCAATACGAACGGTGCTACCTATTCCAAAATTGTAGTCCTTTCTCGATCCATTTGCACAATTAATTCGCACCATTTGCGCCACGGATTGTTCGATACCAATGGTGCGCCTAATTTATTCTATAATGGTCAAGGGGATTATTAATTAGCATCAATTGATGCAAAAAACTCGTGAACACACAGACAGACGGACGGACGGACAAGAGGAATTCAATAGCTCTCATGCTTCGCAGGGTGAGGTAATAAATGAGAAGATATGAAACGGCTTGATTTCCGATTTCTAATAAACAAAAATTTAAGGGCGGAGGGTGAAGTGGGGGGAGGAGGAGGGCTCCATGGTAATAATTATTACGCCGTTTCATATCTTCTCATTTATTAGCTCACCCTGCGAAGCATGAGAGCTATTGAATTCCTCTTGTCCGTCCGTCCGTCTGTCTGTGTGTTCACGAGTTTTTTGCATCAATTGATGCTAATTAATAATCCCCTTGACCATTATAGAATAAATTAGGCGCACCATTGGTATCGAACAATCCGTGGCGCAAATGGTGCGAATTAATTGTGCAAATGGATCGAGAAAGGACTACAATTTTGGAATAGGTAGCACCGTTCGTATTGAACAGTTGGTTATCCAAGCTGATGCGAAACAATTGGATGAGCAACAACTGATACTCACTAGAATGGATCAGGTCCATTTTTTAATAAATTAATAGCACCGTTGGTATCTAACAATCGGTAACACAAAATGATGCGAAACAATTGGGTTAATTGATGCAAAACGCACCAATGGTACAGAATAGCCGGGAGAATTTATTATATAATTTTGACACAAATTTTTTGAAATTTTATTGGACCCACCACGGTTAATCTCCAACAGTGGTGCAAAATACTTTGTCATCTACCTCGTTTTTCTGCATCATTGATGCATAATTGCATAATAATTATTGATCTATTTTATGCCTCGTTTTTCTGCACCATTGATGCATAATTGCATTATAATTATTGATCTATTTTATGCTTCGTTTTTCTGCACCACTGGTGCATAATTGCTTAAAAATTATTGATCTATTTTGTTGAACTACTATAATTTTGCACCCAAGGTGCAAAGGTGCCAGGTAATTATATATTACAGGGTGAGCTACTTCTAACGTTACTACGGTCTGTGTGTTCCCGAGTTTTTTGCATCAATTGATGCTAATTAATAAGTCCCAAAACCCTTTTGACCCAAATTAGTAGCCCAATTGTTATGCAATAATCTATGTCAAAATTGGCTAACAATTTTTTCCGCTTATTTTCCACCATTGGTGCATAAGTTAGGCGCACCATTGGTATTGAACAAACCGAATCGAATAATAAGTCCCAAGACCATTTTAACCATAATTTGTAGCACAATTGGTATAAAAAAATCGTTAACGCAAAATGGTGCGAAATAATTGGAGGAATCGATGTATTCTGCACCAAGGATTATGATTAACTGAAAGTTCTAGTTAGCCTTAGTTGACATATCTTAACCTCGAAATCGTGTCAAAATTTAGTCCTAATTTTAACCATTTCGGCTGCACCATTGGTGCAATGTTATACTAAATTTCTTTATTTCCCGTTTATTTTGTACCATTGGTGCAAAATTATATAAAAATTATGCATCTATTTTATCCGCTTATTTTGCACCTATGATGCAAAATTAAGTGCAACTAATTATTCCAGGGTGAGCTACTTCTAACGTTACTACGGTTTATTTAAAATTGCAAAACTTTGTAACGTTGCATTCAATTGGACATTTACAAAATTAATCCTATAATAAACACAAAATTTTTCGCAAAATCAAGGTCGCGTGACCTTGATTTTGCCCAAAGTTGCCTTATCTTTTCCCAAAAATTGTGTCCGGGAATTTTCCAAACGTTGCTTCATTAGATACACCTATATGGGTAGTTTATGACGTATAGATCGTTGGCTGCTACTTTTTCGATTTAAAAATTTCCCAGCCATTTTTAATTGTCGAAATTGTCGTTTTGGCCAAAAATTTCGTTTCTTCGCCACGTTTTATTTTTTCCCGTGGAATTGATAGGAGCTATGGGCATGTATAATAGCTTTTTTAACCAGCATTAAATTCTCTAAAAAGTGGGTGTGGTTTTGGTGGGAATTTGAGACTTTTTTGAAATATCATAAAAACCCCCAGACACCTTCCAAAAACCACAATAACCCATATTTTTCTGCTCCCCCACCCACATGGGTCCATTTTAGACCTTAAAATAATTGATTCATTTTTTCCCAAAAAAAACTCACTGTGCTCTCGTTACAAAATTTTGCAAACATTAAATCGCTGATTTATTTTCTTGTAAAGATGCAACAAATTTTTAAAACAATTATGGGAAATATGCATTAATACGTATTGTGGTAAATTAGGATGAGCTGTTTTCAGACGTCAAATCGTTTAATTCCTCTTCGTGTAATATTCACCTTTTAATTGAAGACAGAAACCAATGACGTAAAATGTGTTGGTTCTGAACTAGCAGATCAGAACAGCTCGTTCCGCATCAACCAAGTGTTTTTCTTTCATGGTAAGCAGAGCTGAAATCTAAAAATAAGACACTACAACGACGTATGTAAAGGGGGCTCTTTTTCCAATCTGATTTTCAAACACAATAATCTCGACTGCGTGGAAATGTCCATCGTCATAAATAGGATACATTTTTCTTCTTTCTTTCCATAATTATTGCACATGTTCCCTTTATAATATTTTATAAAAGTCTTATCCAAAATGGGCAACCAACCCACCACGTTAATTGACCCAGCATCCACAAGTCATAAAGCACAGCCTGTATCCAACACTAATAAATCGCTGGATGGTTTCGTTAAAAGACTTTCACTCGGAAAAAAACTTTCCATTTCAAGAAGTAAAAAGAAAAAAGCTAATTATTTCCTTCCTCCGAATGCGGGTAATTTTAGTGAGTGCTTTCTAATTGTGATAGTTGTGGTAAATTATTTAATTACTGTTAGAACGTCCGTCATCACCGTCACGTCCAGAAGTGTTCCAAGATCAAGATCAATATTTCATTTTGTGAGAAAATTTATTTATTAATTTTTGCAATATTTGTTATGTAACGTGCTTAACGCGATAGTTATAAATTTTTGCGTATAGACGGTGGGATCCACCAGCATTTGATGGTATGATTGTATTTGATATTTTTAAATTTAACGATTGTTCCCCCAATAGTCCCAGCTATTGAAATAATTAACACATTTTTTTACTAACAATGGGAGCACAAACCATGTCCAACTCATCCTCAGACCTTTGTTTGACCCACGCAGTTTGATAGATCAACTCTTCACAAGCAACATTTTGATGCAGGCACTTGGCCAATGCGTAACAATGACTTATGGGCGCTACAACTCCGCGATTTGATCGGTATAAAACCGATTCTTATCGAATTTTTGAACTCGTTGTCGAGAAGTTGTAGTACCCACAAGTTGCTGAATTTTCGCATTGACCCAAGTGCCGCATCAAATTTTGTTTGTCAAGAGCTAGTCTGGTCTATCAAATTGCATGGGTCAGGTTTGCCCTCCCATTGTAAGTAAATATCTTTGTAAATATCTAGGTGGGATTGCACTAATGGGTAAAATAACCTTATCCATACATGATAAATGCTACAATTTTCATTAAATAGTAATAAATATATTTCTAATTAGGCTACGTAATTCAACATTTAGAATTAGGATTACCACAATTAGATAATCAAGATCAAGATGACACTGAAGTAATATATTTTATTTGTGTAACAACTTAAGCCCAAGTAAAAAAAACAGTAATATTTTTTAGGCATGGTACTCCAGTGACCCCGGTCTTATTACACAGACAGAATGCATACTAAACAATTTAGTCCCTGGAACAACCTATCAATTTCGTGTCGTAGCAGAAAATCTAATTGGTTATTCATTGCCAAGGTATGCTAAATATAAATATGTGGCAGCTAAGTACACCAATTATAAACCAAATGTAACTAAAACTTTTTGGACACAATTTTATAAACTCGACACGTTCTACTTGTATTGCAAATCATGATTTAATATTGACTATAATGATTTACACCTTAGTTCATACATTTAATTGTAGTGACGTTTCTGAACCAATTGTTTTTAACCCATATGGAGAATTAGACGATTGGTTCTACGCCCCAATGTTTACTGCCACCTTAGAGGATAAATACGTCGTAATGGAACATGAAATGGTACAGAATTACATTATAACTAATTTTTAGGCATTATTATTAATTCGTTGTTATTACAGCTCACATTAAGCGTTGACTTGAAAGGACAGGTAATATAACATGCGATTTCTGAAAATGTGTGTTGCTTGAGCAGAGAAGAAATGCACATTTCGTCTCGAACGTGTTGATTCGTATTCAGATTTACTAATATGTGCATTAATACGTGTCTTTCGTAAAGAGATAAAAAAATTAAAGCTTAAAAATTAAAATTACATATGATTATTACACAGCCATATCCAATCGTTCGTTGGTATGACAAACACGACCAAGATTTGTGCAAGCAGAACAACAAACGGTACAAGACTTGTTCGAATGGCACGAGGAGAAGCCTTGTAATTAACAGTGTGGAATTATCGGATGCTGGAGTTATTAAATGCCTAGGAATTAATAAAGAGGGACAAGTCGAGTGTTCCACGCTGCTACTTGTCGAAGGTGAAAAATATTGTTTTTTTTATAATGAGGAAAAATTAGAATGCAAATTCCTTCAATTAATTAGCTCCTCCACGGATTAAACGAGTAAAGAACCCAGAATTCCTACAAAACCCATACGACGTAAATGAGAGGGAAGAAGAACGAGTACATAATTTTTTAGATGATGATTATGAAGATTTAATATTTCAAGCTGGTAAATTATAATGCAGATTAATATTTAATTAGTAAAAATTAATTTAATTATTTAGTAAAAATTATTGTAAAATGTATGGATGCACATTAGGTGAACTGGTCCGATTGAAGTTCCTGTTTTCTGGTTCACCGTTACCTGAATTAACAATTTTCCATAATGGAGAACAGGTCACCGATTCTAGAGTCGTGACAGAGGTTTTGAAACGTTATTTTGTGACACAAGGGTATGAAACTAATTTCATTTAAAAGGCATTTAATTTTTGTGTGTAGTTTACGGATAAAGTGATCACAATCCGAATCGAGAATATTTTAAGATATGATCGTGGAGAGTGGTTAATCAAGTTGGAGAATGATTTAGGAGAAGATTGCACTTCCGTTTTAATTACAATTACGGGTACAATTTTAGTCATGGATTGCAATCTGCATTAATTAATTAATTGCTAATTATAAATTTGCAGACCGTCCAGAAAAGCCAGGAAAACCAGAGGTTCTCACTTTGAGTGACAATACATGTGTGCTACGGTAATTTAGTCAATTAATTTTGATTTCACGCTTCAGCATATATTTTCTGATCGTGAGAAGTCTGTATTTAATGTATTTAGTTGTTTTGCACTATGTAAAAATATAACTGATGCTATATTTCAGATGGGACCAACCTATTGATGATGGTTTGTAAACTAAATACACATACATTACTCTGAAAATTTTAGCATACGAGAAATCAATTCTGTCGAATCATGAATTTAATAGGTGGATGTCCAATTCATAATTACACTGTTGAATATTTTCGAGTAATTTTGTTCAATTAATGTCTTCATTTACAAATTTTAAATAAAATAAGAATAAAAATGCAATCATTTATGTAACAGACGGAATGGGGAGTTTGGCTGAAAGCACTAACGAGTAAAAATCCAGGAGCAAAGATTAAGGATTTGATTCCTGGGTATGCCTTTTTCATTCTGTGGTTTTAATCATTTTAAAAATTTAATTCAAATTTTTAAAATAAATAAATATAGTACATCAAATTGAATTAGGTCGAAGTACCGTTTTCGAGTGAAAGCTGAGAATTTATATGGAGGAAGCGAACCAAGCGATGAATCGGAAGAAATATTGATTACCGTAATCTATGACTATATATTTTAAATTACAATTTTTAGATTAGATTAGTTCAAACCTCAAATTCACATCTTGTTTGACCTGCACCCTCACATTCACAATAATCCAGTTTATGGCTTTACCATCTTTTTCTGTCCCATTGATTGCATTACCCAAGTAAAATATTCCATTGAAATTTTATATCCCGTTTTGAATTATCTATTATTATTTGGAGAACCTACAGTTCAAAATGCCTCCCACTTGAAGTTGAAAGCCTTCTGTTCATCCCCACCTAAACCCTTATTGAACTTAAAGAACTATTTAGCTGAACATTTATGCATTTATCATAACAAAAAACCTTACGCAGACAAAACCTGAGTATAAACAATTGCCTTCCATATCAACAACATTTTCGCCTGAATAAATGTTTTCGGTCATTTGGTAGACTTATACCCAACTATGCGGGGTGTGGGGGTTTAGTGGGGACTGGGGACATCATAATTGCCTAAATAACGTGCTGACCTTGTTTACTTTTTTATGTCCGTCGTGGTCGTCCTTCATTTAACACGTCAGACTTCACTGGACAGGTAAATTAATAACTTTACTGATTCTCGGTGTAATGGAAACAACAGTGGCAAGAAATATTTTTATAAATTTTTAATGAAAACGTAAAATGAGTATCTTCAATTGCATGCCGAGTTAAATATAAAATATGCATACTCTGAAATTTGGTAGTTAATTAAATTAAATATTATTCAAGGTTAATGCCATCTCTTGAAGAATCAGTTGAAGAAGAATCAATGGAAATACTTTCCCATTCTGATTTCCGTACGTATTTAGCTTGTGATCTACTCATTTTTCATTTACTCATTGGAAATACATTTTGAATTCGCCTATATTGCAGAAGATTATAATGACGATATGAAATACTCGCCACAAAAGGGAAATTTGCCCATCAACCTGCGACCACCATCTCCCCGACCTAGAAAATCTGAAGATAAATCTCCAACAGAAGACCCATCTAAAAAATTATATAATCGTGGAGATTTGATTAGAAGTGCAGTAACTTCATCGGTTGATTATGTCCAAAGATTTTTAAGTGAAACTGGAAAAGCAGATTCAAAAGATGACGACATTACGATTGATGAAGAATATGAATATGATTTCGATAAGCTACAACAAGAATACGAAGAAGAAATGCGGGCATTACGTGACCAATTGGAAGATCACAGCGACGAAGATTTCGATGATGAGGACGAAGAGGACGAGGAGGAGGAGGAAAATGGGGGCGAGGAAAAAGGGAAAGGTGACGATGACGCGAATAAGAAAGATGACGATAAAGAAAAAGAAGAAGTGATCCCGAAAAAGGAAGAAAGTGACGAAGAGAAAGACGAAGATTATCAAGAAGAGTTTATTTGGCCGAGGCGAACAGTTAAAGAAAAACCCGTCCAGATGCTCCCCACTTTAGGGGATCGCTTCACAGATTATCTTACAATGAAGATTGCATCAAGAGATAAAAGAATTGGTGGATCAATGAGATCGTTGCATTCTATTGATAAATCGGAAAGTAGAGAGAATTTGAAAAAATTATTAGATTTTGAAAATGAAAGATCCGTCACACCACAAGAATTTGATCAAGATTTAGACGAAGCTGTACAAATTCAAACCGTTCGGAAAGCAATAATTTTAAATGAGGAGAAATTGGAGAGGGAACGATTAGAAAGAGAAAAACTTAAAGAAATTCAGAAGCAGGAGGCCATTCAGAGAGAGATTGCATTAGAGGAGAGGAGAAAGCTAAATAGAAAGCAGCAAAGCGTTGAAGTTGTTTTAGAGGAGAAAGTAACTACAAAAATCGATCCTGAAGTCGTGTCAAAAATTGTTTTGGTATCCATTTTAATATTAATTATTCCTGTTTATTGGTATTACGATGTGTATGTCATGCTCTTTTGTTTTGTCCTACTCCTCCTTGTTTGGAATAAATTGAAAGTTTGGATGTTTTAAAAATGTGTGTGCGAGAGCGAGAGAAAAATTGGGTCGAGGTTTTCATGAGTTATAAATAGAATTGAATATATATTAGCCAGCCCACATCTTTGGCTATATTTAGGACGCTCTATTCTCTCAAGCTTTTTGGCGTTGTAGTAAAAAAATCCATCCAACGACTGCATCCAGTAGTGCTTACACACACACCACAAAACGACGAGACGAAAAAATCTATCTTTTCAAGTTTCCATGGAGATGCACACACTCGTTGACGACCCTCTTTCCCCTTCTCGTTTTCTTCTCTTATAAAATTGTTCATGTCGAAAAAGCATGTTTAGTTTTTTGATAATAAATGGGATCTAAATGTTGCAAAAACTCAAAATCTCCTCCGGACGATCAAAACAGGTATTTGAGATAAATAATTGATGTACTTTCTTGTACTTTTTTGTACTCAGTGATATTTCTGAATCGTCTTCAAAAAGGTTGCTTCGTCGTGAGTTGTCATCAGGAGACGATCAGTATCGTTCATCAAATAATAATTTATATCCACTAAGAATAAGTGAACTTCGTCCAGTGGCGAATCGTAGTCAAAGCCAGCAAAAACTTTACACATTTATACCACCAACGAACAGCTCTCCTCAGAATAAGAACGCAAAAAGTGAGAAAAACGGAAAGAAAATGACATTAATCACTGGAATGGCAAAATCTGATACTGCTTCGACCGGAGGCGGTGGCGGACCACCAATTTTTATAAGACAATTAAACGATACGTCCATCAAAGTGGGTAAGGTTTACTAATTTATGAGTCATTATAAAACTAATAAAACGAAGGCTTGGAGATCAGGGAAATTTTACTTCATATTTTATGAAAATAAATATTGGAAATTTGTTAACATGTTACAAAAAAGTTTGTATTGCTTTTATATAAAGGAACCAAAGCAAGACTTTTGGTAGAAGTTGATCCAAACTATGGTGGAGATAATAACAATGGGGTACTGAAGGTAGGAATTTAATTATTGTCTACAAGCGTTGTTGTCTGATTTTGAAGCACTGCATTCTTTGTTTAAGGTCACATTCTACCGAAATGATGTCAAAATTATAAATACATTATCATCATCTTCGTCTGGTGGGGGCGATTCTCAGCCAAGGTATTTACAAGGAAATGAAGGACGATTTTATTTCTTGGATATTTCCGAAGTTCACATCGAGGTGAGAAATGGTGTTATTTAATTTACATCCTTAATTTAACGAAATTATCCAATTTTAGGATGAAGGAAAGTGGATTTGCCTTATTGAAAATTTTCATGGGTACGTTCCGACTAATATAAATGTGCATATGCTCTGAAATTTGAACTTGGTTTTTATCTTTCACAGGAGGAGTTCCTCAACTTGTCTTGTTAAAGTCATGGGTAAAGAAAGTGTTTATAAAATAATTTTTGAAGTCATTTACTGAATTACTCAATCTCTACTTCCAGTTCCAAAAGCGTACAAGTATCCGGAATTTGTCGAAGGTATTTATAAGAAAATCGTCTATTCGGTGCATATTAATTTTAATTTGTTCCGTATTTGCATTATTCAGGTCTTAAAGCGATACTCACTTCCGCTGGGACTGTTTCTCTGGAGTGCAAGGTGCGCATTTTTGACTACATTCATGTTGTATTAACAAATTGTAATAATAAAATTACGCCGACTATTTCAGGTTATCGGCACGCCCACTTGCATACTTAAATGGTACTATTAAGCATCTCTCATTCACTGTTGATTAATTGATGAAAATGCTTATTGTGCGTTGTTGTTACTTGTTATAGGTACAAAGATGGTAAGCTGATGCTGATTCACTGAAAATATCACAATCATTCATTGTTGATATTTGCTATAGGAAAAGAAATACGTGCCGGTGATATATTTGCACTTCGTGGTGACCCATCTTCATTGGGAGTGGTAACAGTTTATTACATATTCATAATTATGACATTTTTATTTTTCAGTAAAATATTTGAAACGCAATTTTCAGTATACGGTTGAAGCTTGTAACTGTATGGGGAGCGTTACAAGTTCTTCAAAAGTGCATATGCTGGGTGGATCTGCGGACGAAGATCGGTTGACTGTAGTACAAAACCTGTCAGATTGTCGTGTTCGTGTCGGAGATAAGCATGAGTTTCAATTTAAATTAAGTAGACCTTTGGGCAATAAAGATGTTATTCAATGGTTCAATAAATCCCAAAGTGTCGAGTTGAAAGATAGACTTATTCCCAGTGCGGATGGAAGCGTGTGTAAATTATTTGTGAGTCAAGTGGAAGTGCAAGATGAGGGAGAGTGGGAGTGTTTTGTGACTACGGCTGGGAATCAAAAAGTCTCGTCGTCCTGTTCAATGTCCATCCTTATTCCAAGAAATTATAGGAGACCGAGATTCCTGGAACAATTAAGGGCCATTCTCACGGAAGAGGGTTAATTATTTCTCCAATTATTGAAATTATGATCAACAACCAATCGAGTCATGTTCGATATTCTTGTTACAGGTCTTGTCAGTTTCGAGTGTAAAGTATGCGGTGAGTACAAAAAGTTTTTAATTTCCTTTTCGGTGACATTCCTCTGCGTTGGGTATTATAATTTAGCTTTCCAATGAACTGGTGGACTCGTTATGTTCAATTTTCACACACTTTCTCCGCCAGAGTAGGAGAAGTTGTACTCAACTTGTATCAATATTTTCAATTCTAAATTTTGAATAATTCTAAATGTTGAACGTCAGATGATGTTCAATGTATTTTGGAACATGAATTCGAAAAACTCGTTATTAGATGATCGTTATTAGACTCGTTATTAGAATATTAGATGATCTTACAATATCTCCGACGTCACTGCATGCCACCAACATATGTATGTACACTTTATGAGGTTTGCACAAAAATTTTTGTTAATTTATAAAGCTTTCCGCTAAGTATTTCGAGTTTCTCCACTAAATGTGAAAGTAGCTTGAAAGTTGAAATTTTGCTAAGTCGCCCCCATTCTTGAGCAATGATAAACTCCATTATCAAACAGTTCTCATAATAGTTAAATAACCTCAAAAATTTTAAAATAGGTTTTCCTACCCCGAATCTCGTTTGGACGAAGGATAACGTAGAACTGAAACCAGGTAAAAGTAGAAACTTTCACCATCATCATTAGATCAATTACATAATAAAACAATATACGATTTTCAGGGGATGTGTACCAGTTGAGTGGAGCAAACTCATTGGTACGGTTTTAAATATATCGAAATTAACAAATACCAAGTATACAAATATTTGCATATGAACGCATTTCAGGGCGTCTATCAATGTATCGCACGCAACTGCATGGGAAACGCACAGTCCAGCACAGAGCTCACCCTCGAAGATATCCAGCACCAATTGAGCGATGACGAAAAGAGACAACTTCTCCAAGACAAGACTTCAAGACCACCAAAGTTCTTAAAAGGTCTGAAATCTATAGAACAGAAGATTGGAGAATCGTGTCAACTGCAAGTGCAAGTCAATGATCCCAAAGCCACGGTCAGTTGGTTTAGGGACGGAATTCATCAAATTGAAAGGTGAATTACAAATTTTTGAGAATTTTATTCAGAAATTTAAAGATAAATCACTAACAATGATCATCATATTTTTTAGTGATGATGAGAAATATTCCATTAAACAAGAAGGTGGACTTGGGTAAGTAAACAAAAATGAGAATACAAAATATAAGAATGCCATAGGTAATTTACTTATTTGATTATTACTTAATTCTTAACTAACCTGATTAAAGGTTATTTATTGGAAGTATAAATCTTTGTTCAAAAATTATAAATAGAATTCATAGACTAAACAGGCTGATGTACAAAACTAAAATAACGGTACAAAAGACAATTACTTCTATCTTGAGTTACACTATTCTGCAGAAATTCATGAATTAAAACAAATATAACTTTAAAGGTCAAAAACAGGGGATTTCATCTTTTTCTCTGGAGGTCCGTCATTTTCTTCGCCAGAATCTTTGTCCTCTTCTTCTTCTCGTTCATGTCGATTCTATAAAAATGAACAATTTATATGACATCACTAAATAACTAAAGTGGAGGTTATACTTGATAATGTAGAACAGTGGCATTAAAAAATGACGAAGAGTAATCGCACTCAGGTTCCGGACATGTGTATGGCTTTAATTGCAAATGGGTGCAGACGTGGTCACTATCAAATTAGATCATTATTAAAATAATAAAATCTATGATAAGCAATTAAGTTACCGTGAATTACGCAACCCAATTGTCAATATCCCACACTCGGTTTTATTTTTTATTTTCCAGATGCATTTAAACTTTTTTCTTTTTGACCCTTCTTGTTTGACACTCTCCAAATAGGCATCACATTTCCCTGCGTCCTCCTCACTGATATCGGTAATTCCAAATTTTGTTCGATTTCGTAATGCTGCTCTTGGGTGGACCATTATTCGATGAGTGTGTAATGATGCTGGTGTCACAAAAGAACATGAACAAAGATCACATTGTTGGGAACCGATGCCAGAATAGTGATTTGTCTGGAAGAATTATCATTTATTGCAACATGAACTGGTTTAATTAGTTAATTTAAGAAACCTCGTACCTTTAAGTGGTTTGAAAGAGTTTGAGTATGTTTTAAAAAAACCAAACCGCACAAATAACACCTTAATCTCTCTTGTTTTGGTGGTTGTGAGCGTGGATTGTCCAGTTTTTCTGGTGGTGGGGGAGGAGGGTTGTTGAAATAATCTTCTCTAATTTCTGGTATCCGTTTTAAAAATTGTCTAAGATGGTTGTCAATTGTTTCGGCGTGTTTGGACAGAACTAATTCTGCGGTATACGGCGCTTTGGAGCAAACAACTCCAAACCGTCTCCGAATTTTATATTTTAATTGGTCAGCCACCCATGCATCATCAGAATAAATGTGGAATGAATAGGTTAATGTTGGTTCTACTTTCCACCCCAATTGTTGTTCGAGCTCTCTAACAAAATCAATAGTTTCATTAGAAACCCTGTAACGGGCACCACAAAGCTGTACTGAGAACTTTTTAAAATAAATGTTATCACATACTTGACCTTGCAACCGTCAAGATCCAAGGCGTCACTCTTAAATTTAGAGGAAATCGTCTCTGTTTGTCCGACAAGGCAAATATCTGCAACTCCTTTATTTACGGACATGTCCCTCATGTCCCCGTACGTGTCAATAAGTAGACAGAAGTAGATTTGACTGAGATCCTCTAAATAACACATTATTTGCATTAGGTTTATGTAATAAAAAATAAATTTATAAATAATACAAGTTACTTTGAACGTCCTCTTCTGTCATGACATTTGTGTAAATATCGTCATTGTCGTCTTTCCAGAAAAAAAGGTCCACCCCTACTTTGGGTGTCTGACGAAGTAGTTCACTTTCACTAATCATTTTGTAGAGGCAGGGTATTAAAATTTATTTGTAAAGTAGAACAGACCAGGGAACAGACAAATATGATGGTATTTTTCTTAACTGTTGCCACCTTTGTGCCATCACTCCACCTCAGTATGTACATAAAACTAAGGGGAACATTGATCACTTTATGTTTTGCAGACTTCATACCTTGGATATTAAAGTTTTAGAATTTGAGGATCAAGCAGAATGGAAATGTACAGGAAGTAATGATTATGGCCATAGCTTCACATCTTCGAGAATTAAGTTCGTTATAATTCGTCAATACGAAATTTATAGTTGTAAAGTATGTGGTCAATAAATTGATTTATTTTCAGGTTGATTATTCCAAGTCATTATAAGAAACCGAAATTTTTGGAGTCTCTCACAGCAATTCTGAGCGAGGATAAAACTGTGAATTTGGAGTGCAAGGTCATTGGAGTACCGGTAAGTCCCCTTACCTTGTATGCTAATGTGGGAACGATGAGAATTGTTTTAGGTTGAACATTTATTATGAGGGAACGATGAGAATTATTAAGTAACTATTTACATTTCAATTAACAATTTAGACGATGAGTTATGACATACTGAAAGTGGCGCATTTGCGACCTTTAATAAATGTTCGATGTTCAGGTCCGATATTCTTTATATTTTTTTTTTGTCCGAATTCGAGGTATTTTTTTATCTGAATGCCAATTTCAAAAACTTTCGAATTTCAAATTCTTTAGGGCAACAGTTCTTTTCAAACTTTCCAAATAATGATGCATGATCTAAACTCAACTGAAAACTAGCTCAATACTAATTCAAAACAATTTGTAAAGGTTCCAGTACTAAAATGGTACAAGGATGGGGTCGAGGTATGTGCATATTTGCATTTTATTTACATATTTACCAAAAAATTGCTGACTCACGAATACGACTAACTGATTAGTTGAAAGCTGGAGACATTCATCGGATAATTTCTGGAGCAGATGGAACTTGCTGCTTGGGGTAGTGATCTTTATATTACGATGTGCATTCTGCGAAAGTAAATGAGTAAATTGACTCTTATAATTTTACCCAATAGAACCTATTGTTGTGAAGCTCGAAACGTAATGGGAACCGTTTCATCGAGTGCAGCACTTTTAGGATTTGAAGGTTAGGAAAATACATTCATATGAATGAGTTTTAATGTAAATCTCAAGGGAGAAAGTTGCTCATAATGCAATCCTTTAGATAAACTTCTTCCACAAAAACAAGCCTCTGCAGATGCTCAAGCTAACGCCATGAATAATTTGACCCGCGATCCATCGCTTTCCACAATTTTGGAAGAGCGGACGTCTCAAATGATGAGTGCTTGTGACACACCCATGGTGCATAACAGATCAATTGAAGAAGATGTCAAAGGGGAAATTAGCTTATCAATTGATGGAAAAGATGTGTCCGTTTCTCTCTATGAAACTCCAGATCTTACAGGTTTTTAGTTAACATTTTATTTCGTAACGAACGTGGGTAATTAAAAATACTGTGATTATGTGATTATATGATTTTTTATTTTATTTATTTACAGAAAACGATGCCAAGCAAATCATTGAAATGTTTGCTGAACAATATTCGGAATATATTTCTGGTAAATTATAAATTAGCACTTTCTAGAACTTATGTATATTTACATACATATTAATTAAATAATTAGGGAATTTTCTGGCTAACTACTTTTTTAATTACTTTTACTTTTTAAATTAATTGTATCATACAGTTTGTCTCAGAAAGAAATGAAAAGCTAATTTAATTTTGATTTATAGAGCACAACATCGTTCCTCTGCCATCACTTCGTTTCATGAAAGAAGCCTCCACCTCGGGAAATATAGGTAACCCTATTACCGTATGCAATCTATGCAATTACTGTTCAATGGTGTTCATAGCTTTTTGTTTTTATTTTTTTATATAAATATAGTAATGGAAGCAGTTGTGATCGACGTGACAGATGATCCTTTCGAGTCTGCAAAATCAGCCTCTATGGCCCAAGTTAAAGAAGATGACCTCAATACTGAAGGAGACGTTGACGACTTTTCCGAATCATTTGAGAGCCCATTAGAATTATCAAGTGATGTTGGTGCAGATATGGAAAGAAGACATTCCACTGGAATATCGAGGTCCAGAAAATCTAGTTCTAAAAAATCAAAATCAAAACACCCTCAGCAGCAAGCAGTAGCCGAGCAAAGTTTACCAGGCTCAGAAGAAGCATTCTTGACTGCGGAGAGTGATCAGACAATGTCTCAAAAATTTGCAGAAATACAGGAGACGTTGCACAGCCTTCACGAGGCTGAGACATTTTACGCGAGTGCAGACGAGAGTGGAGATAAACGAGCGAATGAAAAGTTGGTGGAAGGTGGCGAGAAAAAATCTCGTGCTCTTGCCGAACAAAGAGGCGTTCATATGTCAACTGACATTGATCTCATTGAAGAAAGTCTTAAAGCCTTGTCCTCGGATGCTCTTAACATGAAAGCCACAGTTGCAGAGACGATTATAGCAAGTCAGAAACAACAAACTGGGCTTACTTGCCAAGAAAACAGACATTTGACTGAGTTGGAAAGTCTCCAAGATGACAATAAATTATTATCTGAGACTCTCTGTGATGTCACGTACCAACAATTTCAAGCGGTTGAAGGTGATAATAAACAACCATTCGAGACCATTGAATCCTTAACTAGTCATGAAGAAAATTTACAATTTGGACGAGATAATCTCAGCCACCATATGTTTGAACCGATTGGTCATGAGTTTCAACAACAGCTTAGCCAAGTGCAAACCTTTCATGATGAAGATGAGCGCAACTATTACCTGCAAGAGGAAGGATTAGACGTTAATCATCCATACGAATCGGGCAAATTTATTGGGATTGAAATGGCTGAAATGGTCTTGTTAGAGGGAGCGGATACTTTCTCTGATATTGACTCGTCTTACTCCGGTGTTCATGAAAGAGAGGTCTCACCTGGGGTGATGGACCAATTGGAAAAATATGGCCACGATGGTCAAGCTTTGTTTCATGAAGGAGAATTTCCCGAACAAATGTATGATCAATATGACCAAATGTTTGCAGATGTAGGATTTCAACAAATGAATACAATTGACCAAGCATATGAGGAATATATTGCTGCACAAAACGCAATTGGGGGAGAAAGTCAAACTCAGCTTGACTTAACAAAATTAGCCACAAGCAAGAAAGACGATGTTGCTGAAGCTAAGAAACACAAACTAGAAACAAAGACATTAGCAAAAGAGGAAGCTCAAGAATTGCAAGTTACCCCAAAACGGGCTAGAGAAGTAGCTGACTTGCAGCAAGTGTCTGAAGACCTGATAACAGAACCTAATAAAAATGGACAAGCAAAGTCTAAGGATACACGAGCAGATAAGAAATTAGCGACAGCAGTTGCAGACAAAGATGACTCAGATAAAAATAGTACTGACTTTAAGAAAAAGATGTCGGAAATTTCTCACACTGAGCAGGAAAAAATTGATACTCAAGTTCTCAGTGGGAAAAAAGAGAACGAGGCAGAAGTTAAAGAAACAAAACTCGTCAAACGAACAGAGTCTCAGAAATCGGAATTAGAGGAAACGGGAGTAGAACAAAGTTCGATGCAGAAATTGGAAAAGAAACCTAAAAATATTGCGGATGCGACTAAAATACATGTCGATGACATGATGCAGCCTAAATCAGTAAACATTACAATTGATGAGGAAGTTGACCTGAAAACTGAAGAACAGAAGAACAAAGACGAAACAGCTAAGCAAAACCAACTTGAAGTTAAAGCTAAGAAGGAAGAGCTGGAAAGCAAGTCTAGTAAGGAGAAGGCGGCGAAAGATGAACTCGAGGCAGAAGTCAAGAAAGAGAAAGACGAGCCAAAATCCAAAAGAGATGAACTAGAAGCTAATGTGAAAAACGATGAACTTGAGGCAAAAACCAAACAAGAAAGTGAGGAGAAAATCACAAAAGAAAATGATGAGAAAGCCAAGAAAGATAATGTTCAGGCCAAGGACAAGATGGAGGAACTTGAACCCAAAGCAAAGGAGGAACAAGAAGAGAAAGCTAAGAAAGATGACCTTGAAGCGAAAGAAAATAAAGAGAACAAAGCTAAGAAAGATGATGAGACTCAAGCTAAAATAAAGAAGGAGCAAGAAGAGAAAGCTACAAAAGCTGAAGTTGAAGCTAAGGCAAAGAAGGGGCAAGACGAGAAGCCTAAGAAAGACGAGCCTGAAGCCAAAGCAAAGCAAGAAGAGGAAGACAAGGCTAAGAAAGATAAAGTTGAAGCTAAAACAAAGAAAGAGCAAGAGGAGCAGGCTAAGAATGATGAAGCGGAAGCTAAAGCAAAGAAGGAAAAGGAAGACAAAGTCAAGAAAGATGAAGCTGAACCTAAGGCCAAGAAAGATGAAGCTGAAACCAAGGACAAGAAAGATGACGCTGAAACTAAGGCCAAGAAAGAGGAAGCTGAAACTAAGGCCAAGAAAGGTGACGCTGAAACTAAGGCCAAGAAAGAGGAAGCTGAAACTAAGGCCAAGAAAGAGGAAGCTGAAACTAAGGCCAAGAAAGAGGAAGCTGAAGCGAAGGCAAAGAAGGAACAAGAGGAGAAAGCTAAGAAAGATGAAGCCGAAGCTAAAGCCAAGAAGGAAAAGGAAGAGAAAGCTAAGAAAGATGAAGCCGAAGCTAAAGCCAAGAAGGAAAAGGAAGAGAAAGCCAACAGAGATGAAGCTGAAGCGAAGGCCAAGAAGGAGCAAGAAGAGAAAGCTAAGAAAGATGAAGCGGAAGCTAAAGCCAAGAAGGAAAAGGAAGAGAAAGCTAAGAAAGATGAAGCTGAAGCGAAGGCCAAGAAAGATGAAGCTGAAACGAAGGCCAAGAAAGATGAAGCTGAAGCGAAGGCCAAGAAAGATGAAGCTGAAGCGAAGGCCAAGAAAGATGAAGCTGAAGCGAAGGCCAAGAAAGATGAAGCTGAAGCGAAGGCGAAGAAGGAACTAGAAGAGAAAGCTAAGAAAGATGAAGCGGAAGCTAAAGGAAAGAAGGAAAAGGAAGAGAAAGCTAAGAAAGATGAAGCTGAGGCGAAGGCCAAGAAGGATGAGAAAGCCAAAAAAGATGAAGCTGAAGCGAAGGCCAAGAAGGAAAAGGAGGAGAAGGCCCAGAAAGATGAAGCTGAAGCGAAGGCCAAGAAGGAAAAGGAAGAGAAAGCTAAGAAAGATGAAGCGGAAGCTAAAGGAAAGAAGGAAAAGGAAGAGAAAGCTAAGAAAGATGAAGCTGAAGCGAAGGCCAAGAAGGAAAAGGAAGAGAAAGCTAAGAAAGATGAAGCTGAAGCGAAGGCCAAGAAGGAAAAGGAAGAGAAAGCTAAGAAAGATGAAGCGGAAGCTAAAGGAAAGAAGGAAAAGGAAGAGAAAGCTAAGAAAGATGAAGCTGAGGCGAAGGCCAAGAAGGATGAGAAAGCCAAAAAAGATGAAGCTGAAGCGAAGGCCAAGAAGGAAAAGGAGGAGAAGGCCCAGAAAGATGAAGCTGAAGCGAAGGCCAAGAAGGAAAAGGAGGAGAAAGCTAAGAAAGATGAAGCTGAAGCGAAGGCCAAGAAGGAGCAAGAAGAGAAAGCTAAGAAAGATGAAGCTGAGGCGAAGGCCAAGAAGGAAAAGGAAGAGAAAGCTAAGAAAGATGAAGCTGAAGCGAAGGCCAAGAAGGAAAAGGAAGAGAAAGCTAAGAAAGATGAAGCTGAAGCGAAGGCCAAGAAGGAGCAAGAAGAGAAAGCTAAGAAAGACGAAGCGGAAGCTAAAGCCAAGAATGAAAAGGAAGAGAAAGCTAAGAAAGATGAAGCTGAAGCGAAGGCCAAGAAGGAAAAGGCAGAGAAAGCTAAGAAAGATGAAGCTGAAGCGAAGGCCAAGAAGGAAAAGGACGAGAAGGCCAAGAAAGATGAAGCTGAAGCGAAGGCCAAGAAGGAAAAGGACGAGAAGGCCAAGAAAGATGAAGCTGAAGCGAAGGCCAAGAAGGAAAAGGAAGAGAAAGCCAAGAAAGACGAAGCTGAAGCGAAGGCCAAGAAGGAAAAGGACGAGAAGGCCAAGAAAGATGAAGCTGAAGCGAAGGCCAAGAAGGAAAAGGACGAGAAAGCCAAGAAAGATGAAGCTGAAGCGAAGGCCAAGAAGGAAAAGGACGAGAAGGCCAAGAAAGATGAAGCTGAAGCGAAGGCCAAGAAGGAAAAGGACGAGAAGGCCAAGAAAGATGAAGCTGAAGCGAAGGCCAAGAAGGGAAAGGACGAGAAGGCCAAGAAAGACGAAGCTGAAGCGAAGGCCAAGAAGGAAAAGGAAGAGAAAGCCAAGAAAGATGAAGCTGAAGCGAAGGCCAAGAAGGAAAAGGACGAGAAGGCCAAGAAAGATGAAGCTGAAGCGAAGGCCAAGAAGGAAAAGGACGAGAAGGCCAAGAAAGATGAAGCTGAAGCGAAGGCCAAGAAGGAGCAAGAAGAGAAAGCTAAGAAAGACGAAGCGGAAGCTAAAGCCAAGAAGGAAAAGGAAGAGAAAGCTAAGAAAGGCGAAGCTGAAGCTAAGGCAAAGAAAGAGGAGGAAGAGAAAGCTAAAAAAGACGAAGCTGAAGCTAAGGCAAAGAAAGTACAAGAAGAGAAAGCAAAGAAAGAACAAGAAGAGAAAGCAAAGAAAGAACAAGAAGAGAAAGCAAAGAAAGAACAAGAAGAGAAAGCAAAGGAAGAACAAGAAGAGAAAGCAAAGGAAGATGAAGCGGAAACTAAAGCGAAGAAGGAAAAGGACGAGAAAGTTAAGAAAGCTGAAGCTGAAACGATATCCAAGAAGGAAAAGGAAGAGAAAGCCAAGAAAGAACAAGATGAAGCGGAAGCTAAAGAAAAGGAGGAGAAAGCAAAGAAGGATGAAACTGAAGCCAAGGCCAAGAAAGAAAACGAAGAGAAGGCTAAGAAAGATGAAGCTGAAGCCAAGGCCAAGAAGGAACAAGAGGAGAAAGCGAAGAAAGACGTAGCGGAAGCTAAGACAAAGAAGGAACAAGATGAGAAAACTAAGAAAGACGAAGGTGAAGCTCAGGCCAAGAAAGAGAAGGAAGAAAAAGCTAAGAAGGATGAAGCAGAAGCTAAAGCAAAGAAGGAAAAGGAAGAGAAAGCTAAGAAAGATGAAGCTGAATCTAAAGCAAAGAAAGAAAAGGAAGAGAAAGTTAAAAAAGATGAAGCAGAAGCTAAAGAAAATGAGGACAAAACTAAAAAGGATGGAGTCGAGCATAAAAGAGACAAAGAGAAGAATGAAGATAAATCCAAGAAGCAAAGCGACCTGGATGCAAAACCTAAGCAAGGCATGGGGGATGAAAGTAAAATTAATAAACCTGAACAAAAAGCCGGTTCAATAAGAGATAAAGACGCTGGTATGAAGGCTAATGAGAGTCATTCTGAGGACACCAATCAGTCAATTGAAAAAGAAAGTGTTGGTGACGCTAAAGAGTCTGATGAAAGTAGGAGAAAGTCACAAATGATGGAGAAACGTCCGAGTTTAGACGACTCATTGAAATTGTCCAGTGTTAAAAAAGTTAATAAAATTGAATTACACAGCCTCAAAGTTGCAGAAGGAGGAGAGCCGTCAGAAACTGAAAATTCAAAATCAGCCAAAGATGAGGTCAACTCCAAAGATGCACCAGCAGACATTTTAGTAAAAGCAGAATTAGCTGCAAAAGGAGAAGAGGGAAAGAAGGACATTGTTGATGGGTCAAGTGCTAAAGAAAGCAAATCCCTCAAGGAATCCAAAAAACCTAACGATAAAGATATCACCAACGACGCAGCCAAGACTGCCAAAACAGCAGAGAAAGTCAAAGATTCTGAAAATAAGGAAACCACAAAATCTGAGAAAGAATTAATTCCAGATAAATCTGATAAAGCTAAGGGCGGCGAAACTCTCAAGAAGGATTCGTCGAAAAACGCCGATGTATCTGAAAATGGAAAACTCGTACGAAACGATTCGAATGATAAACAAGATGACAAGGGGTCGAAAAAGAGTTCGGCAAAAAAGCCATCTATTAAAAAGAAGCTTTCTTTGAAGCATGGAGAATCTGAAGTAGCTGAAAAGGTACCAGATGCAAGGAAAGATTCTCTACAAGAAAATTTGGCGAAAGATAGAAAATCATCCACGGATGAAACTAAATTGAAATCAGGCTCGAAACCCTGCGAGGATTTGCAAGCGGCGGAATTTGTCAAAAAAGTAAGTGACAGTGGAACCGGTGAGGATAATAAAATTGACGGAATTAGTATTGTTACATCCTCATCACTATCATCAAATGATGACAAAGAATCAAAGAAACTTGTTAAACAAGGATCACCTATAAAGGATACTGAAAAATCGATTCCAATTTCACCCACCAAGTCACATACAGATGTAGCAGACTCTGTCCAACAAATTTCCAAAGATAGCAGCAAACCAATTTCATCAGCATATGCAGATGAACCGAGAGGATACTCTGCTAAATCATACATTACTGCAGAAACTGAACAACCATCTTATACAAAAACCCCAAGACGCATAACATACGAAGCAGAAGATGTGCAGCCCACATGTCATAAGAAACATGATGACTCGGACCGCTACAATCGCCTCAGTTATAGATCACGGTCGATTGACCATATTTGTACAAGTGGTGGGGACAGCGACGTCCATGCCCGTGGATTAGTTACCGTTGGGGGAGGACCTTCGCCTTTTATGTTGATGGTGAGTTCTTGATAATTGGATATTTATAAGTTATGCAATTAACTTAAAGGTTTAGTCTAAAAATAAAATCTGAAATGACAGGCGCAAGATCGTATGGAATCTTTTGGTTATTTTTCGTCTGGTAATAGAAAACAGTTTGATGACTTTAAAGCTTTACAACGTCCCGATTACACACCACACTACATTCGTCCACGTCATCACCACCGCAAAGGATGGGAGGAAGACTCATTAACAGAAGTGGATGAATTATCAATCGACAAAGTCTCTACGCCACCACCAATCGTTCCGCCAAGAATGAGACGCCAGCAAAGAACGTATCAAGTGAAACTTTCCAGCGAAACTGAAGACTTAGTTCCGAGTAAACACGGTTATCACGGTGGATCGTCGTATTCTGGTCACAGTAATATTCCATCATATTTCACACTGCCATCAATGGGTTACTCGTACTTTTCTATGGATGTAAGTATATGCACACATTGGGCCATCTTGAATTGTGGTAATTATATAATTCAAATATTTGCAGTCACTTCCTGGTTACACTGGTTCTATGGAACATTTGGATGAAACTGCTCGAAGGAGAAAACCAAAATTTAGTATGAAACTTCAAGATCGCACTACACCCATTTACACGGAAGCTGTGAAGTTTACATGCACCGTATTTGGACAACCTCCTCCTACGATACAATGGTCCGCAATGAACTTACTGATTAACTGAAGTTTTGTACTTTAACCAATATTTAATTTGACTGACTGCAGGTATAAGAATGGAATGCCGATATTTTCTGATCGTCAGAAATACACAATTACGAATGACCATGGCGTAGCAGTTCTGGACATCAAACATGTTGATAAAAATGATGAATCCATTATAACATGTTTTGCGCAAAATTTCTACGGAAAAGCTGCTTGTTCTGCAGTCTTGCACGTTGTAGGGATGGGAGACTCTAAGGGTATCCTGTCTGACAGTGGAGGAGGAAAGTGTATCCCTGTGAATTTCACTACGGATATTATGGGTATGCAAATTATTCACTAAAGTGAGAAAGTGTTTAAGAGGATTGAAAATGAAAAAATTGTGTATCCAGAAACCTATTTCCCGGAAGTGAATGAACTTGTGCTGGAATGTCAAATGACTGGGGCTAAACCTCAAGTTACTTGGATGAAAAACGGAGAAGTTATTGTTTCTCATGATCAAACAACGTACGGAAGATTTAAAGCTGAAAATTGGATGCTATTCGACAGTGGAAAATGCAGATTAATTATTCAAAGACCTAGAAATTCTGATTCAGGTAAAGACAATTAACTAAAAGTATAATCATTATCGCCGAAAAAAGTTTAAAATTTACCCATTTGAACATGTACTTATTTTAGGAGTCTATACGTGCTGTCTAAAAAATTATGATATGACAAATGTGGGTAGCAGAAAAATTTGTATGAGTGACGAAATCACCAAATTAGTCAGCGTTAAACAAAATTCAGCACCAGGTCGGTGATATATATAATTTCGGTTTGCCATTTAGCCAAACTAAAAACAGGATCAAATTAAATATTTTTAGGTGGAATCTATGCGTATATTCCACCAAAGGGAACGGTAGGGATGAAAACAGCAACCTTTGAATATCAGTCACCATCATTTAATAAACAATTGGACGATTTCAAGAAAATCCGATTGGGGGACGATCTCATTTTAACAATCGAAATCTTGGGTAAATAATTACGATATTATATATGTATATCATCGCTTGAGATCCATAACGTACCAAGTTTGTTTTAGGGCATATTGGGATTTTAATTGCCAAAAATTGGTTGGTTAATTGCGCACAAAGTAGCTTTTATAAAATTTTAATTGACCATGTACTTCTGGAGGTATTAAATTCAAATACTGGTCAAATTTGAAGGATTTTGCTTTCTCTCACTCTGCAAAAGTCATGGCAAGATTGCCAATCTATGCGATCTGAGCACTATTTACATTTACAGTCAAGAGCAAAACTTTACGACATATGGAAGAGACTTTTGGGACATGTTATTCAAATGGGGAATTAAAGGCCGTAAAGTTTTGCACCGCGTACCTTTCCGAATAATTTTTTTAACGCTGTGATATAATTTTTATTGAATAAAGCGTGCAAAAGTAGGGGGTGACGTGGTAAATTATTTTTGTCGCCGAATTTTTTTCAAGGAACTACAAGGAATTGAAAGAATTAATTTTGGAAGAGACTTTTGGGACAACACATTGTGCTTATGGCTGTCCCAAAAGTCTCTTCCAAAATTAATTCTTTCAATTCCTTGTAGTTCCTTGAAAAAAATTCGGCGACAAAAATAATTTACCACGTCACCCCCTACTTTTGCACGCTTTATTCAATAAAAATTATATCACAGCGTTAAAAAAATTATTCGGAAAGGTACGCGGTGCAAAACTTTACGGCCTTTAATTCCCCATTTGAATAACATGTCCCAAAAGTCTCTTCCATATGTCGTAAAGTTTTGCTCTTGACTGTACTATGTCTAAATTTAAATTTGATACAACCAATTTGAAATTTGGCATGAACATGTATGAATATATTCTTAATTATAATATGACATCAATTCCCGTTCCGATCGCTATAATTTTTTCAGGAAAAATCAAAAACCACATTTTTAAAAGTTTTTGATTTTTCCTGAAAAATTCATAGCGATCGGAACGGGAATTGATGTCATATTATGATTAAGAATATATTCATACATGTTCATGCCAAATTTCAAATTGTTTGGATGAAATTTAAATTTACATTGAACATTAAACACTGCAAAAAGCAATCAGTGTGTGGATTCCTTCAACCAGCATGAAGAATCACAAAAACAAATTTGATACTTTATGGAGCTACAGCAACGATATTTCTTATTTATTTAATGGACACCATTGGTTAATCCGAATATGTAGGTACTCCTCAACCCACTGTTCGTTGGTTTCATCATAAAAACTCAACGCACCCAATGCAACCAACGCCACGTTGTCGAATATTTAGCGAAGGACCAGGAGTTCATACATTATTAATCCCAGAAATAACAGGTTGCGATCTTGGGACGTATATTGTACGGATAAATAACAAGTATGGTCAAGCTGAGTCCTCATGCTCCGTATCCGAATTGATACATGGTCTCACTGGAGACACCAAGCATGCGGGGACTTGCAGAGAACAAAGACCACCCACGTTTGTTAGAGAACCACCCGAAATGTTTTGTCTTCGGTGTGGAGACGATCTTATTTTCGATTGTCATGTTGAAGGATGGCCACAACCTGCGGGTATTGCTATTATTATTTAAATGCGTTAATGGCGTGACGATGAATGTTATGATGACTCCGTTTCATTTTCAGTGAACCTCTACCGCGGATGTCGAAATGTGACGCTGCAACCACGAGCTTATAAGGAAGTACTCCCACAAGTTTCCGCCCCCGATGATCACCAGCATGTTCGTTTCACAATTTCGAAATTGCAATGCACAGATTTCGGTTTATACACGGTCGAAGTAAAAAATATTATGGGAGTGGCAAAATGTTTCGTTAACCTCAAAGTGAGATTCGTCGTAACAAGTTTCTCTCAATATTTAAAAATTGATCAAGTTTGTCGTTATTCTAAATAATTTTAATTTTTCAGCTCCGCGACCGCGCCCATTCAATATCCCCGTCCCCTGCAATATGTCCTGGTCGTCAGCAATGGACCGGATCATTATCACGATTAGATAAACCATACTATCCTCACCACCATCACAACTATCACCAAAGTAGAATTAGGAGCAAAAGTACCTTCAGCTTGCCATATTCCTCTTCTGATTATTAAATTATGAGCTTTTACTCTCCATTTAATTGTATTTTTTTGGGTCAGGCTAGATTATTTTTTTTTGTAGAGCTAATGATATATTTTTTCTCAACCATCGTCATCGTCTTGAACTGCAAGATGCGGGGGTGGCCAAGAAAGTAGAGTTAAAGGACCGAACGCGTGGGTGGCATATTTTTTGAAAATTTATTACATCAGAGAGAATACAAAAAAGTGTCTTCTTCGATGATGAGTGAAATAAATAAATTGATTGAGGGGGAGGAGGCGGGAAAACTTAAAATTTGAATTAATTGTGGAAGCATGATAATCAGGACGAGTTGAAGGTGATTTTGAGAGGAGTTTGGTTATTAACAACATCGTGAGATGACTCCAGGGCGGTCACCTGTTAATTTATGAAGAAAGTCACTATCCGTTCTCTTTTTTAAGGTTATTTATGTGATAATAAACTGAAGATTATACCAGGACTAGGATTGACTGCTCTGATACGATCTGGTAGTTCACTAGGATCTGGTCTTCCGGATGGAGTCTTATTTAGTATTGCTTCAGCCAATTCTTCAAACGCACGCTCAATATTTATGTTGTTCTTGGCAGACGTCTCCATAAATTTGATTCCATGCTCACGGGCGATCTGCATTTTGATCAAGGAAACGTGTTAATATCACTAAAGCATAGTAATTAATTAGTAATTTCAGCCAAACGTACCACTTCCCCTCTGTCCTTGGGCACCTGTGAAAAATAAATTGTCATGGCATTGTTTATTTATTTATAACAAATAGCATTAATTTATGGGAATCCAAATCAAATTCCCACTTTATGACAGGCATGGAAAACCAAGTTTCAAGCCATTCACTTCTCAAATTGTTAAATAATTATAATAATAATATAATAATAATTTGCATAATTCAATTTACTCACCTGTCGATTCTCATCCATATCACATTTATTTCCTAATATCATCTTCTCAACGTCTTCGTTGGCGTGCTAAACGTACAAATTATTTCACACATTAATGAAATGTCACCCAAACACACGGAATAGCCGGGAATGACCCACCTCATCAATATTTCTGAGCCACTTGGCGATATTTTCAAAACTTTTAGAATTTGTGATATCGTAGACAAGCATGATACCCATGGCACCACGATAATAGGAAGTCGTGATAGTATGAAACCTCTCCTGCCCTGCTGTGTCCCTGCAATAAAACGCAATAAAACGCTAATAATATTTGTATCCTCCTCTTTGGAGTAGAATCATGATGATGATGAAACTGATAATTTGAAGACGTTAAACTTACCAAATCTGCAATTTAATTTTCTTTCCTTTCAATTCAATCGTTTTGATTTTAAAATCAATTCCTGTAAAAACATATACAGAAATTTAAATTCAGTCACCAAAATATTCTCCCACCGATCATTTTAACGAGTCATCAAACAAAATATTATCAAGAAAACAGGAAATTACCAATTGTTGAGATAAACGTAGTGTTGAAGGCATCATCACTGAATCTGAATAGGATGCAAGTCTTTCCAACACCAGAGTCGCCAATCAGTAACAATTTGAATAGTAAATCGTACGTTTTCTTGGCCATCGTCACGGATTAATGTATGAAATAAAAATTCTTCTTCTTATCTCTTTGTACTGACGACGTCTCCGTCACTTAATATAAATTGTTATTTATTTATTGCAGTCGTGATGATGAGTGAGTCATGTGTTATACTCAATCATCATTTATCACCACCACCACCACCGTAATACTACTGCTTGATTTCAGTTTATTTTACTTGACCACTCCACACACCGTGTTGTTTCCGAGCGACGATGATACGAGGAGTGAAGAAGAAGAGACCACCGAATTATTTTATTTTGAGCTCAGGCTGATCTTACAGCCGCACAGATGGAGTGGGCGAACTCCTCCGGCTTTGTCAACAGCGGAGACCACCACCTTCGTCTCAAATGGAACACGGAAATGTTGACAATTTTATTGCATTGTTTTCTAATTGCAATTAATTGTATCATAAGAAGTACAACAATTTTACGATGATGGAATTGTAGCGGGAGCATTAGTTATCCATTTTCATTTTGTTTTCATTGTTGGACTCGTTTTAAGTAAGACAGCGATGGAGAAATTGTCATAAGTTTAAAAAGAAAGTGAAATAAATACAAATGGAATTATTTCATTGCGAATTATTAATAATTTGTAATACAAATCAGTCCATCTGCATAAAAATGTGTCGTCATGTAAGGGACAAAAGTTGACTACGGCCCTTATTCTTCTCGTATCCCTTGATTCAGGTAGCAAAGGTTCCGGTCGGTTCATAAAATATATAAAAAGGCCCGAGTCCCTTTTATTATACCTCCAATCACCTTTTACACAACTCATTCCTTTTAATGTACAAGTCTCAATTTCAGTTCTATGAATGTGGAAATTGATACTTTTTGTAAAATGTTTATAAATATTTGTAAATATTTTCTAGAATTTTTAGGCATTTATTTTATATTTGTCTTAAATTGCAATTCATTCTATAAATAGCAAAGAAATTATATAAGAAATTATATAGCTTTTAGCAAATTATTTTAGACGCAACAAAGAACGTAACCATCTTCATTTATTAGCTAAAGGTTTAACCAGATTTACAGAAATGTGAAAAAAATGTAAATACAAATCTAATATAAAGGTCTAAAGAAAAGTTTTTATTTTCTCAGACCCAGTGTCATTGACCCACTGCCCGAATTCCACACATTATTCCCAACTACTCACAAAGTCAAGTTCAAGTTCACCCTCATTAGCACAAAGAATTAATTAAGGCTTTTCTCCGAGTAATTAAAACAAGATCTCTTTCCCTTTCTTTCTCTTTTCCATTCTATTCTCCATTCACGCGAAACACGCCGCAAAACATTTTAACCCAAAACATCCTAACCTTTTCCACTAATTCTAAATTTTTTGAAAAAATGTCCTACTCAAAATCATCCATTTTTGTCTCCGAACTAGATATCGGAGCGGAGGAGGCTTTCTCCCTCACACTCTCTCCCCCAAGTTAAGTTCGACTCCCCTTTGCTTTCCAACTCACCCGAAAAACCCGAAAAAATAAAATCAATAAATAAAGGAGGGATTTTTTCTCTACGCCAACACCAACGACAGAAGAGCCAGACGACTTTTGGGAATATGCATAAATGTAAAAAAAGAAATGGCCGTTGTTGATGGATTTTGTGATCTCTCTGATTTTCCTCCTCCTCCCACTGATCATTCCGTTTTGAAGAGGTTGAGTGAGAGAGAGAATATTTCTCCCAGCTATGTGATTATTTAGCAAGGTGTTCAGCCTGCGAGAGGGGGACGAGTATATGAGTGTGAGAATATACAAATAATAGAAAAAGTATAGTGAAGATTGTCTAATATGCAAATGAATCTCTGATTTTAGAAGAAAGACTCTGCCAGAGAAAGAGAGAGAGATGATGAGTGAGAGTGAGTGCGAGGGGAGAGCAGAGAGAAGCTTTTCTATCTCTTTTGTCTGAAACGAACTAGTTCGTCACACTAGACAATAAAGCTTTTTTTAAAAATTCCATTCAATTTTTTAAATATGCTAATGTGTGTGCAGCAAAGTCTCTCAGCCTGGCTCGGAGAATGGCGGTAGTGCCTGCTGTAGTGCTGGCAGGAGAGAGAACATTTATGCAGATGAGATGAGAATCTCTTTAACGGATGATGCTTCCATAAATTTCATATCAAACAAATCATGTTAGTTGGTTTTTGAGAATGGTGGGAAGAGTTGCTCACCTAAACTTTGGAAATGCTTACATGCTAGTTTTGGGATAGAATTTGGAGTAAAAAGTGGTTGAAAAGTGGCGAGTCACGTGCCATTTGACTTTTGAGATAAGTGTCAATCCTTTAGTGGTGGGCAAAGTGGTGGTGCTGATCGCAGGTAATAAATAACCTTTTCTATTTTCAAAATAGACTTGTTACTTGAACGACAACACAAAAAAATCCGATCCCTTTTTCAATAGACCTCACTCGATAATTTGTCAATAAAAAAGGACCCTTTTGAATATTATTGAATAGGAGTTCGATCTCCTTTTCATTCTCTACCTGCTCGTACATAAGCCGATTTTGGTTTACTTTTATTTGTTTACTTGTTGATGGGTTGGGATGTAGTGGGGGATAAATGGGGGGATTTTGTGTAATGTGATTGTGTGGGTGGTGTGTTTGTGGTGTTAGTTTTTAGTGGTGTTCGTACGCAAATTATGCATTTTAAGGTAGAAAATAGTATAGAAAATAATATTTTTGCTAATATAATAGTGTGTATCATTAATGCTTTATTATCATTGCATACACATTACACAAATTACACATCAGAAAAGCTGACTACAAAGGAGTCGTACATTAAAAATCCCTAACCTGAATCAAAAACGAAGAAATCATAAAAAAAGTATAATATAATATAATATAATATATTTATTTTTGTGACGTTTAAAAGCACAATTTGGTTGAGACTCAAGTTTTTGTTGTGATAACAACGGATTTAGAATAATTTCAAGTTTAGTTCAAACTTCCAATCCAAATTTACTCTATTGATTTGAATCAATTTCCTTTGATCAAACAAAAAGAGGTTAAACCAGGAAACCTGGCATGAAAATTTGTAGCTAAAAGCTTAGGAGTGATAATTTTTGTCTAAAAATCAAATCCAAAAATTTGTTATATATATTCATCTTTACATAATTTGATTAGAAGGTTATCGCAAGAGTAAAATGATTTTTCTGACTCACTCTGTAAATCTGACCAGTAATCACATCACATCACAGTCACAATTTACGTTGGAGTAAATCTTTTTTTTATTGCGGAACTTTGAGAATTTTAAAATTTACCCATTTTCTTGTACTTAAAAAATGGATCTTCAATCAACATTCATAAATTGTGAATAGTGATAGACGACGAATTTGCATTTCATCTTGATGCCTAATACAAAAGGGTACAAAATATAAAGCACAAATTTGCATTTAAATTTAAAAGAGTTGAGACGCCTCACTACAAAACTAACTTCCGATTTTTAATTATTTTTCAAAGCACGGCACGCGCATAGAAAAATGTGAATAAACTGCAGGAAAGTAAAGTCTCATAATAGTGCTCCCAGAATCTAGAAATTGGATTGTAGCTCGACTTCCCCAACTTTTTTGGGCTACAATCAGAATCTTGGTTATTTTTTACTCCAGCGAAAAATATCGAACTTAGATGTCAAAATATGAATATTGTATAAGAAACTACTTTTAATAAGCCAACAAAGTGTCATGCAATTCTTTTCGTAAGAACAAAACAAAGCAAGACATTGAAATTAATATTTTACCCAATTCATGAATTTTAATCAACACCCATTACAATAACAAGAATCCAACAAGAATCCATTACAAAAATGTTGATGATTTTGAGGCAAAAAGAGACGGAATAAAATAACTGCAATATTGTTGAGTGAAGCTGGGGCAAAGTGATTGTGGTGAGACAACTGAAGTGTGAGTAAATCGTAGAAGTGATCATCTTCGGGAAATGTGAGATTATCAAAATCAATAGTACTTTTCTTTATACACGTAAATTTTAGAATATCAGAAAAAGTTTATGCTGTCTGAAATGCCCATCGGTCAACTTCCCTCCAAATCATGCATATGAATTAGAAATTTCAACAAATTGACATTTACTCGTGTACACATTTCTCGCATTATTACATATTTTTCTTTGGATATTTCCTAACTTTATCAGTCTGGTTAATAATCCCAAATTGCAAATCATTATTGTTCAGTTTGAGATATGCAGAGAATGGGGAAACTGCTTATTAATTTATTATTTTCCCATAAAAACCCACTTTATCCTAAATTTACCAAATAAAAGTCCCATTACAAAACCTCCAGCTAGCACAACAGTTGAACAAAGGATGCATTTTCGCAACAATAATTAAAAACGATTCCAAGTAAAACCAGTTTCTCTGTTAAGATATACAATTTGAGCTCATTAGCATATAAATATATCCTCTCTCTCTTCTCCTTCACCCTCCTTTTAGCCTGCAACCAACATTGAAGAGACAATGGATAAGAACTGCATTTGAGAATAAATAACACAAGAGAGTTGGGAATTAAGAGAGAGGTAAAGTTACCTGGACATCTGTGCTCGCACCGTCGTCCAAATGGACATGGAGTGATAATGCCCTTTATTAGAAATGGACAGCATGATGTCCAATATTCAAATTTTTTCTACTCTTCCCTCTTTCCTTTATTTTTGTGCATCTGCAATAATTGTTAAAGAAAATATGATTGTACGCGAGAGAGAGAGAGAGAGTGGCGTGGATGCAGATGTCCAGTATAACAAAAGCCATAATAAGTTTGACGTAATTAGGTCAAACTCATCATCATTTTTTCCCTCTCTGTCTGTGTATTTAGTCAAATTAACGGTCGTATCAGCAGCCTCGTTTTTTTTATCTTTTTAATAAATTAATACTTTTGAGTAATGTTTCTGCACAAATGATAAATTTTAAAACTATACCAAATCGTCACTTCAGGATATACGTGATTGAAATATAAAACAACACAACGGTCACTGTACATCTGGTGCAGTTAATTTGATAACGAGGAGGATTCTCCATTAAAAAATGAACGATGAAAAAAATACAAAAAATAAAAGACAATGCACATTAAGACCAAGGTGTGGTTGGTTGGTTGGTCGGTGAGATACGTGATTCGACTCCCCTTTCCGTAATTATAAACATTCGTATAAAAATTATGATGATGCTGCCAGGAAATCACTTGGGCATGAAGTGAATACTAATTTTATGCAGTTTTTCCTTTCTTTTTCACTCATACTTTCTGGTTTTGGTAGAAAAGTAGGAAAATTACAAATTTCTTTTTTCCTACATAAATAAGAAAATCATTAAAACTAAATTTATTTCAAAGTGTGAATAGTATTTTTGGGTTGGAAAGCTGCAGTTTAGGTAAAGAGGCGGAGTTTTGGTGGGATGGAAGGAAATCCCATCCGCACATACACATCCAATCCAATTCTGCTTTCATTTTCAAACTCTTTTACCCAAAAAAATATCCACGTCCAACTCCACACTTTGTCCTATTCCTTCGTGATGCAATGGGAAAAAATCATTTCTTTTAACAAGCTCTGAAGAAAGAGTTGTTGGTGAGTTTTGGTGAGGTGGTTGGTTCGGCCGGTTGTTGCTTGCTCCAGGTGAAACTCTTTCATCCGCACAACAATTGTTCTTCTGATTACATGCAATCAGAGAGGTGGATGGCATGATCAAACGCAGTTCTAGATTATTATCTTAATTTGTGAATAATTTTTGTTCAAATCCACCCGATTTTTTTCAGGAATTTTATTACACAAATATGCACATTTAGGTAGGTAGGAGAGACGAGGGGAAAAAAGTGTTTCATAGATCACTCTCTAAATTGAGGGTGTGTGGAAAAGGTCTATTTTACGAGTTAATAGACTCCCCTTCCTCATACATAAATCCCCAGCAGGACCGAGAAATCGGTTCCTCACAACGATTTGGCAACCCTTTCTCTTCCTCTTCTCCAGCCTCGCAGTTTGTTCACATTTTAATCGACAGATAGAGCTCAACCGGGTATCAAATGCATATTAAACAGAGATCGAGGCTGAGGAACCCCGATGCATGCATTATCACACTCTTTGTTCAAAATAAAATGAGACCCAGGCACGAGGGGAAAAGGGTTAGAGATGTGATTTCTGCTCAGAGGAGGTGGTGGTTGGAATCTCTCTTTCTGCGCTTGGCTCCTCGTCGTCGTTACCGCCGTTATGATGAACCAATTCCTTTTGCACCTAATGGGTTTCAAAAAATGTAGTTTTTACTAGAAAAATACGGAAATAACTTCAAAGAAAATGTCGCTTTTTCCACAGTTGTGGTGTTAATGACTCTTTGTAATGAAATGATTTTTTTCTGCTGAAACAAAACTTGTAAAGGAATAAAAAACTGCGGAATAAAGAATAAGTGAATGGTATGCAATTTAAAGTTCGAGATGGATGTACCCCTTAAAATGGTGATATCACCGCCTCCACAATCCTTATGAAGAGCAAGAAGTGGCTTTAAGAGAGAGAGAGGGCTAGTTATCTAATAAGGAGTGTGTATGCAATCAAGATATTTAAACGTGTACACACCCACACGACAATGGTGAGAGAGAGCCAGTGGACACCCGTGGACTGCAAATGGATTGTTTGAACTCAAAGAAATGAAGATGATTCTCTTACATGATTTGTTGTTTTGTTTTGCAGTTTAGTGATTTATGTTCATATGTGGTACATACATAGTACTTAGTCTAGAGCAGAGATTTATATAACGTCACGTGATTTTTTCCTACACCGGCGAGATAATTTGCATGGTTAGTGAGGGTGAGATGAATCATTTGTGAATTTGAATTCACAAATGTGAATTAAGAAAGAATATGGTAAATAGTTGAAGTTAGTGAAAGGCATATTGCTGATGAGACAATTTTTAAGCAGAATTATGTGCATTGACAATGCACCATTTATTTTATTTTTAAATCGAAATTTATATGACAAAATGATTCATTATGTAATAAGACTAAAAATGATTACTAGTCACTAAAAACTAAAACTAAAAATAAAGGATTGGAGATTAAGGAAAATGCACGGATTTCAGATTTTATAATTATAAACATTAGGAATTTTATTCATACTTTACAAAGTTTACACTGCGTTTATGTAACAAATATAAAGCTAAAGCTTCCATAATAGTGAATTTGTACTATAATAATTGGCTTATTTTGATCATTTAAATCGGCGTTAGAGGACTTGATACTTGAGATATAATTTTTTTTTCAAATTATTTTATTTTCACTAGTAACCTAGTGTATCACAAAATTCAAGTATTTAAAATTTACAGAAAATTTTCTGGAAAAACCGACTGCATAAGAGTCGGTTTGTGAATTTGTCTCAATTGCAATAGCAAGTTTTCATTACTTTAAACTAACTACAAACTAAACTTATTTCAAAGTTCCTCGAGAGTTAATTTTATTTTTTAGTAACAACGTAACTCATTTAAAGTTCTACGAGTAGTTTTATTTTTAATAGCAACGTCGAAATCACACTATTTCACTTTCACTATAAATTGTAATCTGTAGTTAATACACAGTTCACAATAATTTTACAACACACTTTCAACCATGTTCTTCCATCTCTGAAGCTCCATTTAAGTATTACACCACGTTACTTTCACCTATTAAAAACTTTTGCAGTATTAAAAAAATTGGCAAACTTATCTCCATACGCACAAATCCATCCCACCACCGTCCCAATAAAATATAAGATTGATATTTCCCATGACCAAGAGAGATTGATCATGTAAAACCCTTGGCAGACAAAAAATTACCATAACTGTAAAACACCAAGGTAAGGGAAGAGTACAAAAAATGGTACAAAAAGAAAGGAAAATTAGAATACCGAGAACAAACGGTAAACTTTTCTACCTTCGAGTCGAGATGAAGACGACCCTTTAATTCGTACCCTCAAGACTTTTTTATATGCTGATGATGAAAGGGTTACGCTATTTGCATGTGTGCGTTAATCGTGAGAAACTCTAAAATTTGAATAAGACGGACAAACCAACAAAAAACTAGAGGCTGACATAAGGGTCGAAAAAAGATAATTTATTAAGATAGGACTGGAAAAGGGTTGGGTGTGATCTTAAATGGAACAAGAATTTTATATGATGAAATATATTTTTTTTGTGTATATTGAAATTTCCTTTAATGAAAACGAGGATCATCAAAGGTATGAGAAAAGAGAATACGGTTTCATTTACATATTCACACAGATCCATTTTTCCAACCTAACCAAACCATTTTTTCTCTCTCCTTCGTCTTTTCCCATTTCTTGTCTTGAAGAAGGAATAGAAAAATCGATTTTTGTGTTCCTTCCTCGTCCCGTCGTCCCTATTTTTTTGCTCCGTTTGAATATATGATGTCATCCTCTCCTTCGTCTCTCCTTCGTCTCCTCTTCTCCACACATACACACACACACGGATAGAACCAGGAAAAAAGAAACACTAAAAAATGTTAAGACTTGTTGTCAATCTGCTTTCACTCTGCTCTTACACACCAACAACTCAACAACTTGGACTCCATTCTCACTATAAATTTTTCCACAAAATACCACAAAGTGCTGCGGACGGCTGAGACGACGACGACGACGACGACGAGTGAGTTGGTGAAAGTGCGGTGCTGGACTTTGTGTTTCCTTAATGGGGAGAAGACCGACAGAAGAAGCGTCCGTGTCTGCGGGTGCGGAGTAAGTAATTAAACAGAAACTCAAACCACTCAGCAGAGAGAGAGAGAGAGAGAAAGGAAAAATCAGTTTTTTATTCCGGGTCGTCTGATGCCCGAATAGTAACTAACTAACGATTAGACAAACTTGTGTAGTCGGAGAACGGGTGGAGTGGTGGCGGAGAGATGAGAGAGTGTAAATGAGTGGAGAGAGAAGAATATTAAAAAGTATCAGTTAAGAGAGAGAGAGAGATGCATCTGGTTCAATATTAATAATATTTTTTCAATGGTAATTTTAACTAGAAGGATGGGAAAAGGGATGCATAATAAATTTACAGCCGAATGCATATGTAATTCATACTTTTAAAAATGTTAAAAAAGGTTTTTGTTCTCAGGTAATTTATGTGCATGTCATATATTCATCATTATCATGTTTCCATTATCTTTAGCTTTTCAGTCGGGATGAGCAACGAATAAAGGGTTTCGGGCTCTAAAAAGGTCACTCCGAAATAAAAAATGCATTATTATCAGGGTTTAATGAGTTTCATGTTGGGTGCTGTTGGGTGGGAATAAGTGATATATTTTTTTGATATGGATTCATATTTGCCATTTTTTAAGAGAAAGGGAAAAAGAGAGAGAGAAAATTTGCGAATCTGAGACACGAGTAAATTGGTTGGTGAGAAAAGCGGATTTTATTGAATTAAGAAAAAAAATTGTTTAATGAGATAAAAATCATTCAGACAATAAAATAGCAGACATCTTATCACAGATAAAATCAATTATAGCTCTTTACAAGTTAACTCTTTATTTTTAATTTTCTGCGTACAAAGTCCTCCTTACATAATACGCGGATAAATAAAATCTCTCATTTGTTATAAATTTTTTATATCATTTCCTGTGTTTAATTTACACCTCCTCCGCACTTGAGAACATTTTTCCACTCAACTTTTAGATTTATCAGTGTATCAAATCTTAATCGTTTGTTAACGGTCATTTACCTCCCTCTTCCAGCGTTGCTCGTGTGTGTGTGTGTGTTCATTGGGCTCGTCTTGTTTCAATTATCACATCGAATTAACACATTTTGGTAATAATTTGCAGGTTGTGTTATTAGATTGGCGAATTCTCTTTTGCATAAATTGTGTCTACTGTCCGTTCAAAATTAATATGCAGTAAAGTCCTCAAAATATTTTAAAAGGTCAAATGGCCTAAGTTACTGATTGCTATTAACAACGATTTAATTACGCATATTTATTCTACATTTTAACTGAAAATTACTGTAAAATTTGGAAATATTTCGCCAGATAACCTTTCAGATTTTTTACTGCATATTAATTTTGAATGAACAGTAGTGCATGGTATGTCTCGTTTGAAGACGTTGGTCAAATATTTTACTTGCATTTTTTTTAGTCTGTGCTGTGATTCGGTTAATGGTCTTAAGAGCATACATATGCAATTATATAAGATTTATTCCATTAAGATTATCGTGACTCCATTTTTAAGGTAGATTTTTGTCATGTGATGTAAAATTTGTGACAAAATTGCATCAAGTGATCTTGAAGAAAAAGTTGTAATACCAGTTTTCCATCCAATCTGTGTACACATGTAGATTAGAGATTTCTATACTTTATGTATCAGGGGAATTTTATTAGCATTTTTTTTTATAAATAATTTTCAGTAAAAGTTAAAAATTTGAGAGGAAATAATAATCTTAATTCAGATTTTCATCAAATTAAATTCCAGATTAAGAAAAGGATGAAAAAGTGAGTAAAAGTTTCAAGGTTATAGATTTGAAGGTATACAAGACCTTAAGTAAAGGGTTGAAAAGGTGCTTCCTTGACCATATGCAAAGGGGATTTTTATTTAACCCTTTATTTTTTGTGTCTGTTGCGTGGAGGGTCGACTCGCTTCCCATCAACTCCTCGCTCTCGAGTGTGGTGCGACTGGTGTTGTATATCAAAGAATGAAGGTTTTGGCTTTATGCAGATCCGAAAAAAGAGAGAACCGATTTCTATTCGGTCTCCATCTACCCCGCCGTTCATGCACTTTCACCCACATGCAAATACTAAACGAATTAATAAATGCTGTATGCAGAAATACCATGAATTTCATTTCATTTTCAATCCTTGACACTCCAAAAGTATTGACTCTCTCTCGCACTACTCTCGCCATATAGCCAAGCTTACTCTCTCTCTCTCTTATAATAGAATGTGCCCAAAGGGTTTTTTAGGAGATATACACACCTTTAATCTTTTTAAGAAGCAAGATTCTTGATTCCTCTCCTCTCCAAGGCCAACCACACCATTTATACACCTTTCATCCTCCGCTCCTTCTTCTTCGTCGTCGTCGTCGTCGTCTTATTCTTCTTGCAGCTTATTACACCACACACACTTCAGACATCGCACTCACTGCATCCCATACCGGTCAGCATTTTAAAGAAGCATCTTTTTTCATCACATTTCCCAAACGTTTTCCCAGAATCCTGTAACCAATTCCACGAAATTTTTCAGAGAGTGACTCAAGCAGTCGTCACCCGCTCCTCCAAGTCTCTCTTGGCTGGTAATTATACATTTTTTTGTATTATTGGAAACGGAAGTAGACGGAGGCGAGGAAGGAGAGAGAGAGGGAGCGAAGGGAGCGGAGGAATATGTAAAAAATCGAGAGGTGGAAATAAAAGAGGGTTGGCAAAGTGGTGAGATTGGCCATGAGGGTTCGGAAGTAGGAGGGATGAATAAAATTCTTTTAACTTCGGGCAACAAAAATGCGCTGGTTGTGTTTGGTGGTTGTTGGCTTCGTTCGGTTCGCATTTTACATTTGCTGCTTTGGAGTTGAGAACGATCTTGCTCGCTCTCCGTCACAGTTCAACTTCTTGTAAAATGTGGTAAGTCGAGCGAGTGAGTGAGTGAGAGAGTTGAGAATTATTGCTCTTCTTCTTCTTCCACTTGTGTGTGTGGGCATCAAGCAGAAAAGGACTTTCAGACGGGTGCATCTGCGAAGAAAATCGATCCGAAAATGGGGGCAGTGGGGGTTTCAGACCATTTTAACAACAAAATTTGGTAGCTTACAGGGAAATTTATGTTTGGTATGTGCCAATTTTTGGAAAGTTTTTTCCTTCGAGGAGGAGGACGATGGGGGGAAGGTGGGGCTGCTGATTAATTGTTGTAATAGTAAAACTGTAGTATTGATTGTGGGTGGGTGAAATTTATGCTTTAAAAATGCTCCATTTAACAAGATGCTAAAACAATTAATTGAGTGAAAGTTTAATTCTGTTACGAGAAAATAGCGACTAATGTGACTTGATTAAACTTTAAAAAGTGTGTAATAAATGATATATTTCTTTACGTGTGAAATGGTGGACATAAATTATTTGAACTAATGAGAAAAGTTTAATATAAAGAATTGAGTGCGAATTTATAGAATGTATATTTGTTTTTACTTTTTAACAATGGTGAAATTTTGAATATTAGTGATTTGCACAATTAATGAACATTATAAAATAACAAAGTCAACGCATAAAGTACACCGATTGAAACATTTTAAAATATAAAAAGAAAGTGCAAACACAATTAAATCGCTCCCTTCACCACTCCGTTGGCAGCAAATGAAGAAATCAAAAAAGGATGCTTTTTAAAGGGAAAAGCAATAATAAATCAATAAAATAAAATAAAATTTCTCATTTAAAACGGTTAAACTCCAGAAAAGTGTGAGAATAAAAGGCATGTTAAATTCCAGATGAGAAATTGAGCAGATCGAAATTGCATTAGTTGCAGTTACACATCTTCCACCACCACCGCCTCTTCGTACATACATACATCTAAATGTGTTGCATTGTCTTAAGAAAAATATATATAAATAAAAAATAAGGGAGCAGTTCCGATGGCCACCTGTTCCTCAACCCTTTTTCATCTTCTTCATCCACTATCTAAAAAAGGCTCCGTCTGCCCTCCAACACGAGAAGAGAAAGAAAAAGATGATGGTGATCTAACAATTGGATGCAAGATGATCAAGCGAATTATGTTACACGATATGGATGTGGTGGTTGCTGGTCGTCGTCGTTCTTCTACTTCTTCAACCCACTACTAACGAGTTCAAGGAGGTAGCAGCCGCAGCCGAAGCGCAAGATGTCATATCTATTTTTGGTATAAAGCAGGAGCGAGGTATTGAAGTTCCTACGTAGAAAGAAATTTTCTTTTGAAAATTTATTTACAAAAAAAAGTTGTAGGAACTTCATACCGAGCTTCGAAATATACCATAATTTGCTGCGTGGGATATAAATCACCACCGCAACCAGACGATGGAGATATATGGATGATATTCAGACGGTGGAAGCAGCAGAGACCGCAGGGGGTGCAACCAGTATTTCATTAAAAAATAAATATTTATATAAATTTCAATCTTTCCCATTGCAGATTGCGATGACGACCCGTAATCCGTTCTCCTCATCCGATTTACTACTGAATTTGGAATTTATCAATTTAAATCGGTACGTCAATATTTAATATTTTTTCTTAAATTCAATTTTGCAAACATGATGAAAAAATGCTAACTCTAATTTTCGCAATTGCAGGAGATTCTGGAGCATCGCACATTTTTGAGAGGATCCCGAATGATTGGAAATAAATAATAGAAAAGGAATCATTGGACCCCATGCAACGATGTTCTTCATTCATTCTCTTTGACGATGGCAAATATTATTTAGTAAAAAAGTTGTGATCCATTCTCCCCCGTTGACATCTACTTTTTTCCTCCTAGTTTTATTCCCCACTCGCGCTGTCTGTTTTTTTATTAGAATTTTTGTTTAGTGACTGATGTTTTGTTAATATGGTTGGATGCGTTGTAAAGATTCTTGAGAGGAAAGAAGCCAAGTTTGATGACAGTTTGAAGTGGATGCAGGGACAGTTTTTTAAAGGGCGAAATAACCAGTTATTTATTGACGATGCGTTTGTGTAAAAATATGTGTTTAAATAATCAGATGAGCTTTAATATTTTAAACCTAATTTTAACAAATTCCTATAAAGAGGTATGAATTAGTTAAATTAATGAGAATTGCTCCCTTTGAAAACTTTGCCCATTTAATTTAGAGAGAGAAAAAATCTAGAAATAAAAACTAAATAAAAACGTCAAAGATCAAATTACATCAACTTTTTCTCTTGCCCAACAATGGGACAATTACCCACTTTTCTACTCAGACAGAAGACATCCAGCCAGAAGAGAACCCCACCAAACCAACTCTAAGCCCATCAACGGAACTTTTTGTAAATCCAACCAAATTCGTGCCTCTCACTAAAGACTTGAGTTCAAGGCATTGTTCAAGTCTGAATAGTTTTTTATACCACTTTTCCCAGTCCTCCCGACGGTGGTGGTGGTGGTTCCTCGATGATGATGATCTCTATTGTTAAAGGGAAGATGCGTATTGCCATACAAATTGTATAAAATTCATAATTTTTAGTTATTTAATTTTTCATTTTAATTTATCATTTTTTTCATGTGTTAAATGAAGAATTTTATTTCTGAGGTGTAAATAAAACTCCATCTCTCGCTTTTACCCGATATTTCTCTTGTTTGGTTTATGAAAAAGTTTTAAATTTACTCCAACTCCGGGCACTGGGCACCGGGTAAAACTTTTCTTTCCACCGCCTCCACCACCACCACCACTACAGCACCGAGAAAGAGAGGACACGAGTAAATGAGATGTGTAAAAGTGTATGCAGTCCTTAATGATCCATGGATTTAGTATCGTTTCGTTTTTGCATGGCTTGGACAAATCAACAATCTAGAACGACTGCCTCTACACCCCCACAGCATCGAGTAATAATAAAAACTTAGTCATTTTTTGGACTGAAATCAAGGAAATTCCCAAATGCAGTGCAGATGAAAACATCTCCAAAATTCAAATGATGATGATGATGGGTTAAGTTGGAAGGAGAGAGAGAGAGAAATATTTAAAAATAGACACAGACGACGACGACGACGACTTCTTACTCGTTCACTCAGGCTGCGTTCACTCTTCTTCTTATTTTACTTAAGTTCAGTAATTCTCTTCATCTCTTTGTGTTAAGCATATCATTTTAAGAGAACGACAATAAATAATTCAACGCCATTTTTATTTTGTAATTTTATTAATTTCGTCCGTGTTTGTGTTATGGGTTGATTTGTGAAATAGTTTTAGTCAACAATACGAAACAATATGAAGTCCAACAGTGACAATAACGTGAATATCACCACCCAGCAGCAACAGCAAGTGGTGCAACAACAACAACAGCAAACCGTTTATACGCGACAACACCAACAATCATCACAGTCTTTTCAACAAAGGACTGGAATCGTTCAACAGCAACATCACCACCAACAACAGCAGCAGCAGCAGCAACAACATGGTATTTTTTAAATAACATTGCGATTTGCATGAAAATTTTGCAAAAATTATTTCAATAATCATACAGGCACCACGACGGTCATACGCCATCAGCAGCAGCAGCAGCAGTCTCAACAGCATCAACAATATAGTAATAATCAACCACGATTTGGTCAACCGGTGTACAGGTATCTTATGCACAAATCTATTTATAAACATGTGCATAGGCGTGTGGAGCAGAGTCGGAAGTTTGTTCTGGAATTTTGGCAATGTTCCAAAAAAAAGTGTTCTCAGTTCACATAAAAAAATCTTACTTTTTTAGCAACCAACAACAACTGTATGGTCAACAACCGGTGGTGCCAGTGGTGGGTGGTATTGCCGCAGCCCCGCCAATCCTTATGCAACAACCCGGCGGTGGTGGTGGACAAGTTCTCGTTCAGAACATTAGTCAATATCCACCAAGTCCGCCAATTTTTATTGAAATTTTCAAAAACTCGAGATTCGCATTGGGCGATAATGCCATGTTTGAAGGAAGGATTAGCGGGTGGCCAAGGCCGACGTTGACTTGGTTAAGAAAAAATCAACCCTTGCCGTCCAGCTCCAAACACGCACTTCGCTACGATGATGTCAGTGGCAAAATTTATTTGCAAATCAATAAATTAGGACCAGGAGATGAGGGGTGAGATTTTTAGCTCCACTTTTTTTCATGCGAATATTCCATGCAATTTATTATTTTAAAAAATTTAGTGACTACGTATGTGTCGCTCGAAATCAATTTGGAGAGGCAATTTGCACAGTCACCATCCAACCTGAGATGCTGACGGGTATACCGTATTTTTATTAAGCGATAGATTTCAGCGTCTCAAATTCCTCATCTTTCTCTCTCGCGTGTGTGTAGCAAAACCTGGGGCTGCTCCAATGAGCCCCACGTATCAAGTTGGGTCGTCTCAACCTCAACAAATCATGTATCCCAATTCGGTACGTGTTTCTCTCTCGCTTCCACCATCACACCCAATAATTCAATGCCAAATGTTTCGTTTAGATGTTTAAAGTTGATGCATTTGAGCATCGGCTTTTGCGAGAAATTGAGTACAGACAAAATTTGACAAGAAAGTATCAAGATGATCCCGATGTCTATGTAATTTCACCACCAAACACGGCCCCAGGACAGCCAAGGATACTGCAAAAACCCAAAGATTCCAAAATTAATGTGGGATCAACGGCTACATTTTTCGTTAAAGTGGAGGGAGTCAATACCAAAGTCGTGTGGTTTAGGTGCGGATTTTATTTATTTTATTTTTGTGAATAAATAATAAAAAATAACTAAAATTGTGTGTTATTTTGTGTGTTTTTACTAACGCTTGATTTAACGCATAATTTTCGTGGAATTTTTATTTTTATGAATAAATAATAAAAATTAACTAAAATTGGTAATTTTGCGTTGTTTTATTTTCTGTGTGTTTTTTACGCTTAATTAATTTTACGCATAGTAATTTATAATTTCATAAACCAAAATCCATGCCAAACAGGGACGGACAACGGCTTCGTGCAGACCATCGTCTCCATGTCACAACTCCAGACATTAACACTGTTGCCATTACAATTGAAAATATTCAATCGGATGAAGCAGGGCACTATACTGCATTTTTTGAAAATCCGTGGGGTTGTGCCTGCGCTAGTGCACAACTGGATGTTGCTAAAGTCAAGCAGCAGCAGGTTCAACAGGTCCAACAGCAACAGCAACAGCAAACGATGCTAATCCACCAGTCGACATCGGTTTACAAGTCTGAAGAAACGACGACAGCGTCGGAGAAAGCACTTGCCCCAACATTCACACGCCTCCCAATTCACACACAGAATCAAACGATTGACGTTGAGGAAGGGAAATTGCTTCGTCTGGATTGCAGAGTCAACGGACGACCCGCACCCGAAGTCAATTGGTTCCTTAATGATCAACTCTTCATCGATGACGCTACTCATAAAATTCTCATCAATGAGCAAGGATCTCATTCATTAATGATTACGAACGTTAGCAGGATGGATCAAGGTGGGGTTTTTTAATCAGTTTTATTTTGTGGATGTGAAAAAATATTAATTTTCCAGGCTCCATCGTATGCGTCGCAACGAATAAATCTGGTCAAGTGCGATTCGCATTGAATTTACGTGTTATTGAAAAGGAGCAAATTGTCGCACCCAAATTTGTCGAAAGATTCAGCACCGTGAGTGTCAAAGAAGGGGAAACGGTCGTGTTAAGCGCAAGAGCTGTGGGAAATCCAATCCCCAATATTTCTTGGCAGAGGGTGGGTTATCTATTTTTTTATTTTTTTTGTGTGTAGATTTTTTAATAAGCAATTAAAATTTAGGATGGCGTACCGTTAATTCCTGATTCCAATGTTACGATAACTTCACGCGAAGGAGCCTCAACTTTGGAAATTCGTTCTGCCAATCTGAACCACAGTGGTAAATTTTCAAGAAAAAAATAGAAAAATCACGGTGAAAGTTTTAAACTGAATTTTTTTATTAACATAAAATTCAAAGGTTGGTATCAGTCATTGGCACAAAATTCTGCGGGTTCAACTGCAACACGGGTATTAGAGAAATTATTATAAATTGGTTAGTAAATCACTAATTACTACTCAAATTTCCAGGCTCGTCTCTTTGTTGAGAAAGCAAAGGAGGAAGTAAAGGAAGCTCCGTGGAGGCTGAATCTACCGAAACCAATCAAAGTCATAGAACCCGAGTAAATTTTTACTTATTAATTTTTGCACATTTTCTTTAATTAAAATGCTAAAAGAAAAAATTTCGCAGGAAATCTCCAAGTCCTGAAGTGATTTATCTTCGTCACATTGAACTGCAAAAACAGCAAAGGATTCAACAAATGGAAATTGAACGCAGTTATGACCCACCCGTTTTTCTGATTCCGTTAAGAGACCAAATTTCACAATATGAAGGAACTAGGGCCCATTTCGAAGCGAAAATCCACCCCGTCGGTGATCCCACGTTGCAAATTCAATTTTACAAGGACGGCGTGGCACTACCTGCGACGTCTCGTGCCAATATCACTTATCGATTTGGTTTCATTGCTTTGGATCTGCTTGGACTTATCGACAGTGACAGTGGGTGCTACACTTGTGTGGTCACTTCCGCCACCGGAAGTGCGGAATCAAGTGCCATACTCAGCGTCATGGGTCAGTTCACACTGTTTTAAATTAAGTTAACGAGCTAAGTTAATTACTGAAATTCCACAGCTCGTGAAACAATAACTCAGACGATGGACTCGACATTCCAACAATTGGAATCGCAACGATATCTCAATAAAACCATTGAACATGTCGAGCCGACATATCCACCACCAAAATTTTCTCGCTTTCTCAAGCAGACGATCACCGAGAAAGAGGGGCGTTCCGTTCATTTGGAAGCGCAGTTACAGGAGCCGATTTCTGATCCTAACTTAAGGATTATTTGGGAAAGAAATGGACAGAGCATCACCGCCAGCTCGAGAATTACCACCATTTCAAATTGTGAGTCGATTATCTCAAAATAATTTAGTAGCAGCAAAAAATAATTAAAATTTCCAACAGTTGGCTACCAAAGTCTGAACATTATGCACTTGCGTTTGGACGATGCTGGATTGTACACAATTCGTGCCGTGAATCGAAACGGTGAAACAACGAGTCAAACAAATTTGATTGTTGAGGCAGTATCGCAAAAGACTGAAGGATTCTCAAATTATCAAGCGATTGAAGAACTGGAAGCTTACAAAAGCATTTCCAATTTCAATTCCGAAACTTTGGAAACTTTTTCCGCTCCGATTTTCAAGTCCCATTTACAGGACCAACTGAATATCCGAGAGGGCGGATTCGCTCACTTTGGTAAATATTAAGCTTGGTTTAATGTTTTGTGTGATGTAATTTTTTTAGTGCAGGGTTCTATAAAATAAACAATGCACATGTTTTTTCCATTTCATAATTTGTGTGATGTATGCGACGATTTTTGTGTGGTGCTTGTCACAAATAGATGCGAATAACTAATAATATGCGCTTTACAGAGGCAAGATTGGAGCCCATTGGTGACGACTCGCTAACCGTCAGTTGGTTTAAGGATGGGAAAATGGTCAGTCAAAAAAAATATTATTTCTTAATTTTTGAAACTAAAAAACTAAATCCAACAGATCGAAGCGTCATCTCGGATATCACAATTTTTCAACTTTGGCTACGTTGCCCTCACAATAAAGCAACTCACGAAATTCGACGCCGGCACTTACACCGTCGTTGCGACGAATAAAAAAGGTCAAGCGAAATCCAGCAGCTCCTTGACGATCCAATTGAGACAAGAGAGCATTGTGACGGAGACGAGTCACGAGGAAAGCTTAGCCAAAATCCAGAGCTTGGAAATGAGGAGCAGCAGCGCAGTGTCGCAGGCAATGATGGACCAGGAGAAAGTTATGCCGGCTCCTAGGTTTTTGGGGCCAATGAAATGTACCAATAAAATTAAAGAGGGCCAGCGTGCCCACTTTGAAACCAGGTAGATTTCTATATCTATTTAGATAATAATTAGTAATTAATAATTTCGCTATCTTTAAAACCAGGTTGGAGCCACAAAGTGACAGCACCATGAAAATCACGTGGTTGTTAAATAATCAACCAATCCAACCTGCAAATCGTATCTCCATGCATCACGACTTCGGCTATGTTGCCCTGGACATAAATAAGGTGAGGATGGAGGACACTGGGATCTACACCTGCATCGCCACCAATCAAATGGGTCAAGCACAAATTATGGGACAAATGGAAGTCTTGGAAGTCCTGCAGGAATACACGGAAACGGAACAAAGGATTATTAGCAAAGCGGCGCACGATGTGGAAACCATTTACCAAGATCAGTATCATAAATCCAAACCTGTGTTTTTACACGGTCTCAGCCAAGACGTGACCGTTTTAGAGGGAAAGAATCTCCATTTAGAGGCGAGATTAGAGCATGGGTGTCACGATGTCCAGTGGTTCTTTAATCAGAAACCAATTACAATCGGATCCAGATTCAGAACGTTTAATGATCAGTTTGGTAGGTTTTTTGGGGGATTTTTGGAGAATTTTTTTTAAATAAGTAATATTTTCCAGGCTACATCTCCCTCGACATCAGTCAAATGACGAGCCAAGATTCTGGACAGTACACTGTCGTTGCCTCGAATAAACTAGGCCAAGCACAGTCCTCGTCTCGCGTGAGAGTGGAAGTCGTGCGTCAAGAATCGTATGAAATGTCACAGGAATTTGAAATGCTCGAGTCACGTGGGCAACATTCTCGACTTGAAGAAGTTGAAGATTTACAACCAAAAACGAAACCAATTTTTATGAAACCGTTGAAAAATCACCAAACTATTGAATTAGCAAATGTGCACTTTGAAACAAGGATCCAACCCATTAACGATCCCACCATGAAAATTAGCTGGACTTGCAATGGGCAACCGGTAGGGAAATTGTTATGCTAATTTTTGACAAATACTAAAAAATGTAATTTTCAGATCCCGGTTGGACATAAATTCCGTCCCGCATTTGAGTTTGACTATGTCGCATTGGACTTGTTGACCGTTTACGTTCGAGACAGTGGGGTTTACACGGTGACTGCTACGAATTCCATGGGATCCGAGTCGTGCTCATGCACTTTGAAAGTGATCAGTCGTGGTGAGGCTGAGATGGATGGAGGGTATTCTGGGCAGGGTTTGGAACAATTGCAGTATTTGGAAGACTCGACCATGAGACATCAAAAGAGGACGGAGCTCATCACGGAAGAATTAATCAAACCGAGATTCCTGACCCGACCCAAGGATTTGAATCTCAAAGAGCAAATGAGGGCGCATTTCGAGTGTAAATTGGAGCCCATCAATGATCCGAACCTTATCGTCGAGTGGTGGAAAGGTGGGGAGGTTTTTTTATTTTAATTTTTGAGCAAATTATCAAACTTGGTGGAAATGGACAGTTTTAACACAAACTCAGGACATACAAATAAGCATATCAAGCCCTTAAGAAGGTCTTGAGATCGTTGTCATGGAGAATTTTTTAAAAATTGCTGATTTTTGTGCCAAAAATTGGCGTGCTAAAAAATTGGCATGCCAAAAACATTTGCCAATATTTTTTTGCATGCCAATTATTAAATTCACTCTTCAAAATCTTCGCAAAATTCCAAATAATAATTCTAAACCCAAAATATTCTAAAAAATAGATGGCCGCCCATTGCAAGCAGGATCGAGATGGAAACCTATATTCGATTTTGGTAAGCTTTTGTCATTTTAAAAATAAATAATGAACTTTTAGACTATTAGAATAATTATATTTTTTAAATTTTACAAACCAGGCTACGTTGGGTTGGACATTTTGCACCTGGTTTCGGAAGACTCTGGCGTTTATGTATGCCGAGCAACGAACGCCAAAGGATCTGATGAGGTCCAAGTTCGACTAAACGTGAGCAGTTCCAAGAGCGTTATCCAAACGAGTCAAGTAAACGTGGAGAAATTGCAATACATTGAAGACAAATCCAACAAGAAATTCAAGTATGACCAAGAAATCGTGTCGCAAGCCCCTGTTTTCACCACGAGCCTCACAAATGTAGAAATCAAAGAGGGACAGCGTGCTCATTTCGAGGTATTGAATCTTTATATTTAATTTTTTAATAAATACTTAATAAACTGTTGCTACTTGCGTGTTTTTAGTCGAGGATAATCCCTGTGTCGGATGAGCTGCTAACCATTCAATGGTTCCACGAAGGCAAACCCGGTCAGTTTTTTCATGCCATCAACTTTATTGAGTAAATAATAATTGTCAAATTTTCCACACAGTCCTAATTGGATCCCGAATAAATGAAATCAATTCATTCGGATTTGTGGCACTCGATATTTTGCAAGCGACGGCAGAGGACGCAGGCACGTATTCAGTCGTGGCACGCAATGCATTGGGCGAAGCCGTGACGAGTGCAAATCTTCAAGTGCACCCAAGAAGATCCATAATTTCAGATTCAATTTGTCAATCTTCGATGCAAAATTTACAGTATTTGGAATCTAAACAACAACAAAAGGCGCAATATGTGGATGAAATGGTCCAACAGGCGCCAATGTTCACAGTCCCCGTTCGAGATGTTCGGACACAAGAGACGAGGAATGTGCACTTTGAAGCGAGATTAATTCCTGTCGGTGATAGCAACTTGACGACCACGTGGTACAAAAATGACGTGGAGTTGGAAGCGTCCAACAGAATTTCCACGATGCACGACGTAATTTTTTTCTATTTTATGTTTTTATTTTGAATGAAATGAACTAATAATTACTGTTTAAATTTAGTTTGGCTTTGTAAGCTTGGACATAAAATATGTCAATTTGCAAGATGAAGGTAATAAGATTCACTCCATTTTTTCGAGCATAAATAATGAGTAAATTATCCTCTAGGAACCTACACGTGTCGAGCCGTGAATCATTTTGGTCAGGCCGTGACGAGTGCGAAGCTGATAATCGGACGGGAGCAGATTGAGCAAATCGGGAATCAAGAGCAGCTCGAGAAGCTTCGTTACCTTGACGATTTGTCGCGTTATGACCGATCAAAGAAAATTGAAGAAATACGAACAGAAATGCCACCAAGATTTGTTACCGAGTTAAACGGGAGGAAAGATCACAATGAACTGGCTAGCTGTCACATGGAAGGAAGGATTGAACCGTATCCTGACGACACCATGGTCGTCACGTGGTGGAAAGATCAGAAACCGTTGACGATGGGTTCTCGCTTTAAGACTCTCTACGATTTTGGTTTTGCGGCGCTTGACGTAATGCAGCTAGTTAAAGAAGACAGTGGGGTGTATGTCTGCCATGCGAAGAATCAGTGGGGCGAAGCTCAAAGTACCATGGAAATCAACATCCATCGTTAGTTTTTTAAATTATTTTGAGCCATTTAGTATTGAATTTAACAAGTATTCTAACAGCTCAAGGCTATCCCGTGATAACGGACACCCAACACGTCGACGCCTTGGAGAAAATTCATAACTTGGAGGCCAAAAAATTATCAAAAAGAGAGGAATTTCAACCAGCAATTTCAGAGAAACCCAATTTTATAAGACCGTTAAGAAATGCTCAAGTGGGCGAAGGCCAACCTGTTCATTTGGAAGCCACCCTCGTCCCTGCAAATGACCCCTCAATGGTCGTTCAATGGCTTCGACAAGATGGGAAACCGATCCCACAAGGACATCGCTTTAAAACTACTTGTGATTTGTGAGTGGAGTGGTTTTTTATTTTGAGATAGATTTTAAATTTTAAATTTGGTTAATTTTTAGTGGATACGTCGCGTTGGATTTGTTGTACGCTTTCCCGGAGGACAAGTGAGTGGGATTTTTATTTATTTTTTTCAATTAAATTTTAAATTACGTATTTTTTCAGTGGGACATATATTTGCAAAGCCAAAAACCTGAATGGCGAGGCCGTGACGACGTGCAGTGTAAACGTTGAAGGAAAGAAAGGTCTTTTATTGGACACGTTGGATGAACAACGACTCCAAAAAATCAAAGCTCTAGAAAATTATGAGCAACCGATGAAGGTTGAAGCGGATCTCGCACCTGAAAAACCCGTCTTTCTCACACCGCTAAATAATTTGGAAAAATTAAAAGAAGGGGATCATGTCCATTTGGAGACGCGACTTACGCCCGTGAACGATCCAAATCTGGTCGTGAGTTGGTTTCACAATGGAGTTAAATTGAAAACTGGACATCGTTTTAAGACGTGAGGATTTATAAAATCATGAAAAGAACTCGTAAAAAATGATAATTATGATGATTTTTTTAAATTTACAGGACCCACGATTTGTGAGTGGAGTTTTTTTTAAAAATAATTTTGCAGATGTGCTTAATATATAATTGCAATTTAACTAATTTATTTAGTGGATACGTCGCCTTGGATATTTTATACGCGTATGCATCCGATAGTGGAACATATGTCGCACAAGCTAAAAATTTAGCAGGAGAAGCCACCAACACCTGCAACATTGCCTGTCAAGATAACCAACAAATTTATTATGAAAGCCAACACCCGGAAGCATTGGCTAAAATTCATGCTTTGGAAGCGTTGGATAGGCAACCACGCCCCGAAGAAGCTCAACTTCCTGCCCAGCCACCAATGTTCATGTAATTTAAATGACTTTGTGACTTTTTTTGTTTCTCTGGGCATAATTTTCTAAATTTCTTCAGGACACCACTCGTGGGAAAAACTGAAATTCCTGAAAATACCCGAGCCCACTTCGAATGCAGGGTCGAACCTAGCAGAGACCCTAAAATGCAAATTTCTTGGTGGAAAGACGGAAAACAATTGCCTTTTGCTAACCGATTTCACACTACTTTCGGTATTTTCTTTTTACGCGTTTTTTCTATGCAAAAAAATAACTAATTTTTTAAACAGATTTCGGCTACATCGCGTTGGACATTGGTCAGGCGAGTATTGACGACGAAGGAACATATCGCGTCGTTGCCAAGAATGATTATGGGGAAGCAGAGAGTGAAATAGATTTGAAAGTGCTTGGTCAAGGTTCCACCGTGGTTACGGATAGCATGAAACCCTTGGAAAAATTCCATGATTTAGAAAATAAGCCACAAGAGGCGAGGATGGATTCCGTTCCCACGTTCCAAAGACCCGTTTTCACAGTCCCATTAAACAGTATCGACAATATTAAAGAATCTCAAACCGCTCATTTCGAGGCGAGGTAAAGGATTTTTTTCTGGAGTTTTTTTTATTTTACAATTTTTAAATAATTACAATATTTCAGATTAATCCCCGTTAACGATCCAAATTTAACGGTGACTTTTTATCGCAATGAAATTCCCGTTGAAAATTCCTCAAGAATTAAAAAGACGCATGACGTAGGTTTTTTGTATTTTGTGTTTTTTTTATTTTAAATGAGCTAATAATTGTCTATTCGCTGTAGTTTGGTTTCGTTGCCTTGGATATTCAAAGTGTTCGAGACTCAGATGTTGGAACATATACAGCGAAAGCGAAGAATTTAATTGGTGAAGATGTCACGATGGGACACTTGCAAATTGTTTGTGAGTTGAATTTTTTATATTTTCTTAAGATTTTTCATCGGAATGTTTAAAAATTCGGTTAAAAATGATTTTAAAAAACATCAAAAATTGAAATCTTAAAAAAATGTTTTAGCAACGGGTGTAATTGACACCCAATCTCAACATCCAGAAGGATTGAAGAAAATTCAGCAATTGGAACAACCACCATCCGCACCCACGGAACTTCCTGATAAAGCATTCGATAAACCAGTGTTTGTAAGCACGCTCACTGGTCCAGACGAACTGTACGAGGGTGAACATGCTCACCTCGAATGCAAAGTTATCCCAGTTGGTGAGACGCCTTAACAAATTATTGCTTCTGATGATTTTATATTAACATTTTTTTAATTTCAGGGGACCCCACCTTAACTTACGAGTGGTATTTAAACGGAATAGAACTCAAAATGGGAAGTAGATTCCAGAGCAGAACAGATTTCGGCGTTGTTACGCTTGACATCAAATCAGTTATTCCTGAAGATGCAGGTATTTTTTGTGATTAGAAAAATTGTACAAAAATGCTAAGTTCAAATTTTTGCAGGGATTTATCAGATAAAAGTGAGAAATAAAGCAGGCGAAGCCATCAACAGTCACACAATGAAGTTGGTCTCCTTTCTCTTTTTGCATTTTTATTATAAAAAAAACTAATAAAAAAATATTTTTCAGGGTGATAGCAAAGTCCAACATTCAAGGAGACAGTGTTCAACCCAGCAGTTGGGGACGAATTCAAGAATTTGAAAACAGACCAGCCGAACCACCACAATTTTTAGACAAGTTGCCAAAACAACCACCAGTTTGGACCAGAAACATTGAATCCGTTGTCGTCGCTGAAAATAAAACTTTCCATTTAGAAGGATTCGTCGAACCGCGTGGGGGTGAGATTTATCGCTACTTTTGCATCCTCGTTGTCATGTTAATGCTTATTTTACTCATTACACAGACCCGACACTTGGCGTTACCTGGTTTAAAAATGGAGTCGTTTTACAAATGGGTTAGTTATTTAAAATAAAATTTTGGAAACAAAATTCTAAAAAAAACATTTCTAAACAAAGGAACCCGGTGTAAAAGCACGTTTGATTTTGGTAAGTTTTAGTTATTTACAATATGTTTGAAATAATTTGTTGGCCTTTTTTATTCTTAGTGAGGCAAATACCTAACAACGAAAAAAAATTACTAACAATGCGATGGTGTGAAGTGTAACCCTCCGATTTGGCTGAAATTTTGAAATTAGGTGGTCCATGTCATTACAACTAACGTTTCTTCAGCCAGTTTGTGCGATGGTTGGAGTTACTCAAAATATTTGAGGTCAAAGTTGAAAAAACGGCTAACTTTTTTCAGGCGGAGTGAGAAAACTCCACTTCCATTCTCTTCCCCTCGCATTGATTTTAACTCCGAAAAATTATAGATTTCATCAATGTTAATTTAATTTATGATAGAAAAACATTAATTATTCATTGCACATGCGTCTTGGTCTTTGTTTTCAAATGAATTGGAAATCAGAATAACCAACGCTTTCGAAATGGAAAGTAAGTTTTTCCATGTTTATTTCCCGTTGATGAATTTATAAATTAATGTTTGTCTGAATTTTTAATACAAAGAAGTAAAAAGCTCACTTATTCAATTATGAATTAAATTTCGCGAGTATAAGGCCTGTTAATTCCTATTTAAGCGGTAATAATAATGTTTTATTTTTGTTATTTTGCATCACTACTTATGCTTGTGTATGAAGGCGTATGTGTGAGTGAGAAACCTGAATAAAATCAATGCGAGGGGAAGAGAATGGAAGTGGAGTTTTCTCACTGCGCCTGAAAAAAGTCGGCCGTTTTTTCAACTTTGACCTCAAATATTTTGAGTAACTCCAACCATCGCACAAACTGGCTGAAGAAACGTAGGTTGTATTGACTTGGACCACCTAATTTCAAAATTTCAGCCAAATCGGAGGGTTACACTTCACACCATCGCATTGTAAGTATGCATTTACCCCACCCCAAAAAAGTGAAATAATTCTATTTCTCGGTCATTTCTCAACCGATTTCGATGAAATTTTGCACAGATCATTGTTAGAGGATATTGAAATGATTTCTGATCCGACTAAGGGATATCTTGATTTTTACTCAAGTTATGGGCGAGAAGGGACAAAAATTTGCACTCGGAGTCAGATTTTTATCCACAGTTCAGTTTTGGAGCATCACAGTATTCTAAATTATTGGAAAAAGTTACACTGATTCCTTGGGATCATTTTAAGCCCAAGTTGACCGAAATCGGTTAAGAAATCACGACGCTATTCAATTTTGAAAACTAAAAATTTAGTAAAATTACTCTGGGCAAATATAATCGGGGTGCTGTGGTGAAATAATGTCGTTGACAACCCAATTACAAGTTTTAAATAAACAAGGTCCCAAAAAATGGGAAATCTTAGTTAGGCAGTGCAATCTCAACTAAGAAATAAAATAGATTGCAGAATTTTTGCATCACCGATCTCATTATCATCTTCACTGGATGCAGTGTAAATTTTGCTTTGCATATAAGCACGAATTCTCCATTATTAATTGAGAATTTAATGCTTTTTTCTTAGTGAGGCAAATACCTAACAACGAAAAAATTACTAAGTATGCATTTGACCCACCCCAAAAAAGTGACCATCTGCGATATCTCAGTCATTTTTCAACCGATTTTGATGAAATTTTGCACCGATTATTGTTACATAATATAGAAACGGGATCTGATCCGACTACGGGATTACGTGATCTTGACCGGAATTATGGGCAAAAATGTAGCCTTAGAAACACATTTGTAATTATTGCTAGTTACTAGCAAACTTTATCAAAAGTTTGATACCCACGAATTGTAGGGCAGTTTATCCCGAAAATTTTAAGTATAAATATATCAAAATCCGTTAAGAATTGGCTTAGTTATTCCAATTTGAAGTTCAGAAATTCATGCTCGTGCTACGAATCATTGCCATTGACAACGACGCAAGACTAATAAATTGAAAACAAATTACATTCAAAACTGTAAACAGCATAACTAATTGTTTCTGTAACATGCTTGGTAAACTGCGTGAAATTGTTGTTGGTTTTGCACCTCCAGATCAGGTCTTTTGGTGTTTAGTAATCTAGGCCGGACATTTTGACCAAAATGATATAAATCGGTTAAGAAATAACGGATTTATTCAATTTTAAACACCCAGAATTTAATAAAATTATTCCGGATCAAACTACTGAAAAGGGGTAGTGCAATGCAGTCATCCAATGGACAATCTAATTCCCCAATTAAAAGTTATAAATAAACAAGGTCCCTAAAAAGGGGAAATCTTAGTGAGGGAGTGCAATCACAACTAATAAATAAAATTAGATTGGAGAATTTTTGCATCACCGCTCTCGGTACCATTTTTATTACTGGAAGCATTAATCGTTTAAATAGAACACTTGCTCCCTCAAAAGGTTCGATGATTTTGCATAGAGTAGCCAAATTAATATATGAAGTTGAAATTTGTATATTTTTTTAAACAAATACGTAGCTCAGAATTATTTAGCCATTATATCTTACATATCTACCTCAGTTAATTTAACCCACTTCTCGTTCACTACACAGTAAAAATGTATTCCTTCCTCAATTTATTCAATAAAACTAAGAATTCATGCGTATGCAAAGAAAAATTTATACTGCATCCAGTAAAAATGGTACCGAGAGCGGTGATGCAAAAATTCTCCAATCTAATTTTATTTATTAGTTGTGATTGCACTCCCTCACTAAGATTTCCCCTTTTTAGGGACCTTGTTTATTACTAGTGAAAGAGAAGTGTGCTTAACTAACTGACATCAAATATAATGGACCATTATATTTTAGAAATACATCCCATTATTAATGGGATATATTTCTGAGGATGAGAGCGGTGATGCAAAAATTCTGCAATCTATTTTATTTCTTAGTTGAGATTGCACTGCCTCACTAAGATTTCCCATTTTTTGGGACCTTGTTTATTCGAAATTTAATTAATTAACTGTAATTAGGACTTGCCACTTTGGACATCACCGGAGCGAGAGAAAGTGACAATGGAGTTTACACTTGTGTGGCTAAAAATAACTGGGGAGACGCGACCACGACTTGCACGGTGAAAGTTGAATCTAAGCATTGGCTACAAAGTGATTCTTTTAGACCGGATGCTATTCCGAAAATACACGAATTGGAAGCACCACCTGCACCACCAATGCCCGCTCCGGATGCTGAATATGGTCCTCCCGTCTTTACCACGCATTTAAATAACATTGAAGTCGATGAAGGAGAAAGCAGTTTGTTTGAATGTATGGAATGAGTCTTGAATTTTCTACTTTAAATTCAGTTAATTTAAACATGATGATGAATACAGGTCAAGTGGACACCACATTTTGGAAGACATGTGATAAATTGGAAGTCGTTTGGTATCAAAATAACAAATTGGCCACACATCACACCAGAACTCATCCAAAGAATGAATTTGGAAAAATTGAACTTGCCTTCGATTCTACATTTTTATGCGATGTATGTTTTTTCAAATTTTTTTAATGGAAATTTGTAATCAATAATTTCCTACGTAAAAAATAGGAGGGCGTGTGGATTGTGAAAGCCACGAACTCAAAAGGAACAGCACAAACGACGGGGACGTTGAAGGTGCGAACCAAAAAAGGATTCGATACAGACACACTACACCCGAAAGGCAAAGAAGGATTGGATAAAGTTGCTCAAGTGGAAGCGGAAGTGGAAGTAAAATTACTTGAACAATATTAACGTTATACTAAAAATAATGCATAAATAAATAAACACAGGCAAAATCGCGCAAGGGGCCGATCGAGGATGTCATACGACCACCAATAAAGCCATGGTTTGAGCCCCCATTGGAACCAGAATTCCGTTACAATGCAAAAGATGCCATGAATTTGCCATGTCGTGTTGAACCGAAAGAAGATCCAGATTTACAAGTAATTTAGATTTTGTAATTATTTGATTAATTAAAACCAACGTGCTTATCTGAAATCTAGATCGAGTGGATAAAGAATGGATTGCCCTTGGACACGGGGACTCGATTCAAGTCCACATTTGACTTTGGCTTTGTGAATTTGTGTCTGGAGGATGTGCAGTGTCAACGAGACGAAGGAAATTATACGGTTCGAGCATGGAATAAGCATGGAGAAGCTTTTACCTCCTGCGTCGTCTACGTCGAAGATAAAGGAAAAGACATCATTTACGATACGCAGCATCCCAAAGGACCGGAAGGGTTGGATAAAATTGCACAACTTGAAGCTGCCAGAGCTGAAGCTAATAAAAAACCTGGAGAAAAAGAATTAACTGGAATTCCACCCAAATTTACGACACCGGTTGGGATTTTTTTTCTGGAATTGCGACTAAGAATTGTTGTTAATTTTAAATATTTATTTTTTCAGTTTGAAAATCTACGGAATTTAACCGAGGGTGATTTAGCCCACTTCGAGGCTCAGCTAATTCCGCTTAGTAAGTTTTTTATGCAACTTTTATTGAAACTGGGTAGTAAAAATTATTCAATCACATCACAATGTTTAAAAATAGATGACGAAACGATGCGTGTGGAGTGGTTTCAGGATGGAAAGTGAGTTTAAACAATTAATAAAAATGTGCAGAGTAATAACAATAATAAAATTTCAGACCATTGGACGCATCCTCCCGAATTCGTTGCATTTATGTATTCGGAATGGTTGTAATGGAAATTGTTGGAGTGAACTTAAGTGACACGTCTAAATTTACATGTCGTGCTACGAATGCTTGGGGAATGGATGAAATTTCCTGTGATTTAGAATGCGTTTCTGAGAAAGATCGAGTTGTTAAACCTAAATTTACAAGGCATTTGAAAGACTTGGAAGTCCCAGAATCTACTTCGGCACATTTCGAGGCTACGCTAATTCCTGTCGGGGATCCGGATATGCGCGTTGTTTGGTATAAGGATAATGTACCGCTTGAACCTGCAGCTCGTATAAAAACCACGTATGCAATTATTTTATACTTCATCAGAGAGATCGGAAATAAATGCCATGTCGAAATACGGACGACTTTGGCTTTATTTGACCTTTAGATGACTTCTAATTGTATTTCCAGCTACGATTTTGGCTACTGTGTGCTTGATATCAATGGAGTGACAGAGGACGACGAAGGGGAATACGAGTGCAGGGCTCGGAATAAGTTAGAAATTTTGAACATAGCATTCATATCTTGATCAATTCCTTAATTTAAAATAATTATTATTAGGCACGGATCTGATTTGACAAAAGCCGTATTAAAGTTGATCGCAGGCCGTCGTGGGGTTCAAGGGGAACCAATTGATCCAGACGCATATGCAAGAATTTTGGAATTAGAAGCGTTTGGACGACAGAAGCCGGAAGTTAGCACGATTATCAAATTGCAACCACCAAAGTTCACGATTCCATTCGAAAATGTAACACTAGCCGAGGGCCAAAGTGCGCATTTTGAGGGACGATTAATCCCCGTTGATGATCCAGATCTTAAGGTTGTCTCATATTTTATTAATAACTATTTAAAGTGGATTTAAAAACGCAATGAATCACAGGTGACATGGTGGAAAGATGGTGTCCAATTAAGAAATGGACACAAATTCAGAATTTTCCATGATTTGTACGTTTACATTTTTTAAAATTTGCTGTGGGATTTTATGATTATGTTGTGTATTTACTTTCAGTGGAATTGTAATATTGGACGTTTTGTGGTGTTATGAAGAAGACAGGTTTGGACCATTGAACATAATAAATTAAATTTCCGCGTGATTAAAACTATGAAATTCTTAATTTAGTGGCGTCTACGAATGTAAAGCAGAGAACAAATTAGGAAAAGATCAAACAAGCGCTATTCTAAAATGTAGTCCTAAACCAAGTTTGATTTTCGACCCACAAATTCCAAAGGTTGCTTTTAATTTTCGTAAGAAAGTTTCTTAGATCTTTCTTATAATCGTAATTAAACAATTGCAGAGCATGATGTCAGTTCTGGATAAGATTCCATATCTCGAGGACAAATCTAAACCTCTAAAACCGGAACAGATGCGAAAAACCCAAGCTCCCGTGTTCACCGTTCCACTCGAAGATGTTCAATTAAGAGAAGGAGAAAGTGCGCATTTTGAAACTAAATTATTGCCCTTAGACGACCCAAAACTGAAGTTAGAATGGATGAAAGATGGAGTTCCACTGAGAGCTGGGTCCAGATTTAAAACTTTCCATGATTTGTAAGTCTATGAAATTTAAACTAAATAGATTAATCATTAAAAGTGTCTCAAATTTTTCAGTGGTTTTGTGATATTGGAGATCAATTCGTTGTATGAGAATGACACTGGAGTGTACACTTGTCGCGCATGGAATGATCACGGAGAAGCCACAATTAGCTGTAACCTAACTTGTGCAGGGAAACGGAATCTTATTTTGGATTCACAATTGAACAGACTTGGATTGGATTATGATAAAATTGCTAAATTGGAAGGATTAGGAAATGTGGACAGCAGTCGATCTACTCAAGACGAAGATGAGGATGGAAAACCACCAGAACTTACACAACTGTCAGATATTGAAATACAGGAGGGTGGCCTGGCCCATTTTGAAGTTAGACTGCTTAATAAAAGCTCGAAAATACGCATCGAATGGTTCCACAACGGAAGGGTAATTAATTCGTTAAGTGTTTTAGTGGGGTAAATTAGAATCAAAATATTTCTCCCGCAGGCAATTAATCATGGATCGAGAGTGAAGACGATAAATGATTTCGGTTTTGTAATTTTGGAAATTGGGCAAGTGCTGGGCCGCGATGGTGGGACGTATCTTTGTCGCGTAAATCAAACTATACAAACAGTACAATTTTGGCCAATAAATAATTCATATTGTAAAATAACAGGCCACCAACGCCCATGGAACAGCTACAACTGAAGCTAATTTAACGGTGAAAGGAGGACGACCACAAATAATCACTGAACCACAATTACCATCCCAGTTTAAAACTGGGACGGAATCATTGCAAAAATTGGAGGAAGCATTGTGGCAAAAGAAACCTGGTGCGCCATCATCAGAAGAACAAGAACCACAACCTCCAGTGTTTACCAAGGAACTGGACGACATCGAAATCGTCGAGGGCCAGCCTGCCCACTTTGATTGCAGAGTTGAGCCTGCTCATGATAGCTCCATGAGAATTGAATGGTATTTCAACGGGGTAAGTTTTTATTTCATTTAAAAAAAATATATTATTTTTTTAAATTATGGACAAATTAATCACTCAAATCAATTACAGAAACCATTTTCATTCGGATCCAGGAGTCATACCAGCGATGATTTGTAAGTTTGTCTATATTTTAGCTAGTCAACTTGTAATTTTACAATTATGATGATTTTTTTATTCTTTACAGCGGATTCATCTCCTTGGATCTTGATTGGACATTTGCTCGAGATTCTGGCAACTACATTTGCAGAGCGGTGAATGCTTGGGGTTTTGCCACCACACGAGCAACATTAGTATGCAAAGGAAGGCAGGGAATAATAAGAGAAAGCCAACTTCCACGTGGTTCAGCCATGGATGCTGAAAAACTGAACCAGTTGGAACGCGGACCAATAAGAGATGATCATTCCATTCCTGATGCTCCAACTGGACCACCAGTATTTGTGGAAAAATTATCCAGTGTCGGCGTTTCAGAGGGTGAAAGTATCCACCTGGAGGCCCGGGTTGAACCAAAATCTGACAGCAACATGGAAATTATTTGGCTTCACAATGGAAAAACTCTCAAATCTGGATCAAGATTTAAGCATGTTTATGGTCAGTTTGCATATTTACATGTTTTTCATGATTTCCAAGTTCATTCAATTTATGCAACACAGATTTTGGCTACGTTTCCCTCCAAATTCTGTACACTTACGAGGAGGACAGCGGAGAGTACACGTGCATTGCAAGAAATAAATTAGGAGAAGATAAAACGGTAGCAACCGTGCAGTGCAAGAGCCAACCCTCCATCGTTCTGCAAAACCAAATGCCCAAGGGAATGAAACGCTCCGAAGCGTTGGTACAAATGGAAGCCGCCATCAAACAGCATACTTCTCAAGTCCTGTTAACAGAGGACGATATTTATGACGCGGATAAAAAACAACCACCGAGATTCGTCACTCAAATTCAAAGCCAGACTGAGTTAACGGAAATGCAAGAGACTAAATTCGAATGCCAATTGGCTCCCGTCGGATGTCCAACTATGAAAGTGGAATGGTTTTTCAATGGAAAAGTGAGTGAAATATTTAATCATCAAATTTTACTTTTGCATAGTTTTAAATTGTCACAGCCACTCTCAAATAAAAACCGACTGCAACCAATTTATGACAGTGGATTAGTCTTGATGAATTTCCAATGGGTTTATCCTGAAGACAGGTAAAAGTACTCGCTGCTTTCACTTGGGAGTAAAAGTAATACGTAATTTCTTCTCCTAGCGGTGAATACGTGTGCAGAGCAACCAATTTGTATGGGACGGATGAAACCCGTGCAGTCATTAAGACGACGGGGAAACCAAACATTATTTACGAGTCACAATTACCAAAAGGAATGCAATCTATTGACAAAATTAGACAAATGGAATCTGCATGGATTAAAGGAAAGCAAACCGTGGAGGAACTGGAAAGGAAACGAGAAGCACCCATTTTTGTTACAAAACCAAACCCTGTAGAAGTTTGGGAAGGAGAATGGTCCAAATTTTGCATTAGGTGAGCGAGAGAGAAAGTTATCTTTTATTCAAGAAATATATATCAAACTAATTTGACAGAGTGACTGGCTATCCTCGGCCACGCGTATTATGGATCGTTAACGGAAAAACGGTCATGAATGTAAGTTTACAATTTTTAGTGTAGAAAAGAAAGCTTGTAACATAATGATAAATCAGGGATCCCGTTACAAATTAACGTACGATGGAATGTGGCACTTGGATATCCCAAAAACTCGTCTTTATGATCACGGGAAAGTGGAAGTGATTGCTAAAAATTCTGCAGGTATTTATCTTGCGAATATTTTATAAATTTGGTGCATATTAAACGGAGGGATTCTGCAGGGGAAGCATATGCATCGACTGAGTTGGTAGTCAAAAATAGACACGATGACTACAGAGCACTCTTAAAAACATCACCACGACGTAAGTTGGATTTTTTGTTCTGTCCACGATTTTCTATATATTTTACAAACATATCGCTCTTCTTTATTTGGAAATTGATTTTTTTATTTGGAAATGTTGATTGTTTTTTATTATATTTTTTACATGTCCTCCGCTTCTTCTTTAAAAAAACCGTGATGTCATGATGTCTCGTTTGTCTTGATTATTTATTATTTTCACGCATAATCGTTGTGTTTCTTGTGCTGTCCGAATTTTTAAAACGATTTCCCTTTGAATTAAAACCAACAACAACACAAAACAAACAACAGCCTGGTACGATTTGGACTTGAAAACCTATCAAGAAGATCGCTACGAGGAGTTGGAGCGTGTGTTCCAAGAGAAAGTTGGAAATAAGAGCCAACTCCACAAAAATGAACTGGGCGAATACAAAGTGACCGAAGAAGAGGAAACCGAGTGGCAGCAAAAATCTAAACAATTAGACTTAACAAAATTGAAAGATATTGAGGAAAATCAAATCACAAAGGAACAAAGATTACGAGATTCAGGGAAGCAGAAGCCAACGCAGCCAACCTTGTCCAAAACTGCTGCACAAATCTATGAAGCCCAGATTGATCAAGGGAAACAAGCCATTTTAGAACATGCCCATAAAGTCACGAAGAAAGATATCAGCCAAGTTTTCAATACAGCAAAATCCACAGAAGACGAGTCAGTTGATGAAAGTTATAAAGATGTCAAATTAAAATCTTGGAAACAAGCGGAACTTGACAAATCTAAAGAGTTGAATCCATCGGAATCGGAAACTCGGGAAAAACAAGTTTCGACCCACACGAGTAAACAAATGCAAAAGGGACGTGATGGGGACACGGAAATTACACGCCACATCACAGAAACTGAAACTCACGAGAGAGAGCATGGAGAGAAAGTCGTGGAAAGGGTCGTGGGTGCAGATGAAAAACCAAAATTCAAAAAAGCACCCATTTTTACCAAGAAAATTCAACCATGTCGAGTTTATGAAAAAGAACAAGCTAAATTCGATGTCGAATTCGATGGTGATCCAAAACCAAAAATCAAATTCTTTAGAGAAGATTTCGAAATTGTTAACTCGCAAGATTTCCAAATTCATGTTATGGGATTCAAAGCCACTCTTACCATCAGAGAGGTAGCTTTTTTTAAAAACTATTTGTTTATTTATGATTAGTGAAATGTATAATTTTTGTGCGTAGGTATTCGTTGAAGATTCGGGTGTGTTTTCCGTCGTAATTGAGAATCCAGGAGGACAAGCGAAATGTTCAGCAAATTTAATTGTTGAGGAGAAAGCAGTGAACAATCGGTTATCAAAAAGTTTCAACCCACCAAGTTTTACTAAAACTATTGATGACAAGAAACCTAAAATTGGAACCACAGTTAAATTGGAATGTGCCATCTCAGCCACAAAACCGATCGATGTCCACTGGCTCAAGGTTACTGCTCATTCGCTTTTTTTCTCAGTGAAAGTGGGCTATAATTTATAAAAATTAATTTTCTCTAGAACGGCACCAAAGTTGTTCCGTCACAAAGGGTAAAACCACAAGAATTTGCTGACATGCGATACACGTTGACCATCCTTAACGTCACTCAAGATGATGCAGGTTAGTAGTTATTTTATCTCATTTATTTACTGAAGGAGCTAATAATTTAATTTGTACATTTTTTAATCCAGGGAGCTATCAAGTAGTTGCCATAAATGCAGCTGGCGAAGCACGTTGTGACGCCCAAATAACAATTCAAGAAACCGTCGTAGCTGCAAAGCCAAGTGAAGAAGCAAAGTTTGTTAAACCTTTAAATAAGGAGTCAAAAGCTGTGGAAGGGGGTCCCACCAATCTGCAAGTTCAAGTGCAGAGTGCTGGTAAGTAAAATTCTGTCCATGATCGTCTCCCATTTAATGGAAAATTTAATTCTCATGATTTTCTCCGTCTTATGCAGTCCAACCAACAAAGGTGATTTGGACGAAGGGTGGTGTGCAAGTTCAGCCATCAAATTATATTAAACCGACCACGCAAGTGAAAGATAGCGTACGGATTTATGGGCTGGAATTTACGCAAGTATTCCCTGAAGACAAGGGACAATATGCAATCACGGTTTTCTCGCCAGATGGAAAAAGTATTTCTAGTCAAACTGAAATGATCATCGCTCCACGTTAGTCTCTGGAATATTATTTAGTTGAATAGGTCGAAATATTTCAAAATGTTTTATTTTCTAGCTCAAAAAGAGGCTGGAACAGCACCAAAATTAATCAAAATGGATGATGTGGAATGTATTGAGGGTGAACCAGCTCAATTTCGGGCTGAAATTGTACAAGGTTCTCCAGTGCCTACTGTTCAATGGTTCAGAGAAAATGCGTTGATCCCAGAAAATGAGGACTTCTCGGTAAACATTTTTTTAAGTATGAATTTTTAAAATCAACAAAGTTTTACAGAAATATAAATATATTTTTAGATGCTAGCTGAGGGTCGTTATGCAGTGTTGATTATTAAATCAACTTATGAGGAGGATAGTGGTACGTACTTATTTTAACGTGCTTTCTTTAGAGAAATTCTCAATTAAATTATTGTATTTTTTTAATTTAGGAATTTTCACATGTCGTGCAACCAACAGTCATGGTACTCATGAGACATCAGCAAAACTCACAGTCACAAGTAATTAGCTTTACCAAATAATTTCGTTTCAAACATTAAAAAAATGCTTCTTCTGTCAGCTTTCCTTTTCTCCTGCGAATTAAAACAAATTTAAATAATTTTCTTTGAAAGAGAAACTAATAAACACTGCCAATTTAAATAAGAGAAAAAATTGTACTTTTTTGTTTGAATTAAATTATTTTTTTACTTGCACAATTCTCTTTCTCGGGTGACACGAAGGAGCATTTTTTTAAACAAATAAATTTATCCGGAGATCTTACATATTTATTTGCTTAGAACGAGAAACATTGCAAAACGATACTTCAAAAATCAGACAAATTGATCAAAAGGAAAAAGATGCGTATAGAAAATTTTTCGGGAGAAGATTAGTAGATCAAAATTTACTAAGATTAGAGAAAAGAGTCGGGGAAGAAATTGTGCGAATTAAGGAAAGTTCAGCAACTGAAACAAGAGAAAGTTCTGTCACTTGGAGAAAGGCAAAGAAAGTCGTTGTGCAACAACAGCAGCATGAGATGAAGGAGGAGGAAAAGCAGCCGGAGGAGACACCCGTGTGGATCAGAGGGAAGAAAAAGCCAATTGCAATTCCGAAAGCTGAAGAGAAGGAGGCGGAGGAGGAAAAGGTGAAGCCAGTCGAAGAAGAAAAACCTCAAGTGTGGGCAAGAGGAAAGAAAAAGCCGGTTTCTCAACCGACAGAACATGTCACGCCGACAGAGACTCCTCCTACGATTGCAGACACGGAGAAAGTGACACTAAAAGAGGAAACATTTGGAGAAATACAGCAAGATACTACAACATCTAAGCTAGCAAGTGAAGAAACAACAACCACACAACCTGTATGGACTAGAAAACCTGTAGTGAAAGCACCTGAAAACATTCCAATTTCTGAGACTGAACAAAAAACTCCAATAAAGAAAGCAAAACAAGTTCCTGCAGCAGAGCCGGAAGAATTGCCTACTATTAAACAATTCCAATTGAAACCAACTAAACGAGCAGACAAGTCTGTTCCTGATGAAAAACCACACATTTCTCAAGTACAATTGAAACCTGTTCTTAAACCCGTGGTGGGTGAGAAGGATGCGAGAGAACGGGTTGACTCATCTTTGCCATTGGAATTATCTGAAATTCCTCAACATGAAACTGTAGATATTGAAGAAGTGCAGGAAATTAATCTTGAACATAAAATGGAGAAAGCTGGAGAAAGGTCTGTAGAAATAGGAAAAGAGAAAGCAGTGACAGATAAGGGAGAAGAAAAAAGTATTCCTGTCGTATATCAACGGAAACCTAAACAAGGAGTGAAATTAGACGAACAGAAAATGATTCCAGTCACGAAAAAAGAGGAGATTCCAGTGGTGAAAGAGGAGCTTAAAGAAATTGTGGAGTTGAAACAAGAGGAGCGAGCCGAAGAAGAAACAACCGAGTTATTGGAAAATGTAATAAATGCTGAAAAGCAAGCAGCTAAACAACCACAAATACAAAAACGTGATAAATTTCAACCAAAGGAGGAGAAAGTCGAACAAATTTCCTTGAAACCTGTCAAACGAACAGAGAAAGTCTTGGAGAAGGAGAAATTAGAAACAGTCGAATTAAAAACTGTTAAAAAAGCAACTCTTGCGTCTGCTGAAGTTGAAGAAGAAAAAATCTCACAACAAATTGAAACAGAACGAGTAGTTTCCGAAGAAGAGAAAGTACAAGATCAACAGATGTGGGATCGTAGAAAACCAAAACCAAAGACTGAGCAAACTGATATTCCAATTAAACCAAGCGAAACATCAAAAATTGATACTCAATCAAGTGCAGAATTAGCACAGCCAGAGACGACATTCCATACACCACAATTACGAATGGAGGAAGGTGCTCAATCTCAAAAAGATGTTACGTTTATTACACCAGAGCCAGAGAGAAAAGTCGAAGAACAACCCAAGCGACCAGTTTGGGAAAGAAAGAAAAAAGAAGCAAAACTCAAGACTTCGCCCCAAGGTGAACTGTCTCCAAGTACAAGTGATTCAACAATTCAGGAAATTGCAGAAGAGGTTGGAACGGAAGGCCCGAAATATATTTCCCCACAAGTTCCAAAGGACACAGCTCAACCGCAACCTACTGATGACCAACCCAAAAGACCAGTTTGGGATAGGAGGAAAAAAGAAACGAAAGTCAAAAGTGAAGACAAAGTCGATACAAAAACAATATCCGATGATTCATCGCAAATACAAACTATACAATTTTCAACTCCAACATCTCAGGAGGAACAAAAAGCAAGCGTTGAACAAAAAACCACAAAATTAGAAACTACACAACAACAAAAATTACAGAAAGTTTCAGCTGAAATTGGGCAAGAAACTAAGTTTT